GAGCGACGGAGAATATGCTCCGTGAATGAAGTGAAGTGAATTGCTTTTGGTGATAAAGACAGTGTGGGAGCCAGTCGGTGGAGGCCCGAGGTGAGTGGTGGTTCTCATGAGTCAAGGGGATTGAAAAATAAAATTGGGCGATCAGATAAGTTGGTGGGGCAGTAAGTACTGTAGTGGAGGGCATACATAATAGGACATGATCATATCTTGTCGGATGTATTACATATTCTATTGTGTGGATTGACCTTTTAGGGTTTTATTCAGGGAGTAGATACTGTACGAATATGGATCTACATACAATAACCACTGCTCGAATGAAGAATAGAGTAGGATTGTGAATGTAGTGATTCTGTCAAAGACTTCCCCATCGTCCAGTATCCGACTGGAACTGCCGCTTGCGGGGCTCACGTGACCTGACCAAACAGTGGCAGGTGGTGGCGGATGCGGGTCACTGGGCGAGTTGAGACCGAGAAAAGAGGATGGAGGAGGCTAGGAGGAGACTAGTGCAGGAGAATTGAAGATGCCGAGTTAAACATTTAGAGAGGATACCATCTATACTCCACGATGAACTCGCTGTATGACTGTGCACGCGACTCGGTACACTCTCCGCATTTCTCCCGCTTCTCACATCAGTATGCCTCGTAGCCCAGAAGACTGTACTCCGTACTCTAGGTTACATTAGTGCCCGTTCGGACAGTGGCTGACCAGTACATCGGAGAGGACCGATCCGATGGGAGGAGCGGAAGGGGCATAGGGAAGAAAGGGCAGCCACCCAACCAGCATCGGAACACGAACTTGGGCCTACGAATATAACACGGAACGAGGGAGAACCACACCCTCGACGAGAGTACGAAGTAGAGTACTCTCCGTCTCGAGTAGTAGAACCCCGCCACCAGTACTACTGGGACTCCTGGTCCTACTGGAGATAAGCCATTCAATTCCTGTGACCTTAAAGGATAAGATAAAATCAGCCCGTGACTTGGGTGGGGCCCCGAACTTCGGCCTGCCCTTTCCACGGGAAGCTGCCACTTGATTGGCCTGACTCGGGACAGTGCTCAGTGCCAGACGACTCCTACCCTACGCCGACACTGGCTCTGACTACGGAGACTGACGCTGTACCAGACTTGCTCCTCCGCCAGGCTCTCCTACAGTCCTCTTCTCACTATTCTCCGGATCGCGTTTCTTTTTTCCCCGTCCACCTAGTCCGGTCTCTCTCGTCCGACTCCGGCATCCTGACCCTGGCCCCCCTCCATCTGGTCCATCGCTGTATATAACATTCCCTTCCGACCCCCCTTCAACCAGTTTCCTCTTCTTTCTCTTCTCTTCAACTCGCCAGCTCTCTCTCTCTCCATCTCTGTCTTTCACATCCTTCCATTTGGATCTTCTATATACCCCCACGCTGAAAGCAGAGCATCCCCACCACACCCGCCACCATGACCGCCCAGAACCTCCCCTACGAGCCCGAGTTCGAGCAGGCCTACAAGGGTATGTATTGAATATGCATATTCAATTCCTATTTTGCGTCTCTTCATTTCTATCTCTTGATCAATTCAATAGAATATTCAATTTGCCCCCCCTTTCTTCCCCCTCCTCCCCGAGTTCCTCCCCACCAAGTCTTTTTTTTTTTTTTTTTGGGGGGCCATCGGCATCCTCGGCAAGTGGTTCTTCGGGAAACGCTCAGCTAATCACTTCTCAATCCCGACAGAGCTCGCTTCCACTCTCGAGAACTCCACTCTCTTCCAGAAGAAGCCCGAGTACCGCAAGGCTCTCCAGGTGGTCTCCGTCCCCGAGCGCGTCGTCCAGTTCCGCGTTGTCTGGGAGGATGACAAGGGTCAGGTAAGAAAATATCGTCTCCAATGCCAACAAAAGAAAAATCATGCATTGTCTAACCCTTCCTTTCCTTTCAGGTCCAAATCAACCGCGGTTTCCGCGTCCAGTTCAACTCCGCCCTCGGCCCCTACAAGGGTGGTCTCCGTTTCCACCCCTCGGTCAACTTGTCCATCCTGAAGTTCCTCGGCTTCGAGCAGATCTTCAAGAATGCCCTCACCGGTCTCAACATGGGTGGTGGTAAGGGTGGTTCCGACTTCGACCCCAAGGGCAAGTCCGACAACGAAATCCGCCGCTTCTGCGTCGGCTTCATGACCGAGCTGTGCAAGCACATCGGTGCCGACACCGACGTCCCCGCCGGTGACATTGGTGTCACCGGTCGCGAGATCGGCTTCATGTTCGGCCAGTACAAGAAGATCCGCAACCAGTGGGAGGGTGTGCTCACTGGCAAGGGCGGCAGCTGGGGTGGTTCCCTCATCCGCCCCGAGGCCACCGGTTACGGTGTCGTCTACTACACCGAGCACATGATCAAATACGCCTCCGGTGGTAAGGAGTCCTTCGCCGGCAAGCGCGTCGCCATCTCCGGCTCCGGCAACGTCGCCCAGTACGCCGCCCTCAAGGTCATCGAGCTCGGCGGTTCCGTCGTCTCCCTCTCCGACAGCCAGGGTGCCCTCGTCCTCAACGGCGAGGAGGGCTCCTTCACCCCCGAGGAGATCAACGCCATCGCCGCCATCAAGGTCGAGCGCAAGCAGATCTCCGAGCTCGCTTCCACCGCCGCCTTCGCCTCCAAGTTCAAGTACATCCCCGGCGCCCGCCCCTGGACCAACATCACCGGCCGCATCGACGTCGCCCTCCCCTCCGCCACCCAGAATGAGGTCTCCGGCGACGAGGCCAAGGCCCTGATCGCCGCCGGCTGCAAGTTCATCGCCGAGGGCTCCAACATGGGTTCCACCCAGGACGCCATCGATGTCTTCGAGGCCCACCGTGAGGCCAACGGCGCCACTGCTATCTGGTACGCCCCCGGCAAGGCCGCCAACGCCGGTGGTGTCGCCGTCTCCGGTCTCGAGATGGCCCAGAACTCGTCCCGCGTTAGCTGGACCTCTGAGGAGGTTGATAACCGTCTCAAGGGTATCATGGAGGACTGCTTCAAGAACGGTCTTAGCACTGCTCAGGAGTACGTTACCCCCAAGGAGGGTACCCTGCCTTCCCTGGTGGCTGGCTCCAACATTGCTGGTTTCACCAAGGTTGCCGAGGCTATGAAGGACCACGGTGACTGGTGGTAAATCAGTCATTCTCATCTGCCTGGATGAGGTATAAAAAAAGCTGCACCGTCTGAGTCATCATCAACAACACCACACCGCACCACACCCATTCATTCTTCGGGAGGTGTGGGTGTGAGTGCCTGGCTTGATTTGCCTTGGGACGTGTAGTCACGCTTATGCATTACGCATTCCCCCCCACGTTTTCCCCCTTTCCTTTTCCTTTTTGTGTCGAGCGGGTATTAAATAGAGGCGCCGGTTTCTTCTTCTTCTTCTTCTTTTTACCTTTTTTTTTTTTTCTTTTTACTTTCCCAGGCTAGAAGCCCGTTTTGTTGATATTCCCACTTGAGCATCGCTGTTTGGGGTTCCATGGGATCGTCCTGATGATAATGAAATCCAATGATCTATAAAGCAAAATTGTTCACATGATTTTCTTTTCCACGGAGTAAACAGTGTATCACACAAGATGCTCGTAAATTCTTTCGAAGCTAATGATGATTTTATGCGCTTTTCTTCCTCGAAGACCTGGAGTCAATTGAGCCTGATACCATATACAAGTTCTCCCCAGCAAAACCCGGGAAACCTTTTGATCATGAGCCCTGATCTCTCGTTCACACGGTGAGATCTCACTCAGAACCTCTGACCTCATATCCAGCGTCCTAGAAATCTAAAGACCCTTTTGCTCTTGTTCTTCTTCACCCACCACCTACACTGCACCACCCCCGGCGCACGACGGTTATTGCATGAAATCGTATTCCGTGGACAGCTGTGCCGGCTAGTATCGCCGGTACGTGAGGAAGTAAATAAATCAAAGAAGGGGGAGTACTATGGTGCGACCAGTATGAGCTCCAGAAAGGGAAAGAGCTAAGGAATGGCGCAGATCGAGGTCTAACAGAGCTCGGAATAAGCGCGCTGGTCTTCGGAGATTCCATCTCGCAGTCCTCTCTAATCGGGAATCTCCAGGTGGGAATCTCCGTCAATTTTTCTGAGGAATTGGAATGTCTGTGGAAGTCTGTTTGACTGGGAGTCCATGCTTCAATTCAAGCTGATCAGGTCAGGACCGTATGCGGTATCTGGCTGGGATCGTGGTAAAGGCAATCCACCTGGCTGGTAGGTTGTAAGAGCAGGGACTTTCACCATCACCTTCGACTAGTATACCTTTACGTGCTCCTCAAGCTCAACTCTCCATTATCTGGACAAAGCGGACAGGGACTGGACTGTCTTGAAAGCCCCGAGAGCCTTGCTTGCTCGACTGAAGCCATTGCAATACTGAAAGAATTTTGCAGGAGACTTAGCCCTCGCTCATTAGCACCTACATGTTTCATTCTAGTCACTGTTCTGTTCCAGTCCTATGGAATGGCTTGCAATCCCACTGATGATATTCTCTCAATTCTAATGAGAGAATTGCCTCAGTCCTCGAACCTGGGGCAAAGCTCTCTACCGGTGACTGGCGCCCACCATATGGAAAACACGACAAATTCTGATTTCTCGATTACTCACACATCAACCTACATCTGAACAATCGCAGAGCTTGAAGACTGGACACTCTTAGAGCAGCAAACCAGGCCCATTTCCTCAAAACCATTCCAGTCAAAATGAGATTTGCGCAGATGGTAACTCTGTATTCAATGATTTCGTGGCAATAGATACTTCTGAGTGGTGCGTAATATCCCTAACACAACTTAAGGATGGAGACTGATTATTCAAAGGACAAATAATTGGGAAGAGGGGTTGTTCAACCTTGGATTTACAGGAAGCTCCCCTGCCAATGAGTTTTACGAGTTCTGTGACCCTGGCTCATAAGATCCTGCAGTTCAAGCTATGTATTGCTTGAGTGCAAATAGCTCGATACAGGCATAACGAGGCTTAACTATCATTGCTTGGGAAAAACCACAGTACTCGATGTTTGAAACATCACCGATGGAGAGCTCGACGAATCGCGTCATTTGCGGCCCGCGAAGGGAGTTCCTCGAGCGGTCTCTCAGTCCAGAGAATAGCCTGTTCAATGGCCTGGTGTTCCATAACATCCAACCCATCCACAATCTCCCACTTGGACTCTTTTGCCATCCTTGCAAGCCAGGTCCAGGGTGTTGGATCATAGCACATCTCCAGAAACACTTTGCGGATAGTGCAATCAGACTCAGTCTGTATCATTGCACTAGAGATGCTTCTTGCGCGGCGCTCGGCTTCGGTTTTTGGAGCCATATCAGGCACTGCACTGACTGCTACAACAGGGAACTTGGAGACAGACTGTAAATCCTCCAACTTTGCCAGGTATTGAACCTCTTGTCGTAGTCCATTTCGTTTGAGGGTTTTGATGGTAGCCTTGGCCTCCTCAGGGTCACGATTGACCAAGTAAATTAACTTGGCGCCCAAACCTTCTGCCAAAGCGTAGATTGCAGATCTGCAGGTGGCACCACCACCAATTACCAGGGCCGGCCATGCTTCTAAGGAAGTTCGCAGATCGGGGTTTGCCTTAAGAAGTGCACGCTGAATTCCAATCCAATCAGTATTTGTTCCAATGAGAAGTCTTCTCTCCTCGCCGCCGATCAGATCAGGCCGGGAATATATTGTGTTGATGCAGCCAATTCGTTGAGCTTGGACGGTCAGAATATCGACAAGATCCATTGACTGGACCTTGTTAGGCATTGTGACAGCCGCACCTAGGAAATCATCACGGCGCATAAGCCAGGCCAAATCGTCGGTATCTTTCGAATCGAGTCTGATGTATCGCCATGGCAGCCCCAGCTCGCAGAAAATGGTGTTGTGGAAGGATGGAGACACAGAATGGGCGATTGGTTGACCGAATAGGTAGACGGTTCGTTCCAGAGAGGTTTTGTTGTTGGTGGACACCGCTGCGTCGTGGCATTTGACGGCGGGGTCCGATTTTTCCGATTTTTCTAACTGCAAAGACATATCTCGGTGGCAATTCCGGTAATTGTGTGGTGAGTCACAATAATTCTCTTGCTGATGGGGGAATTCCAATTGAATATGAGGCAAAGCTACCGAACAGTTTGGTCTAGATTGTCGAAGGTCTGTGGCAAAAGTCTACAGTACAGTTGTTGGGTGAGACTTGCCTTGGTGGACCCCGGAAGGACCTTATCCAGCCAATGATGTATAGGCGCCTGCACCGCTGAACCGAAGCCTCATCCTGGAAGGGGTAAAATGTGTAGGACACAACAGACACCCCGAGACTGACATTTCCAGCATACATGGAGCAAGGGAATGGTACCCATTTTTTGGTTACTCCTGGTCGCCCGGTGAGGGATCGATGCATCTGATAGCGTTAATAGATGAGATTTTGAAGTTTCTTGATGCTGCACCCTGTGTGGTCCAGTGGTAGGATTCCTAGTGCCGGGACTAGGAGATCCCATGTTCGATTCATGGCTCAGCGGTCAGCATCTCTTTTTACTCATGTATTTAGAACAGTCTTTCGGTCGAGGCAGCAAGAACAACATCAGGAAATATCAAATTGGATTTTACTGTACAATCTCTGCTGCGGCGAAGTGGGCAATCACTTCAGCGTTTTGAAACTCAACCGCCCGATTCAGGGCGGACTTTCCTTCATGGTCCAGGGCTGTCGGATTAGCTCCGGCATCGAGAAGTAGCTTGACCACCTCTGGATAATTATATTGCACGGCATAATGAAGAGATGTAGCACCTGAATTGGCTTGGATCGAGAGATCTGCGCCAGCATGAATAAGGACCTTGACCGCACTAGCACGGCCACTTCGTGCTGCAGCATGTAGTGCGGTGAAGCCCTCTTCACCTTGGAAGGAAACCGGTGCTCCAGATCTTATGAGGTAGTCAATCACATGGCCATGTCCAGATCTAGAAGCGCTGTGGAGTGCCGTATATCCATGCTTGTCTGTGGGAAACAATGGAGACTGTTGATGATAGTATTCGCGAGAAATATCGGCCCCGGCTCTGACGAGTATATCGACCACATCCCCATGACCTCTCGCCGATGCTCGGTAGAGTGCAGATGGCTTGGTTTTGCCATAGCGAAAGACGTCTGGTGCGACTCCTACGCTCAGGAGTAGCTCTACTATGGAAGTATAACCGGACTCGGCACCCTTCCACAAGGACTCCCTCAATAAAATATCAGTGTCCCAGTCAGGTGTAGAAGTATTGATACCAGATTGAAGGATGGTCCGAACCCTCCCGAACTGTCCTTCACAGACAGCAGGATAGAGTGCCAAACGATCGAATTGTGCCCCAGGATCTAGGAGCAAGTCCACAATCGCTAGGTCGCCTTTGCTAGACGCATATTTAAGGGCGCTTCTTTTGTCTTTTTCATCAACCTGAAGACCACAGGCAAGAATAGATTTAACCACGGCAGAATGGCCTGCCCGAGTTGCAACTTGGAGTGCGTGCTTGCACAGCTCGGGTGTCAACCATGCTAAATCCGCAAGATATTGAACGAAAGTACCATGACCCCCTTGGGCTGCACTGTCTAGCATTGCGAATCTGGACTCAATTTGGTTGCAAAAGTCGACTGCCATATGACGAATAAGACGAAGCATTCTGATACTGCCAGAACAGCCTGTTGCCCTGGCTAGCCCAATGTCGTTGCCTGTGACGACTAGGCCCGTTCCAACAAGCAACCTCACTACCGAAGGTAACCCTAGCTCCACCGACCGAAATAGTTCAGCACGCCTTATATGCTCCGGGAAACTCCTCTGAGAAAGAAGGATCTTGACTATCTTCGCTCGACCTGATGAGACAGCAACTTGCAGTGTCTTGTCTGAAACCTGAAAGCCAGCTTCGATAAGCTGTTGAACCACGGCTGTGCGACCGTATTCTGCTGCTAGGTCCAAGGCTCCATTATATGTATCAGTTATATCCTGAAGCCAACGACCTTTCTCCAAAAGTAATGATACGGTCGAATTATGGCCATTCCTTGCAGCCATATGGAGGGCGGTGCGATGGCACGGCGTTTTTGTTGAAATATCGGCACCGGCGTCAAGAAGAAGCTGAACTACCATATCTGATCCATGGTAAGCTGCACAGTGAAGAGCAGTCAACCCACGATTATCGAGCTCATCAACTTTTGCGCCAGCAGCGATGAGCTGCTTCACAACTGTCTGATGCCCTCGTCGTGCAGCGCAAGCCAAAGGGGTAACCCCATGCTTATTTCGTGTTTGGACATTCGACCTCCTCGCAAGGATAGTTTGTAAAAGACACTCATCGCCCTTACTCGCGGCAAGGTGTACAAGTGTATCTCCACTTGGCCGTGCCTTTCTCGTGAAAACATCGGGCAGGAGAAGTTCATCAAGACCGTCAAAAGCCCGAAGAAAGCAGTAACATGCGGCAGGTTCAAGAAAGTCTGCGATCCGAATGATTAACTCAATAGGCAGCTTGGTCCTAGCCATTTTGCTTGCATAAAGGCCAAATGAGTAGAAATGTAAAACGCACAAAAAAATGTTCCCCGCAAATCCGTGGAACATTAGTTAGTTAGCTACTCTGTAGTTAGTTAGTTATCAAGGAATTACGATGATGACTCATCGTTAACCCTTTAACTAGTTAAGTAGATAACTAAATAGTTACTTGAAGAGACCGGAATATATGCATGTTTGTCAATGAAATAACACCCCAATCCGGAAGATACCCTCGACTAAGAAGCATCTTCAGGTCGAGAATCAAGGGGCTGGTTCACTTGTTTCTGCCTGTGGCAGACGTTCACGTGACATATCCGAAATTCGTTATCACGTGATTTCGGCCAAACAGACCCGATCATCCCTCCACCCAATTGGGGATGGACTCCATTCAAGTCAAGACAGCATTGCACAGCATGGCTTTATGATCGGAATCTTTATCTATATAACCTGAGCATCGGGTACTCATCCCTGTTATGCCCAATTACCTGTCAACATGCTGTCGGATATGGCATCACCTGATCAGTGGAGAACCTTCGTCCAGCGATGTCTGGCACATCGCGTAGACGTCGATGAGTTCAAGAATCTATCGAAGTTGATGCAGCACCGATCACCATTGAAAGAAGATGACCTGCTTGATCTTCTTCTCGAGGCCCGCGCTGCATCCAGCATTGCCTGGGACCCGCTCCTGCCGGTCTACGTCGATGGGCTGTGCAAGGTCGGCCAGGTGAAGGCGGCGTCAGCATTGCGAAGGCTATTGGCACATTCATCCATTCGCCAAAAATCGGAATCAAAGCGCAACATGTCCACACTGATGACGGACATTAAGGTCATTCAGGATGTCATGCTTTCCATCTCAACTGGAGCGATTCCACGGCGGATTGCAGAAGCGGCAGAACTCTATGATGCGACGGTCGAATGGATTGTAGCCGTTGTTGAATGGCACAATCATGGTGTCTCACAGCAAACTGGTGGTCTGATGGGCTCTCCCGATGCTGTCTCCTTGTTTGAGTCGCTTGGTATCTTGCTTGCGGCTCTGTCAGGCACATCGAAGGGCCTGGAAACGCTATCCAGCGACTATCATCAAGGTATGCACCCCTCATACATATATCAGATCAAAGGTCAAAGCGCAAGATTCCGTGGTGTTAATCTCTTTGGTAGAATTGAAAACAAAGCTGGGTCAGGCTCTGACCTCTTATTTACCTTTATGTGTCGATGTGTCCCTGCCTCTGCGTCACAGACTGGACGCGCTGCAAAAGGAGTTCAACCTGTATGGACAGCAACCTTCTAAGCAATTGGATCCTCCAGCTATCGATGGCATGAACGTCAATTCCCTCCAGTTCGAGGCTTCGGTGATGGACGGGCCAGTCATAAACACTAGAGCTGGTCTCTACGTGTATCTCAATTCCATGGTACGACATATCGAGCTTCCTGGTAGACCTTATACTGAATTAATGTTAGCTTGTGGGACGTCCATTGGTCGATGATTCAATGTTGATCAATTACCTCACCAACCGCTATGAGGTGAGTCTATCTTGCCCCATTTCCCTCTCAGCCCAACCTTGGTCAAGGATTATGTCCGTACTAACTGCTCCTCCTTTTCAGGGCCATCAAGAAGTCTTGGTGGTGGAGATCACAACAGCCGCTTTTGATGTCCTATCCAATGGCGTCCACCGCAACGAGTCCAGTCGAACCATGTTCCTGTTCAGAACCTTCCTTGTCAACAAGCTCCCGGCATTTTTTGCCGCAATGACAGCAGCCTCGATGGTGCCGATTCCAATGGAGATGTGTATCACCCAAGCACTCAGCCGCCTTGACCCAAATTCGTTCCCCTCGTTCTCTCAAATGTTCTCCATGCAAGGGAGCAGCATTCTCTCCGATGCCCGCCAAGAGTTCCTTTTTGCTTGTGCATCTCACAGACTCATTCAGGAGTCTAGTATCGAGCGGCTGCTAGGAGAGAACCCTATGCAGACCGTACCTGTGGGCGGTCCTTACCAGAAAGATGATCTTGTCTCGCAAATCAACAACAGCCCTGAGCGTGCTGAGCAATTGATTGGAGAGATCGAGTCGATGGAGGGCAATGCAGGTGCCATTGTTGGTGCTATCACTGAGGTGTGTAACATCTTCTTTACCCCCCACGAATCGTTTATTGGCTGCTGACTGATCTTGTCAGGTGATGTTCAACCTGTGCAATCAGAAAGAGACAATGACTCTAAAAAACATCTGCAACTCCCTCTCCCGCCGCCCACAAACCTTGGATGTCATCCTTTTATTCCGAACCACAAAACAAGTCCTCCAGCCTCTTTGTACTCTGCTAGATTCATGGCGATGGGATGAAGATCAAGGCGAGAACCAGCCGGTCTACGATGAGTTTGGCAGCATCCTGCTACTAGTGCTTGTCTTCAAGTACCGGTACGACTTGAGTCCTGCTGACATGGGTATCTCGAGCAATGACTCGTTCTTGCTGAAATTGCTAGATCGGGCCTCTTGCAGTCAGAAGCTGACGGAGTTGAGTGAGAAGCAAAACAAGGATCTTGGAGCGTGGATCGGAGCTTTGTTCATTGCTGAGGGTATCAATGAAGAGATCATGTCGACTTGTAGTCCACAGGAATTCTACATGCTTGTTGCGACTTTGTTCGATCAGAGTCTTGGAGCCTGCGAGTCGGGGAAGATGGACTTTGAAACGCTCAAAGGCGGGTTTGAATGTGAGTCGAGCAACTGATCCCTGTCTATACCATCATTTCTGACGCACAACAGATCTTCTTGAGCCATTTTTGCTCCCATCTCTGGTGGTGGCACTTACTTGGCTCGGTAACCACATCTGGCAGTCAGAAACTGAGCCCGAGATTCCCTTGAAGACTCTTTTCTCTCTGATTAAGCCCAGCTCTATCTCTGGTGAAGCGCAAGCTATTCACAAGACAGTTCTGAATATCACTGCTCGCCCATTGGAGGAACAACTGAAAGATGTCCGTACAAGACATCAAGCTCGGCAAAATATCGACAAAATCTCAGACATCAAACCCATCCTCGACACTCTAGATCAGTACCTCTCTTTCCGACGCGTTGGTAGCTGCCTGCGCTCGGAACTCGAGATATGGGCCGCTCCAGCAGCAGGTGGGTTCCCGGGCAGTATCCGCGGAACTCTCCAGTCCCTCACCTTATGGAGTGCCAGCTCGGAAATTTCTCTACAACCGCAGTCCTACACCCACCGCCAGTTGCTCGCTGGAATCCGTATCCTTGGCTCGACGCGCGTCTTGGGTGCTCTGATCGACGAACTAAAACAGCAGACTGAAGCGGGCAGCGGTGACCTCGCCCTGGACATCGCGGCAACCATGATATGTACCCCGATGCCCGAGTCCTTCGCTGTCGACCAAAACATCTGCCATCCTGTCGATCCGACCAAAGAATCCCTCCCGCGCTGCGCAAATCTCACCCTCCGCGATGCTCTCTCCCTCCAGCACCAGAACGTGCCCAAAATCTCCGAGAAGGATCCTCTCCGCGCAGAGGTCATCGTCCGTCTCTGGCGCCGTGTTAGCCTCCTCGCTGCCCCACCATCTCGAGTGTCCAACATCGACGTCAGCAACATCATTCAGAACATGGAGCTCGGCGTCGAGGGCCAAGATCGTATGAACCTTGACGGGACAGATGGCGGTGTCGGCGGCACTGGCGTTGGCGACGACGATCCGGGCAATATTGACCAGATGCTTGACAAGGCTGCGGCGGCTGCGGCGGCGGGGATGGATAGCGGTGTTGGCCAGGAAATGGGACTTGACGCTGGTGTTGGCGGAATGGATGCGATTGACGACGTGCTCAACGCTGCGGATATGGCGGTGGGTAACCCGGAGTTCCTAGATCTGGATATGGAGGGCATGTTTTAGTGATGAATACTTTGTGTTTCGTCTTTATCTGGTGGGTGGAGCGAATACTGCGATACTATTTCTCTACAAAGCGTTTGATATCAATATTATCGTTCTGGTCTTTTGGCTTTCGTATTAAACTTGGATATCAATTAAACCTGTTAAGTATCATAAAACTACAGTCTGGCTGCACCATATAGTGACCAAAAAGCACGAACCTTGCCCCCGACTCTAACTCGCTTGTTTCTTTGCGCTATCGTATCATCTCGTTCTTGTAAATTCTGCCACAAATCTTGTCAGTCATGTCCTCTAATCATCGCATCCCGCGGGAAACATACAGATGTGCAATCCTTTCTCAAGCTTCCCCGCGACGCTGGAATTCCCTGAATGGGGATACATCATTTCAATGAGATCTATTGGCTTGGGAATGAACCCTCGACGCGATTCGGCCGGAACAGGGGCGGCGGCGACCGTGGAAGAGAGAGATATAGCGGCAAGGATGGTAGTCAGCTTCATTTTGAGAGATTTTGTGGTTTCTATGGTTTGTTGCGGTACGTGTCAGTAACGAGATCTTTTTGTATGTGTGCCAAGTTGAAGCACTTACCTTTGATGAATAACTTGCCTTGGTAAATGAGGTGGATGAAGTTGGGTTTTGGCGAGTGGATGTTGCTTTAGGTGCGGGTTTGTGGCGGCGAAAATGTCATGAATAGAGGGTAAAAGAAGATTCCATTGATAATATTATGAATTAGAATGAGTCTCATTCCAATGGGAGTAGCTTCGGACCGGCATGAGAAATTCGATAGACGCAACGCGTCGAGGGTCGTATGCCGGGGCTCACGATCTCACAATCCGAGATTATCCTGCCTTGGATACGGACTTCAGCTCAGAGCAGGTCATTCACTGTTCGAATATCCCGTACCGACAATACATTGAATACTGCTGGTTTTCTGGTCGTTGCTGTAGCGGCGTGTGTCGACCAGAGCTGATGCTGTGACGCACTGTGTTTCCCGCAAGGGATGTGAGTATATAGCAGCAGACATCAGAGCATAACGGCTTCGGGGAGGGTCGGAATTAAGTTAAGTAATTTTGCAGTTGACCTGTTGAAGTCTTTCGAAAGAATTAATGCATAGAGCCTTGCTGAAGCATTGGCAAACCCGACAGGAGCCAGCCATATTGATTTCGATTGAGTCATGCTGGTTCGCTGACACTTGTCATGAGAGGCACAGAAGAGATCTCACGCAGTAGGAATATTTCTAAACTCCAAGTATACACTGCAAAAAGGACTTTTATGGGCTGGTGCCAATGAGTCGTTAATAAAATCCCAAGTCACGCCTCCCAGTGCAAGCATCAACGTGGTTTATACCCCCGTAATAGGTATTCCAGTCACTCTCCCCCCTCATATGGCCTAGTGGTCTCCCGTAAGGGATTGACCTATGGGTGTGCCCTGGAAAGGGTAAACATGTGATGGGAATAGGTACGGGCCTCAGCGTCGTGTATAACTCCACAGATGGTCGGGCACATCCCTAGGCGGGGAGAGTGGGCGGGTGGGCATGCGAGGTGGTGGCAGCACCTCCTCGCGGATAAAGATCTTTTTTAAAATTTTTGAAATAATATATTCATTTAGCTTAGAGCATAAGGTATATTAATTTTTAATTCATTCTAAGAGGATATCAAGATCGAGAAAGGGATGCTGTTTATTAGGTGTAATATCGGGGATGACTCTGGGTGATGTACTTCGGCATCGTAGGGCAGGGAAGGAGCATCGCTGTGAATTATATAGGGAACAGGAAGGCTGGGGGTTCGATTCATGGGAGAGGAAAGTTTATTTGTTTTACGCTGACGATCAGATATTGATGAGATGAGTGGTCTTTGACCACTACCGTCCTGCACCGTCACCGTTCACTGTGCAGGCGCCTTTGCCTTCTGATATCATGGGAGCTGTAGGGACAGATGACGGAGATCTCTGAGGGGAAACCGGCCAACTGAACATGTATCGATCTGAACATGTATCGATATTCAAGACAGATAGTTGCCTCAAATTCCGAAACAATCCATACTCTCTTCACGCTGTCTTCCACATGAATGTCAGCACGGGCTTCATGTCATTACTTGGAGAGCAGGATACAGGTAGCATCCCAGCTTGCTGGGGGTCTCAGGGGACACGGTTTATAGACCGAGAAGGATAGAAAGACATGTCACTATGAGATGTCGATACAATACCACGCATTTCAGCCAGACAGGGCATCCTAGCCAAGCATCAATAGACTCCTTGTCTAGATCTACTTGAAGAAGCTATGCCGGACCTTTGCAGAGCTGCACCAGTGATGCCATTCTGGAAATCTTCACTCAATGCTGTGCGTCTTGTCCTTACTAACGCGTCTGGAAGAGAGACAACTGGCAGTATTGGTGTAGTGGCCAATGCAACTTCTTTTATCAACTTCATCTTTAGAGACCTCTTTGAAGTTCCTTCCATGAAGTTGAAATCTTGAGAAAGGTCAGGACTTGAGATGGATCAATTCTTTCTTGACTTGACTTACTTCCATCACAATCGTTGTTCCTGTATATCTGTTGTCAACCCCGACGAACTGACCATCTCCAATATCTTCAGATTTCATAGACCTGTATTCAATGGAAAGACTTGATAGAATTTATACCCAGGCCCAGTAGGATCTACTGAGAAAACCATTCCACCATTTCTTCTGGATGTCCGGTTGGTCACCGTATGCCTGGGGCAGTAACAAGTAGGTCAATGAACGAAAGTCGGAGATGACCAAGCCTAACAGAGGCCAAAACCCAGTATATATTGGTGAGTTCCAAATTGTAAACCAAGGGAAAGCTCACAGACAAAAACTGTATATGTATTCAAGGCAAGGAAAGAATCGAATCTAGAGAGAAAACTCTCGACTGAACACTTACGTGTTGCAATTTATTTGATTTCTTTGCAAATGAACCAAAGACATGGTCAAAACGCAAGACGTTGAATACAAGAGCTCTTTGCATGGTACAAAATGATGCTTTTATGTTGCCGAACTGTCGATGGAATGACGAACACAACGCACAGTCATGAGATATGTTTACACGAATCGTACAATATATACTTCCAATACAAAGGTTAAATCTCTACCAAGCATCGTCAAAACGACACCAAAAGCCCTTGCGCAACTCATTCCATCCATTTTACGACAAGAAAACGGACTATAACATATATACGTGGTGCTACTATCCAACGCTTAGGTCGAATTGAAGGTTATCAGGTCCTCTGGCTTTCCGACATACTTCCCAATGGCATTGTACGAGTTAGGTCTTTCAAGAATATCTAACAGTTCCTTACTAAACATCAATTCAATTGATTTCATCATTTCCCAATCCGAATCGCATTCGACTGCCTATCTCGGAACACAATGTTTAATTAATCTACGATCCTTCGTAGTAACAAGCTTCAAACCTTCATTCACACAAACTTTTATCGTGGCCCCAAATCCGAGGTACTGGCACCATCTCCCCGTACACGTGGGTCCTGGGCCGGGAAAGAATGTTTCATAACTCGATTTAAGCTTCCATTGACGAATTTCAATGGCACTTTGCAACCACAACGGGGTATTTTCTAGCCTCGTGGCGCGGTGGCTATTGTCGTGACACGAACGGGCACTTCGACACCCTAGCGGCATTGCTATTGATAGCAGCATCTCATACCAGTTCACCTTAACACGGGCTGATTTGGGTTACAGATATCCTACGAGGTTTAAGGGGCGGGCTTTGAATGAAAAGGAAATAAATTCTCACCTTTCCGACCGAGTGGATCAGACCCATCCTCAATCAAGTATCCTATCAAGCCACAATTGTTAAAGCGATAGGCGAGGGAGAGTATCTCCGCGCCTTTTCCTCGCCGTGCCCTCCGTATTCTGCTCGGAGAAAAGAACAGATAACACAAACCAGATCGCCAGGAAGATGCGATGGATGGCGAAATTCGCTCGAAGCTGAATATGCGCACCGCGCACTAGGTGGCGATGGCGCCTTACCAATTGCTTTTTCTGGACTTTCCATGACAGTCACCCGTGCCCATCATCATTCCATTGTGATCCCGACAGATTGGAACCTCCTGCAATGGACGGAGCCTGTTTGACAAGTAGTAGTAACCCAAAATTTCCCGCCGGGGCCGCGAGAAAAAACATGGGGGCCCCTGTTTCGAGGGGAAGTGGCCGTGTACCACTCGTCAAGAGTCAGTGAGGGTGGGAACTCCGTCCCGCTCTGAAGGATCTGCCTCTCTCTGCAGGATTTACATTCAACAGCGGGATCCGTAAGCTTGGGGTGCGGCGAGGCCTTCGAAAAAAAAAACCCCCGCTGCCGAGTTGTAGCACACAAGCACACAAGTGTTTGTTGACTTTGTTGTGTATTCTAGGACTGCAGAATTATGTGTGCGCTCGTGCGCGATGCTGCAGGAACACGGGTGATGCACAGGTCTTTCCTACGGGCGCCGGGAAAACCCTTCTTCGCATCTGGTTTCCTCGACTGGAGATTGGCTGTGACGTGCTTTTCGTCACGAACCTCAGCACACTCGGTCGGGGACCTGGTTTGCTGATCGGTGTTGAGCCCGTCCTTGGTAAGATTTACTTTCCCATCGAGCAAATCGATCCTTTCCCGTGGAGGGTGAATCTGTTCGATGATGGGACCCGCATCACGTCTCGAATGTGATGAAGCCCAGACGTTAAAACCCTTTCCAGGACCTGTCCGGGGAATTTTGCATCCGTTCCTGCATTTTGATGCCGACTGATGGTGAACCGTGATTGATTTCAAATTGTGACATACAATTCTTTCCAATAGGAGGCTGTTTCATCCTCGCCTTCCTGCACACGCTGGATTTCTGTCACGTTGGAGGGTGGCCGGTGAGACGGCAAGAGAAAACACCCGATAGCCCAGCAGAGAAAGGATCAACATTGCACCACGTTCTGTTGGCTATTAGAGCGGGCATAAACAAGTCAGGACCCGCCGTCGTCTCTCTACCGTGACTGGCGTAAGTCCTGGACGTTGAGCTCTGCGCCCACTTGATCGTCGATGCAATAGCCCCACACTCGAGCGAACTCTTGGTTCGGGATGTCATCACGCACCCACTTGTGGCCAAGTGTGGATGGTTGCTTGAACAACAGACTCGAGCGGGAGAGAACAAAGGATTGAGGAGGGGCCATATTAACTATTAAGAGACTGCGCGGGTGAAGCAAAATGTTGGATGGAGTAGTACCAAGTGCACACTCATGCAACTGTCCTCCGCCTTGTCCTTAATCTCTTTTCTTGGTTTGCAAGGCAAATCGGCAGCATAGAGTATGCAGAATCTCCACCATTGATGCAGGTAACAGATAGATCGACTCGCCACTCCGTATGATCGTCCGTCCCGGATGTCTGGAGGTGGCGACAAACTAAAGGGACCAGGCGAATCTGTGGTGGAGGTTCGATCGGGAAAAGGCGTGGAGAGAGAGAGACAGAGACAGAGAGAGAGAGAGAGCGAGGATATCATGCGATGGCATGATTGTTATCCATACGGGATGGTAAGAAAAGTGGTAACGAGCGAAACGCGTGTAAGTGTAACGGTAAAAGACAGCAAAACCAGAACGTATGGTAACGTATTGTAACTGATAACGCACGTGCTTGGCTACTTGTCCACCTCGTCCAGTCATTCTGCTCGAGTGACTAACTGCTCAGTCTATCGCCATCCTCGATGGTGGCAGAGAGGCATGTGTGGTGTGCCATGGCTGTTCTGAACCAAAAGGAACTTGTCAAACTAACAAATCCAGGAACCAACGCAACTGCGCCCTTTCATCACGCCGTTGATCAAATCCATGGGCACGAGGCGACGATCACCTTTCACCAACGTCCCGTCCCGCCCAAGTGCACACAAAATGCTCTGTTGATATTAAGTGCTGAGCAGATTATTAAGTGCTGATTTTCACAACGACCATCACCAAAGTGATAAGAAAGGAAGCCAAGACCCCATCCCGTCCCAAGGGCCGTGCCATGGAGTTCAACTGGTGGGGGGCGGTTCCGGGGGCTTATGCCAAGGAGTTGGAACTATCGAATTCGCAACGACCAGGGGTTCTGTTCATGAGATGATAGCAGCGACAGCCTTTTCGCATCATCGTTATCGAGTACTATCGTTCATCTTGCACTCTGTGAACGGGATTTGTACTCTTGTGAACGGGATTTGCACTTGTGGACCAGGACCACCTTCGAGTTCCCCGAGGAACCCGATCATCCATTTTCCCCCTTCTAGCGTCTTTCTCCCGATAGGCCCGGTGCACCCTAGTTCGCACCCCCACACCACACAATTTCGAGTCAGGGGACACAACAGGGAAAAGCTCTCCAGGCCAGGTCCATACAGTAGTCCCGCAGCTTCTGGCGAACACGTGCTAGAGCGGGCCCGTCGTGGAACTCCAGTCGTTGCTTTGAGACAATTGGAAAACGGGAACAGGGGGACGATCGAATGATTATTCGAGTGTTCTGGACTCAGAACTTGCCTTGGGGGAGCGGCACAAGGGACCACCCCTCTTCGGTAACCACGCAAAGCCGAGCGGACGTTGGAACTATTGAGTGCCAATTCCCTAGGTCGTTCTGTTTAACTTGTCATGTGCTGAACTAACCACTGCCGATTGCTTAAAAGGGGCAACAACACTCCGGATGCGAACGATCAGAGGCATGTTGCCCGCCAGACTTCAAGTGCATATGGCAGGTAGATCTTATTGGGGATTTAAACGGCGAAACCGTTCAGAGTTGCAATATTAATTCACTCAATTGCTGGACCAGTTGACAGTGATCAAATAGTCTCAAGAACGGAGTCCCTACGTTGACAGCTCCAAAGCACCAATCTGTACCTAACGAATCGTTCGGGTCTGCGTCTGGGCCGTCCCTTTGACAGGACTAGTATCCCGCAGCGCGGTAACATGGCAAATTGGCAAAGGCATCCACAGAATCCAGACATCAAATCCCGAATCTTTGTCGCTGGAACCCCCGGAAACTCTCCCGCCTGCGCCCTAAAAAAGAACGTCTCCATCCTTACGCCAAAAACGCCCCGCCGAATCCAATTTTGGGACCACACCGTCGCCCCTGGGACCGACCCCCTCTCTCTTCCAGGGCAAGGCCAAAGGCAAATATGGAGATCTTAGATCCCAAACAAAGAATAATCCGCGCGTGGCGCTGGTCCCCAGCCGAGATTCGGCGAAGAGCCGAATAATTATCGCCCATCTGCGCAAAGTACAAGCCCACTAGGCAGTGGGCACTAGCACCCCCGGAAAACTATGGATAAGCAGCCGTCAGCGAGAAGCTCTCATTTGTACTCCGTACACCTCACTGAGTTCTTGGACTAGTGTCTCCCGTGGACATGGAATAGGGATAGGGGTTTATCTTGCTCGAGTTTGAGATGTCACGAATGCGATTCCTTCGCGCCACAAGCTCGCGGCTGAACCCTTGTGCGGGATCGTACTAGTCGATGCTAGCTTGGTGCTCATATTATTGTCCCACAGTCCCGCTCATCTTGGATCTTTGCTGTGGTCTTTTGGGCGTCTTGCGGGTAGCTTCCCGGCTGGTTAGGGTGTGCATTATTACATTCCTAAAGGAAGTGTGGAGCTTGGAGGGTGGAGCCGACGTTGTAGGTCGTTGGCTTGCTAGTACCACTAGAGGTGAAAGATGCATGTCACTGGCGCGGGAAGTCTCTCACTTTCGTATGTATTGGATACTGGTATCAATAAGGATGTTTTTATGCACTCCCAGGTACTTAGTACACTTCTCACATCAGCAAAGGATGGCTATCCCGTGGACCACTTGCCTGGGTCAACTAGTCGGCGCTACTGTACGCTTCAAGTCTGTCGGGACAGGAGTGGACATAACTATACTGTAGATCACGTACATGCATGATGTATTGAATATTGTACGGAGCACACAAACCCAAGGTCAATTTACGCCCCTTTCCACGATAGCTGGTTCTTTTGTGGTGGCGACGGCCGCTAATCATGAGAGGTGTCCCGGACGATCACCCATCCGGAACCATGGATAGCTGCGTCTATCGTCATGTCCAATGATATCTGAGCTGAAGGCATGGACAAAAATGATGTACTAGCAGTCTACTGTATGCACAAGCTGATCGTTGCGAGTCCGTGTCTGAATTGGAATGATATTATAACCCACAGTACGGAGTAGTGGACTCCGTATTCGACGCATACATAATCGGTCAAGTCTCTGTGAGGCTTGAATGCTCCAATCCTTGTGTGATAGTTGTATTACTTGTACAATATATTTCTGTTCTGTCAATACATACTGTGAAGTATGGGCGGTCATTGCAGAAGGACCGATATCGATACTTGTGTAACACCTAAAAAGCGCGGCGTAGCTGGACCTCGTGGAGGTGAGCCCTGAGAACAAGAAGGGAAGCGGGCAATCAGACACAAGCTCATAATAAAAATCGGAATAAAATTTTCAAATTTAGCAATTCAAGCCAGATATGCTAATCGAACGCGACCATCTCGTTACACATAGCTAATAGATCGATTTTGTTCAAGATCGAACTAGATATCCCAGGCCGTGGTGAGACGCAGGTACAACCGGCCTGCATCGTAGGATCGATTGAAACATATATAGGGTTCCTCAGCCTCACTCCGACTGACCGCCACTACCTAGCAGGGCACAGTCCTCGAATGAGGAAAATGCCACGAGGTTACACAACATATACTAGGGACGGGAGAGGGACGAGGCAACGATGCAAGATCTGTGTGTGAAAGTTCTTAATCCTTCATCCCTGGAGAGCACGACTGGGGTTCGGGGTCGAGATTGAAATGTAGTAGAGTCGCGGTGTGCGGCTTACTTCGATTTGCTGTGGTGTTGCCTAGGTAGACCCATAATGGACAAGTTCGATTCATCATAATATATTGCAATGCTTAACTATAGGTCCATCAGATCGTGGTCTACTAGGGCTATATTCACTATCAATTTGCCTCGTGCATTTACTTAGGTCTCAATTGCTTGAACATATTGGTGGAATATTTCTCGGTCAGCTACTTCTACAGAATGCCACAATACTCATTACATGGCGCAATTCCCAAGCTGAAGACAATGCTGAAACAAGCCGATCCTAGAAGAACAGACCACCTCTTGATGCCGCACCCAACCAATGAAGCCCTCTAAACAAAAGATGGCTCGTTTTTGCGTCGCCTCCGGAAACTTTGACCTGCTTTATTCGTCACGTTTTTCGTGGATATCGGGTATTTGCTTATGTATGACTATATGTACGGAGTAGATCGCGTGAAAGCCAAGACCACGGATTCGGATCTCAAGGTCTTCCGCGTGTGGGAGTCTGAATATCGATCATCTAGACCTGGAGGAGATGAGGATGTCTTGGTGCGATATTTGTCTCCGTGATCGGCAAAGCGCACCCCGCGGCTCAATGCTGAGTGCTGTCTTGAGGTTATTGACCCAAAATAGCAGGAGACTGTGGTATGCTGCACGAAATGCGTATGGAGAAGGTTTAGTCGGTCAGAAATGGCCAGACAATACATAGTCATGGGTAGCTTGAACCATGTCCAAAGGACCGACTGTATTCATTGGGGCCTTATGGTTCTATATTTATATAGCCACATTACTAGACTAGCTCCAGACATGCAGACATAAGTTGATTATGTCGATACATCCATGCAAATTACTCCACTGCTAAGGCACCAAGGAAGCCAGTCGTGTCATATTTACTGTACCTCCTGTAGCAGAAATGACAATCCGTCAGGCAGTCCCATGGATCACAACGCGATCCCTACTCATTTAGTAGTACTTGCACAAGAATGACAAGACACCCACTCCGTACGCAGTTTCTGCACGGATAAGATCCGTTATGCGCCCCACATCTTGGGCATCACGGCATCGATCTCGTGTGATTTTGCCTGGAATAGGTGCCTTCGCGTCCGCATATTGCAGACACAACCCTGAAGGATGGAGCAAACCTGCAATAGTCAGCACTACTGTAGGAGACGAAACGGGATGGAGAATCCTTTCGGTACTGGTAGGAATTGTGAAATTGAGGAGGCGCTCTTGGCGCGATGAGACAAGCAAACGGAACTTTGAGACATGGTATTGAGAGAATGGAGATACGGCTAAGAGTACTCGGACTTCACGGGCTGGCCCGCCTCCCTGTAGGTACAGTATGGCATACGGTGCTTGGAGTGTATGTTTCATTTGCTCCGTACTGGTGATTGCTATCGCTGCTATCGCTGCTGTCACTGTGTTGCCATCCTTATCTCTTAAAACGCGGCTAGTAAAACTCTGAAATTGAAGAGTAGAGTAAAGTAACTCCTCGGAGCCCAAGATTCGAGTGCGGCTATAATCTCGCAATCTCGAGTTCAGTGTTTATCAGCAATCCAAGCGTCCCGTCCACAACTCTCGTACTCCACAAGGGCCAACAATTATCTGATTCTCCTCGGACCAGCTTCGATAAAACCTGGCCCGAGCACCGACACCCGCAATCCGTCCCACGGTTCAATCCCGACCAGGGCCACGGAAGTGCGTCCCAATTCAAGGCAGCGACCGCAGATCGCACTCTACAGACGGGCAGAAGGATCCGCCCCCGCCTCATCCCAAAGCTCATCATCCTACCGGTTTAGAGCTATGCCTGGAGGCGCCTAGCACTGTGATAATGCGGAGAGGGCCTGCATTAACTACGCCCAGATAACCTGTGCTCATTGGGTCCTGAGATGATCCCGTCGGAGGATTTCTTTTTGTTCCTTCGTGTTGACGGGTGAGGGAGCTTGGTGGACTAGTGACTGGCGGGGGATAATGCGTTGCCAGAGAGGAAGTGAATTGCGTGTGAAGATTGGAAATTGGACTGGCAACTGCAGTATCACCGAGTCTGTGCAGGTTTGGGCGATGGTTGGTTGATGGGGTGGTGATTGTTATGCGGATTGTGCTACTTTTGATTTATGTCTGTACTGTATGTCCACAGTCATGGGAGAGAATAGTTCGGATAGTTCGGAAGGATATAGATTATTTTTGGATGACTGCGAAAAGCAGATACACTTCATACAGTGCATCTCGAATGACGGAATTCATAAGGCCAATACGTAGTACGGGCTCTTTGTCTTCGAAGCTCCAGGGCCAAGCTTGCCCCCCGAGTCTAGACCTCTTGACGGAAGGCCTTATTACGGTTTCTGTCGCAAATTTAAGACCTTGATCAAGCTGGAGCCAATACTGTAAAATGTACAGAGTAACAAAAGATGGACTGGAGGGAGCTTCATTCCCCCATCTGTTGACAATCCAAGCTCGAGCTCTCCACCGTTGCGCTCTGGTCACTTTGTGACTCAAGTATCGAGGCATCACCTTCCGTAACAACGCAAGAATTGTGGCTCGATACTACGCACTATATTTTGGAGCCGACGTCAACCAGGACAAAAGTACCGTACGAAATGACTAAACCACGTCGAACCGAGTCACGCATATTTTTCACCGGAGAAACAACACCCCGAAATAGAGATGCAACCCAGCCCAGACCAGGCCAAACCCTGACCGAGTCCATTCCATAGCTAGTAATTGATCCTTCTCACCATAGCTCCTTTGGTACTGACCTCCATGGAGGAGGATCCCAGGTCTTACACACGGGTCCACGTCAAAACACAACCAGAAACAGAATGAGATCCTTGTCCCGCGAATCCGCCTGCCAAGTTCCAACGACATCAGCATCCGCGATAATTACCAACAGCTGCACCGGCTACATTGACTAGTGATGATGGGCGGGCCCGTCTCTGTGGACGTTGGAAGGTTGGACGGGCTAGTACTATGTATGCATGGCGCGGGTGGCTCTACAATAATGGGGCCGTGACTGGGACGTTTGACCGTTTCCGATGGGCCTTGCCTTTTGCGATAGCCTCGAATCTCCCAGCCGACGCGTTTGTGGATCCCCGCGTCTGCCAACGCGAACTTGCGTTGGTTTGTTCGCTTTTTGGGGAGAGTGTCGCATTTCCATCGGCGATACAATATGAACTAGACTGTTAGTGAGTAGGTCACTGGATGCCACTGCCCCACGCGGGATGAGGGAGGAGGGGCAAGTTGACGGGAAACAAAGAAAATGGGTTGAACGGGGGCGCTAAAAATGGAGGGGAGATACGCTTGTGGCGAGGGGGCGAACGGGGATTTGGTTCTCTTCTGGCAGGTAGTAGTTGGTACGGAGGAATTAAGATTAGTACTCGGTGGTATTGACTCAAAGTAGGACTTTTGGGATATTGCGCCCGAGGTAAATCTGCTAGCTATGCTTCCTAGTTGTCGCTCGGTCGACATCCTGTCTTCCGCACTCTGTAGTTGAGATGTTACACGTCGCATCTGGACCATGGGCTAACGGCGACAAAATAAATTGAGGGCGGCAAAAGCACTAAAAGAGACTTTTTTGGCTGCTGTCACTTGGGGGACGGTGGCTGCGCTGTCGATCCCCGGAGGATAGTTGACAGGCAACGTGAGAGAGCCAAGGCAAGACTAGCTCGCTCGTAAGAGGGTCATGTACGAGGCAGAAACTAGCAATCTGGAATAAGAAAAAAAAGAAGAACTGTGGTACATAGTACAGAGTAAATACAGTACATATCTCTTCGTACCTTTTTTCGTAATTCCTTCGTTCGGGAAAGGTGACTGATCGAGTCTGCGCCCGTGTTTGGCCCTCGCCGCAGGCTCCAGCACACGGCCAGTGCATTTAAGACAGGACCGGGTTTCCCCCACAGAATTGATTTTGGACAGAAATTTTGATTCGTGCGGCATCACGGGTGGCTTAGTGGTTTTTTGGGAGTGGGCCAATGAAGTAGCTGCTTTACTATGGGTTTTTTGAGTTAGTGAGGCCTGGACCGGGAAACGTTCGGCAGATGCAAGGCAGATTTGGGGGGGAGGGAAAATAATAGGAGCAGGATTGGTTTTATGGAATGGTATCGATACGTACTGGGTTTGTATGGTGAGGCAATAATGTACGGAGTACGGATACTTCTGGAGGGAAAGCTTCTTCGAGGTTCTCATGTACATAGGGGTTCTAACTCCGTCGGATCTATGGAGTCGAACATACAATAAAGACAGAAGCAACTATTGTGCAGTATTTATCCGTATCGATGTACGGTACTCCGTGCTCTCCTATCAATTAAACCTAGTTCGAGGCAGATAGCACCCACAGGTCGAGCTTATATTTCCTTTTTGCTCCGTGCTGTTCGATGAGTCCATACATACAGATGAATAAAGTCTTGAGGCCGACCGGATACCAAAGTACGTTGTATGCTCTGTAATTGGGATACGTCGGTACTTTCAAAGAGCACTACTGATACACTAGCGCAATGTATGTATTTTCTCTCCTCCATATTAGTTCCCTTGACATCAATTACGGGGGGTCAATACCGGCCAGTGGAGCTTTGCATGGATCGTCCCGATCGAGTCCCAGAAGAATCCAACTGGGTCCCTCGACTCCAGAGAAGCTCTCCTGCTTCTTCTTATTATTATTATTCCCTCCTCCTCCCTTTTCCCTTTTCTTTTCAGTCCTTCTTTTGATCCTTTGGTCACTATCCTTGGGGAAGAGATTCAGACGTCTTAATTGATTTCTGATCCATTGCGGCCTTTGGGGTGGCAATTGTATAACCTTCTTTTCGGACTTTGTATTGCATCCCTTTTTAACCCTCCTCCCCATCGCCAGCCCTTGCGTACAAGAGGACCCAGCAAGAAGGGATTCTCCTCAGATTTCGTCATCCCGCTTACTGCCAGTCAGTTTTTTTTTGGGTTGTCCTTGCTGCGATCTTCGTCATTAGGGCTCCATCCCCATTGCGGCTCCCTTCATTGGCAGTGGTGTTGTGCATTACTCCCAACCTCGCTCGGCCACCCTCCCCCCAAGTGGGCTGTCCTGCGTCTATCGAATTGCGCCGCGACGTGACTTGTCAATCTTCAATACCCCTTCCGTTGGGTCCTTCAATGTTCCGGACTCCTATCCCGGACACTCTGTTACTGTTTATAGTTTGATTCCTGTTTATTTCGGTTTCCAAAGGGTATGTGTCAAATTCAATCCCTGAGACTGTTTACTCCTTCTCCCCCGCCCCAGCATTCCTTTGCCCTCTTCTCGACTCCCTGGGTCTCGCGACATTCCAAACATAGTTCCCTCCTTTGGGGAACAAACACCTGCGATCCTTGTCCTCTGTGCCCATTCGATCACTTGCCGCCCTTGTCTAGCGCCCCTCCAATTGACCTTGATGTGTAGGGTTATCCCCAGCCATCTGGCGATCCGAATCACGCCCCCCGCGGTCATACCTGCGTTCACGACTCGCCACTTGTCTTTTGTGCGTGTGCTTTTTCATCTGCTAGGTACGGAGCTCTCGAAGGATGTCAATTGCACCTACCATCGCATAAACGCCCTCGGTCAGTGACCCTCACGGCTTTTCGATTCTATCGATTCGATCTATACAATACCCGATAAAGTGGGCAAGAGATGGAATCGATGAAGCCAAATATCCCACCGTTACAGATCGCCAAGTCGAATCCGAATATCACTGTGTCGACCACATTGTCGGATCCATACGACACAAACCATACGCGGGCTCGTTTCTATTCGAATACCCTCGGCCAGTCCGAGATGACGCCGCCATTAACACCACAAGGATCTACTCAACCTGAACACAATATGGAACAGCCCGAGACTCCGAGAGCCGTCTTTCACAACTACCTACGCGCCTTCTATCCTTTTCATCCTGCCGGAGATGTCTCTCCTTCGACGGTTACCCTTCCCCCTCGACCAGGGCGATATCATCCTGGTTCACTCCGTTCACACCAATGGCTGGGCCGACGGTACCTTGTTAGATTCTGGGAATCGAGGCTGGCTCCCTACCAATTACTGCGAAGCATATGACCAACTCCCAATGCGTCCGTTGTTAAAAGCACTAACAGACTTTTGGGATATCATTCGAGGAGGATGTGGATCATCACTCAAGGATTTCGGTAACCAAGACTTGATGCGAGGCCCCATTGCTGGCGTTCGGTTCCTTCTTGAGAAGTCTGAATGCTTGACTCGGGATTCGCCTCTTGTCAAGAAGTACGATGGGCTTCGCCGAATTCGCAAGGCCTTGCTTTCCGACCTTTCGGCACTGGTCAAGACTGCCAAGCAGTTCCAAGATGTCGCCAATGGTGCCCCAGCGGAGGATGAGGTCGAGGCCATTCTAGATGAGATGCTCCTCAAGGCTTTCAAGATCGTCACCCGTGGCGTTCGTTTCCTAGACGTTTGGAACGAGGAGGTTGGTCTGAGTAGGACCATTGCGGAGATGGAGACGGCCGGTACTTATTGCGATATGCCCCCGACACCAGCGTCGGCGACCTTCTCTTTGGCAGACACTGCCCCGTTTTCCGACACTTGCACCGAGCGAAATGAGTCTCGACAGATGAGCCACAGTCGTATGGAGTTTAGCCGCGCCTCAATGCGGACCGAGATGCTCGATCACCAGTCCCGTCCCATGTCTGTGTCAACAAAGCGTATCTCGATATCCCACCGAGTCTCGTATTCTGGTCCCTCGTCGGCTATTCGTCCGCAGAATCTCGCGTCGGAGCGTCTGGGAACCTCGTATGATGCTTTCCTGGGTGTGTTGGGAGCTTTCATCGGCCTTCATATGCAGTCGCGCTCGTCAACGGAGCTGGTCACCACCACCCAGCAGGCCGTGCAATCGTGCCGGGCCTTGCTGAACGTGGTTGATGCTGTCTATGACCATGATGCCCAGCGAAGTGTCCTCCTCGATCAGGCACGCGAGTCGATGTGTGAGAAGCTGTCTGAGCTGGTCCACGCCGCGCGCGACGTGTTCCGTCCTGCCAACTCTCACGACGACGACCTGGTCTTCATGCCAGATGAGGGCAAGCGACTGGTCGACGCTGCAACTGATTGCGTTCGCGCCGCTGGCAATTGCTTAGCCAAGGCTCGCCTGGTGCTGGAGCAAATCGGCGACATCGAATTGGACACCGTCCAGGAGGAAATCACTACCCACGAGGACCTGCCAGGCACTGTCACCTCGCAAGCGTCGCCCGACATGCCGACCGACCAGGGAAAATCCCAAGATCTCTCACTTCGTCTTCCCCCGCCGCCTCTCGCGATTCCAAACTCGACCTACTCGCCATCTACCCCTGGCCTCACCGACTCGACCACACCCTCTTCTTTCCAATCGCACCTCACTTCTTCCAGCAGTCCCGCCCTTCCCTCTGCCTCGTCCTCTCTTCCTAACTCTGCCATCCTCCCCACCCACTCTGAACAAGCTTCCTCTTTCTCTTCATACGACAGCAGCTTCCGCCAAAGCCATCCCAAGTCCGACGTGAGCGAGTCCTTCGGCCGTGGTGTTACAAGCATGGGTAGCAACTTCACGTATCACAGTCACACCCGCGACTCCGAGATGAGTGGTCTCTCTCAGACCTCCACCCGGGCCACCTCCCCTGACATCGGAGGTAGCTTCCATGGCAGCTTCATGGTCCCTTCCTTGAAGGAGAGTGTCAGCCACTCCACTTTGGCCGAAGAGACCGAGGAGACGGAAGCTCACCTGTTGGAGAAGACCTACGCCCATGAGCTGATCTACAAAGATGGCCAAGTCATGGGCGGTAGTCTGCGCGCTCTCATTGAGAAGCTCACTGCTCACCAGTCTACCCCGGACGCCATGTTCGTCTCCACCTTTTACCTCACCTTCCGTCTCTTTGCGACCCCTCTGGAGTTTGCTGAGGCTCTCGTCGAAAGATTCGAGTACATTGGGGATACACCTCACGCTGCGGGACCTGTTCGCCTGCGCGTTTACAACGTGTTCAAGGGCTGGCTGGAGTCGCACTGGCGCCATGATCGCGATAACTCGGCTCTCGAGTTCATCATCACCTTTGCAAAGACTCGCTTGGCTGTTGACCTCCCCACCGCGGGCAAGCGTCTCCTTGACCTCTCTGACAAGGTCTCTGCTGTTGGCGGCCCCGTTGTCCCTCGTCTGGTCTCGTCGATGGGCAAGACCAACACCGCCATTGCTCAATACGTTCACCCCGATACCCCTCTTCCTCCTCCCGTTGTCGGCAAGAAGGAGTCCAACTTGCTCAAGCAGTGGAAGACTGGCGAGGCCTCGATCTCCATCCTGGACTTTGATCCATTGGAGTTGGCTCGACAGCTGACTATCAAGGAGTCGCGTATTTTCTGCTCTATTCTTCCCGAGGAGCTTCTCGACACCGAGTGGACCCGGAAGTCTGGTTCCCTGGCAGTTAATGTTCGCGCCATGTCCACGCTTTCGACGGATCTGGCTCACTTGGTTGCCGACTCCATCCTCTACTTGGAGGAGCCCAAGAAGCGGGCTGCAACTATCAAGCACTGGGTCAAGATTGCCAACAAGTGCCTGGAGTTGAACAACTACGACACCCTCATGGCCATCATCTGCTCTTTGAACTCGTCCATGATTTCTCGCCTGAAGCGCACTTGGGACGTTGTGTCGCAAAAGACCAAGACTACTCTGGAGCATCTCCGCACCATCGTTGATGTCTCCCGCAACTACGCAGTCCTGCGCCAGCGCCTGCAGAACCATGTGCCCCCCTGCCTGCCCTTCGTTGGTACTTACCTGACGGATCTCACTTTCGTTGATCATGGCAACCAATCTCTCCGGAACCTGCCGACAGATGACGGTGAGATGGCTGTGATCAACTTTGACAAGCACATGAAGACTGCCCGCATCATCAGTGAGCTCCAACGGTTCCAGATCCCTTACCGTCTTACCGAAGTCCCGGAGCTGCAGACCTGGATGCAGAACGAACTGGTCCGTGTGCGCTCAAACGGTGAGACCACCCTTCAGACCTTCTACCGCCGGTCGCTGGTCCTCGAACCGAGAGAACCCTCGCGCAGCGCTGTCAACCTTCAAGCCCAGGCTCAGGCTCAGGCTCAGGCACAAGCCCCTCCTTCAACTCATTCCGAGTCATCACCCCCGAATCAGTCGATCCTTGAAAACGCCAAGGACAAATTCGATTTCCTGTCATGGACAAACCCTTCCAAGGCCAAGTCCGTCGCGACCAACGGCTAATCTTCTTCATATCATACCCTTATACCCCATTTTACTTTTTAACATTTATGACTGATGACCTCGACTTTCCTGTTTCACCGCTTCTTTGCTGTCTTAGTCCATCTTCCTGACCTATTTTTTATCTCATATGCTGGCTGCCATAGTGTTTTCATTTCCCTGCGTTCTTGTCTCAAAGTTTTGTGAATATCCCCCATCATATGTTTGGTTCTATTCTCTCTTACTCTCTCCGGGTGGCGCTTGTGTCTTTTGTTTCATCCTTCCTGCGGGAATAACTGGCATCAGAAAAGCGACAGGAAATGGGTCCCGGTTGGAAAAATGGAGTCTCAAAGGGCCTTTTCTCGATTTTGTTTTCTCTCTTTTGAAATGGTTTATGGGTCCTTTGTTGAAGGATTATGGGATAAGGTTTTTTTCTTGTCTGTGATTGTGTTGGGATGTTCATCCTGAGACCATTGAGGGATGGATGCCTCCTGGCTTTTGTACAAGTGCTGCTACAAGCTATTGAAATGCAAACATGATTTTGCTGAATGACTCGGTGTCAATCCTTTCTGTAGATCGTATTCTCTTCTCACTTCTCGTAGTTACTCCTCGGTCTGGATCTCGCAAGACCTTGCGTATTTTCCAACTTAGAACCCCCAATTCATACCTGGCCCATATCGCTCTCCTTTATCCTTTCAGCCTGTCCATCTAAAAATCCATTCGTTGTGCAGAACGTCATCATGACCACGAAGGACACCGAATTTGTGGGTTCCCTCTTCCCTAATTGTCCTCGGATTTCCATATTAGGCAGGGCTGCCTCTATCGAGCTTGGTTTTCCCTCAAAACGGCATCAACAAGTCCTTCCTTACTGCTGATAGGGCAATAGGAGGAAGATTCTTCGGGTTTTGAGGATTCTTCTGTCTCTCCCTGTTTTTCCTTCTTCACCATCTCTCTTGCTATTTGCTTTACTCTATTACAACCTTCTTTGATCCCTCCTTTTCTTCATTGCTGCTCTTGCTGGTTGTTCTGATATCGTATCAGCCTTTGCTACTCCCCTTCCTCCTTAATTTCTCTTTCTTGTTTCTCTGATTTCCTATCAGCCCTCTTTCCCTCATTTCTCTATTCCCTCATTTCCTGGTTACTCTACTCTCGTAGTAGCCCTTTCGTCCCTCTTCCTTTCCCTAACTTTTCCCTTAGAAGTACGGTAGATTTTTTACTAGCACGTACCCGTTTATGGGATTATCCCCAAACCAGAAACTCCTCTTCACATCCCCGTTACAAACTTCCATGCAACAACGGGGATCAGCCATCGCCATGCGCCTCAAGAAGCAACACGAACCCACCTGGGTATGGCGCTATAAGCACCATACTGAGGTGCTTTCGACCATCTGGTCCTACCTAACTCTTTTAGTGAATGATCTTATTCCCGACGCCTTTGTTCGAATGCTCAACGTCAACCTCCAGCCACTCGACTTCTTCACCGGAAAGACGTTTACTAACCCCGCAGCTTCTCTGACTCCGTTCTTCTTGCCCACCGACAAAAAGGTGCAGCGTAAAAAGAAGAACAAGTCTATCGAGCACACGATCAAGTTCCCCAAGCACCTGGGAAAGGCTCACAAGTCCACCGACAAGCCGACCTCGGAAGACATCCAACTGCAGAAGGATCTTACAGAGGAGCTTCAGAAATTCTGTCTTCTTGCCCAATCGTATCGAGGATGCGATGGAATGACTCGCTTCGAGTAAGTATCTTGCCTCCATTTCAAGTAAGTTGTTGTTTCAATGGACTAACCGGTCTTCCAGTCGGCCATCAAATGTCAACACAGAGAAGATCCGGACTTTGGCCGGCTCTGTCCCATTCCAAGTTTCCTGGGCGATGGAATACAAGCAAGGTGCCCGTATTATTACTCTTGTACCAGAGGCCTATCCCGACCCTGCCCGGCCCTCGGCGACTGAAATTGAGATCTTGATCGCCGTCATCATTCAGGGCCTGCGCCAGCAGAGTCACGAGCTTGGCTTTTCCGACCCTAAGACCAGAAACAAGTTGCCTTTGGGCTCCGTCAACTTTGTCATCCCAGTGAGTAGTAACAGCATACCCTAGATATGGAAAAGGCTCAGCAGTCCGACTGACGTATTTTCCAGGCTCTTATTATTTCTGTCTACCCTGGTGCTCAAATCCGGGTTTTGTACGGCTACATGGTTAACAATCAGCTCCACTTGCACTTCACCCAGCTCCACCAATTCACCAAGGACAACTTCCAGACAATGTTGGAAGCGACTCTCCGCTGGGTCTTCCCTATTGCTCTAGGCCAAGCCGCCAAGCTCGTTACCCTCCCCGATATCCAGGAAGAAGAGGAAGATGTAGAAGGAGAAGACTGGGAGGATCTGGAGGATGAACAGTCGGAAGAAGATGTTAAAGAGTGTGCGCTGCACTTGTACGCCGCTGCAGAAGTTGATGATGGTCATGTAATGGGGACGTCTCAAGAGCGTATGAATGTGTCGAGTATCTCTACCTCTATTGTCACTGCTACGTCCACCACCACGAGGAAGACTAAGAACAAGAGAGCTACTAAGAAGGGAAAGAGACGTTCACGTTGAAAGATGTAGGAGGATATGGATGGATTACTAGACTGAAATCTTGATGTACTGGGGATCACAATTTGTACGGAGAAAAAAGGTCTTCTATACATACCGCACTGTGAGAGGTATATCTACTGTCTGACTAACTGTCTATTCGTGGAACCATGACCCATGAATAGGTGGGAAGAAAGATTCGCGCAAATAAAGAAGGATCAGAAAGAGAACCAAATTGATACCCAGGTACACACAGAAAATCAAATTGCAATTTTGGAATTTTTCGAAGGAGGAAACAAAATTGAAAACCCAGTCGGGGTTTATCTACGAGTACTTACAGCTTTCCGTGGTGTGAGAGATAAGTGGCCTTCACGGCAAATTCAATCAAATCAAAATTTCTCACTTTCCATCGCCTTCCATGAGTAAAAGTAATAAATACAAGAGAATGATTCTGGTTAAATCTCACAACAAAGTAAGATACGCGGTGTGATTGACCTTGTAGGAAGCGATGACTCCATTGGTGTTTCTCGTGATCGGATGGTCCGCGGACAGTCCGGACCTCAATATACGTGACTCTACACTCTCCGCGGCTTTAAGAAACACACATATAACTCAAGAAAACCAGCATCATAAACGGACCTATAATTCATAATCATCAAACTTCAAGACTCCCTTGAAAATTCAATCATCGCTCACGCAAAAATGTCGACCGAATCCCTCCAGGAAACCAACAACAAAACCCTCGGCACATCTGCTGGCACATTCCCTATCATAACACTCCCCGATGGACGCAAAGTGCCTACCGGAACTGTTGGTGCATTGCTAGTTAATATAAAAGCTTACGATGAGGGGAATGAAGAGCGACGTGCTGAGTTGGAACCGGCTATTCAGGCGGCTATTCCGACGCTGGTGAAGGTGGGCATGTTTGATATTTTTACTCCAAAGGAGTGGACGTCTGAGAGTAGTCAGGGGAGGAGTTTGGTTGGGAAGCTTGCGAGTGATTATCTTGAGTAAGTGTTTTTGTATACCCTCTGGATAATGGGTGTTAACTCGTCTACTTGTAGTGCTACTCGATGAGTTGATGGGGAGACAGGGCGTGGTAGGCTTGTATGACTGTGATTTAAGGACTCGGTGACCTGGATGTACTCTATTTTGCTCTGTCTGTGTGTCAAGATCATTGCCTCCGTCTGAATTCGACATGCTGCTGATTTGGTGGGCTTTTTCCGCCGTTCGGCATGGGTACGCATCATGGACAGCCTGGCATACGTTCGAAGACTTTTGTTCCTTTACTGTATTATCATGTTGATCAGTATGTCATGTTTCAGTAATGTTACTAGATATTCGAAAGATCCAAGACACGATTTTTTACAGTCCGTATCTCGAAAAGTTTCATGTCCTAGCTATTGGGCCTCCACTCTATCGTTCACATACAAGCAGGGTCCTTTTGCGCCCGGAAGTAAAACCTCAAAAGGCCTCATATTATGTGCTCGGTTGCCTTGACGGCGTATCACAATGTCAGTTTCAAGATGAGGGATCAAGTGATGCATCTCAATCTCCATTCCCAAGAACAGTCATCCTTGCATAGGGCTCCTCCGCCACAATCCACCAAAAGTCTGTGCCACGCCTAAACGGCTTCCACGTATATAAATCATACTCATCGCCAATGCAAGGGATACGTCAAAAAAAGAACCCGACACTTTGGGCGTAGGGTCAGAGTGGGGGCATTATGAGCTTGGGTCCAAGAACCGAAGAACAATACGGATGCCTAGATCTCCATCAGTTCCTACTAGCGATGTACGTTATTGGTCTGGAAATTCATAAATTGCATGCCGATTATACTTTCTGCTAGTTCATGCAGCGTGAGGGCTAAAGAGCCGCTGATGTGGCGGCTGAGGGCTGTATGTTGCCTGACCATACATCCAAATGAGGATGGTCTTACGGGGTACGCCGGAATACACAATAATAAGTACGTGTGTATGTACCGTCTTGAAATGATGTAGTGATGAATTGTGAAAGTAGTTATGCTTTGTTGGACGTTTTGCCTAGATGGATGTGATATATCAGATGCGCCACTATTGAGGGCCTCTTATTGTGCGGGGCAAGAGCATAAGTACACCATGGCGGAAGTACACGGCGAAGAAGTCCGATGGTAAGGCTAATTGCACGGTGTCTGATGGTATTCTCATGATCGCTGTAACATTGGACAATGTGGATGTCTGGCCTGAACAATTTGTCTAATTGACATACTGCGCCCGAAATGCCTCCATGAATTCTATCCCATTATCATCATTCTCGTTAAATTCCAAATCCAGGATGCCACCATCAGAGGGCAAAGCTCCATTTCCAGCTTGTAGTCGCAAGTCGAGAATCGGGATCATGGACGGTCGGCCATGAGCACATTGGAACGGAAAGGCACACTTCGAGAGCCGCATGACTAGTGCTTCACATTCCGCTTGACTCAACGAGTCGTTGAACATGATAGCACCACGGCATGCCCGAGAATTGAGTAGATCCAGAATGCTCTGCGGACAGCCGCTCATTTTCTGCACCCACGGGTGCGTTCTGTCTCCGGAGAACTCTTCGTTATCAACATCGTAGCTCATTGAGAAATTCGTCGCTGGTCGTTTCGAGCCCGGCGGCTTTCCATTCTCCTCCTCATAAGTCCAAATTTCACGACGGAGAAGGTCCACGATCAGGTTGGGCTCAAGTCGACAACGCTCAGCAATGAGAGTTGGTAAAGCAGTGACCTGAACGGTTACTTCAGATACCTCTTTAGCGATTACGCTGTAGCCAATACCCCAATTCATGAAAAATTTCAAGTACGTGCGAAAGCGTGAAGCTTCTGTGGCTGATATGCCAAAGGAAATTGGATCAATCTCCATAGTTTGAACTTGATCATGCCGATCCAAGGAGCCGGGAGAAATGAACATATCCTCAAACAACAGTTCAACTCGGCATCGCTCATCGGCGGCATGTTGATCGATCAAGACTAGAACACTCTCCGGTTCATGTTCAACGGTGGCAGGGGGATGTGTAGGGCCTAACTTGGCGAGGATGAACTTTCGATCCACTTGGGCGATGATGGTGGCCTTCGCCAGGCTTTGCCGTTGTAATTTGCCTTTGAACTTGGCAACGTGTGCGCCATACAAGGTACCGATATCCTCGTGGTAATGATGTGAGCGAGCTGGATCGTGAAGGTGATCCGCCTCGGCGTTGAGATTTGGCACTGGCGCCTCTGTTCTGGCAAATGTAGGGTTATCCCAAGCATCGAGCAGATTATCTACCCAAAGCCTAGAAGATGAGGCGTATGCTGGTTTGCGAGATTGGCCATGTCTTTGCAATGTGCTAAGGAAGCTGTTGGACCTAGGTCCAGCATGGATAGATTTGAGGTTGACGGTCTGTCCAGTTCGTGAGTGTATTTGGTGTGTTTTTCCAGTACGTGGGTCAACCCAAGGGATCAATTCATCGGTAGGTGTCTCCGATGGATGGAGCTCGGACTCGCTGTGCTTCACACCTTCCACATCACGAAGGGATGGGACCAAATCACCATTTAATGTCTCTGGTAGGTCAGAATGAGTAGAGAAATGTCGACTGCAGTTTGAATGACTTCGTCGCCGCTCTAGTAATTGGGGCAGCTGCGACTCTTCGTATACATTGTTGTTCTGAGAAACAAGGCTTGCACCCACAACATCAGCCCTCTGATATTCGGGCTGCTTTGCAGCTTTCACGCGGGACCAATTGCTGAAGTGCGGTCCGAAATTGGCAGACTGCGATCTTTGCAACAGCGGAAGTTTCAACCCTTTATCAAAGCCCTCTCGTAGGCTCGACCTCCGACTGCTTTTGGACAGACTTTTAGATCGCGCAGAGCTCGTTCGTGTAGCGCTCATGGTTCTCTGAGGCCGATCGGGAAGTTTCGCTTGCTGTCGACTCGCCCGAGGTCGCATATTCTGCTGTTTTAAGAACTCCATGATCATGGCCTCCAAGACATCCATAATCTCTTGCAGTGATTTCTCAGTCGTGGGAAAAGGCTCATCATCATCGTCCAAATGCTGAAGAGATTCAGTGTCGATGCGTATATAGAACATCGGCCATTTGTTGACTGACTTCGCCCAATTTTTGCTCATCACGCTGTTCAAGGAATCAGATCTGCTAGTCACAGGCGCCGAACGTTCTGAAGTTGCAACGTCAGATCCGCTTCTAGTGTTTCCAAAGTCGGACATAGACATTAACCGATTGACCGCATTGAATAAGATGTTTGAAGCATTCCGTGACAGCATTGGGTCCTTGCCCAGTGAGATGAATTGGATTTTCTTCGATGGACTCGGTATATTCGATATTGCTGCTTGTATCTTTAGACACGGAATCGACGCAGATATGACACGCCAAGAATTCATATTGCGAGATTCTAGCATCCCAGATTGTGAAAGAATGGACCCTATACGCTCGAGATCCATTTCAAGAGTGGAATGGCTTAAAGAGGCATCTGGTGGAGTGTTATCAGGACGAATAGTGAATCGCTTGCCCCTTGCAACATCCGAAAGCACAAGCTTCGAAAGCTGGCCATTTGCTAGCATGAGAGAGACCATCATATCTCTGAGATGGTCCCACTCTCTTCCAATTCTTCGGGTTTTTCGAGAGACATGGCCCGACTCTTCACACGCACTGGCATATTTCCGAAAAGATCATTTACAGCCACACATGTCCCATGTTCGCCAAGCCGGGGGCTATGATGGGCGGGAGCAGGGATCAATCGTGCTACCGGCCTGGCATGGTGAAAAATGACAGAATTTGTGCTCGCATGTTGAATATGACGAGACGTCACAGTGAGCAGCGACAAGGAAGCCAAAGAAGCCAGGAATAGACCTCGATGCCCATAGGCTTCTGGGGTTTGATGTTTGGAAGTATCTGAAACAGGCGTTAAGCAAGACCATACAACCAGGGATAGTACATAGTGACATACGGTGCGCTTTTCCAAGCCCGCCGGTAGGCTCAAACTCCACCGGTCGGATTCCCTTCCCATCATCCTCCACTATGCAGCTTCCATGTTTGAAGTCCACGGAGACGAGGACTGTCTGTGCGCCAGCATCCAGCGAGTTCTTGACCAGACCCACAACAACTCCATGCAGATGGGTGATTGAAGTTGAAGATTTGATCTTGGCAGCCACGTCCAAGGGAAGTGCCTGAATGACTGGCCCATTTGAAGACATGACAAATTGACTCTGGCGTGAGAGAGTTGTCGCGGATGTTTCAGTCAAGGCATGCTTTCCATTGTATCACCAACGGGGTTGCAAGAACGGCAGGAACGTTGCCACTCATTCATAACTGTCGCATCGGAGGAGGCCTCGAGATAATAAAAGAATCTCAAAGTGGCAGAATAAGTAGAAAATGGTCCAAATTCAGTTGATACAAAAGTAAATGAGGTAAACGAAGGCAAACGATTGACATCAAGGGCGGGCACATGACCTACACGGATAAACAGTCATCCCGCGCTCTCCTCAATTGCCTCGGCGCGCTGCTCAACCTGTCCGTTGCTTGCACACTGCTCATCCTCCTGAGCAAATGAACTGTGGCGGGAGGTATTTGGACCATTCGCTACCCATATTCAACATGGCTACAGCTGAAGGGCCTGCGAGGGTGCATGGTAAGCTGTCTTGTTGGACACCTGTCCTGTATGAAACACTGGGCTTATTACCGGGATATACAAACAGATCGCAACGGTCGGCGCCGCCCTTTCTCGAGTTGGATGAAGCGCCTCGCAAGCTTAAAAAGCTCCTCCGAATCTGGTTCTCATCGCTGGTCAAACAAGCGACATGCAAACTCCAAGGGCAAGAAGAATGGTGGGAAGGGCAACAATCCGTATCCGCTGTCAGGCACACTCCAGCGCCCAAACCACAGCGACTCATACTCAGAAGTCGGCGACCGCGACCGCCATGATTCTCAATCACGAAGTGACCCTTCTCTGGTCTATTCAGGTTACGAAAACCCGGTTCCCGCGAGGAGCGCCAAATCCACCGCCCCTACCGTGTCGACCAACGGCGACACCGCGATCTCGGATGCAGGATACTCCAAGGCAGGGACAATGGCGACAGGGGGCGGGGGGTTAAGCTCGCATGGTGGAGGCGAAGGGAGCACATTCTCATCGCCCGCACCTTCAGTGCGATCGTTGACCACCACCTTGACAACTGTGCAGTCGGCGGCACCATCTACTCAATTGTACCCTGCGCCGAATACACAACATGGACATACACACGGAAGCTCGGCGCAGAGCTCTGGGAATCAGCAGGTCCAATTTTCGCATCAATTCCCTACCTCGTCATCGCCAGCTACCGCCGTACCCCCACACCTTATACCCCACAGCCAGTCGATGACATATAGCACTGCGACAGCAAACAATGTCTTGAACGACAATGCCTCTATCCTGACACTCGCAAGCTCATCCAAGCGCCGCAGACGGAACTCTCTGGATACCAATGCCTCTGTGCGTGCGTTGGCACCTTCATCGGTCTTCGGCGGGAGCCGTGAGAGCTTGCCATTAAGCCTGCTCAGCAGTAGTGTGGTAGAGCCGTCAAACACTTCGGCATTCAACGCCCAGGGGGTGCTGGCCCGACCGAGCATGGTTGGACTCGCAAGTGCTGAGCGCATCAGTGTATATTCCTCGTCTGGTACGGCCCCTTTGGGCAACGGCGGCGAACGAGGCAGTTTCCACACCGCGAAGCCGAGCCAGGCCGGAGGTGATGGATCGAGTATTCGCAGCGGTGCGCCATCGCATACTCGAAATGATAGCACGGCTGCTAGCATTACCGGTGGAGTGGGCAGTCCGTTGGCCATGGCCTCTGGCCGTATCAGCCGCAGGAGCTCCGGGTGGGGCGAGATCACCGACGAAGGTAATGAGAGGAAGCCTGGCGACGCGATGGATGAGAATTCTGCACCCAAACCAGAGGTCTCTTTCAACGAGGAGCCACACGAAACCTGATGCTGGACGGCAGTTGTGTTGTTTCCATGTCATTCCGAAAACGACAACGACAAAGGACACGAATGACTTGACGCAAGAGCCCTGCTACGGGGTAAACATACTGCGGACGAAGATACTTTTTTTTTTTAATGATTGGCGCATGGTAACTAGGCAAAGGGGTGGATTGGATTGCGGTGTTCAATCCTCGGGCGTTTCTTTGCTCTTTCTCGGTTGTTCAGGACAGGAACTTTGATACCCTTTGCGGTATGTCTGGGGTTTCTCTCTTTCTACTTCAGCTGCATACATTCTTCTGCAAATTGGTTCCGTGTATTCATGAGTCAAACATAATTATTACTCTTTTCTGATATGCTTCCTCTTCGAGGTCGAATAGAGCAGGATAGCAATGTCTACGCACGACGCTTGATGATCATTGGCATGTCGCACTGGTAGACAAACCAGGCATTACGATACTTCCACTCGTGCTTCGGATCAACTAGTTGAATCTGTATCGAAGTTAGTATTGAAGCTAGATGCTCTGGAGCCATGAAATACTCACATCGAAGAGACTATAAAGCGTTGCGATCAGCTTCTTGATCTCCAGCATGGCCAAATACCGACCCATGCAGATCCGACCACCACCACCGAAGACAAAGTCAACGGTATCCTTCATACGCCGCGAACGAGCCTCAAACTGCTCAGCGCTTTCATTCTTACCCTGCAGCCAGCGGTCCGGATTGAAAGTGTCCGCATCATCCCCAAAGACGCCATAGTCCCGGTTGGTCACGAAGGGGTTGCACCCAACCTTAGTGCCAGCAGGGATATAGCGTCCATCTGGCATGGTGAATCCACCCTCTGGGACAACACGCTCCATGATCAGGGAAACGCCGGGGCTCACGCGCATCGATTCGCGGATAACTGCGTCTAGATAAGGGAGGTCTCGGATTGATTTCCAAGGCGCCGGGGTGGGGAGAGAGGCGGCTTGTAGCTCGGCGGCGAGCTTCGATGATGTGGAGGGGGACTTGGCCAGATAATACAGAATAGCACGCATGGTAGAAGAACTGGTATCGCCACCAGCCAGAATACTCAGCATCAGCCAGTTCACGATTTGCTGATCGTTGACCATGTCCGGGTATGTCTCCTTGAGCTGCACATATTTGTCCAAGGTGTGATCCACAGAGCCGGCAGAGACCTTTTTCTCAGCGAGCTGTGCTTGATACTCTGCAACAACTTTGAAGGCATAGAGCACGCCAGTGAGAGTGGGCTTAGGTCCAATTCGCTTGATTGGGTTCTTGTCGAGCAGGTTATCGATCCAAGGGATTTGGGAGACCTAGGTTTGGATCTAGGATTAGCAGGTCCAAAACAGTTCTAAAGAGATGAGGTTTCTGTACCGAAGCAAAGTAGATTAGACCAGCTGTAGAGTCGGTGATCAGGTTGTCCACATCCTTTTCTTGATCAATGAATCCGTAGTGACGGCCGAAACTAAAGTTCGCAGTGACATCCCAGGCAACTAGTTGCATGTTAGTAAAGGCTTCTAAGGTCCAAATAGATAGACGTAGACTTCAATGCTCACAGTATCCAATCCATTCGTCAGCTGGGCAGCTGGTACCAGCGTTCTTGCCATCTACAAACTTCTCGGCAAGCTTGTCCACGAACTTGATGATAGTCTCGTCAATGAGAGGCTCATACTCGAGAACCTTGGTCATGCTCCAGAGACCGCGAATAGGGCGAATGTTCTGGCTATGCCATTCCTCATCTTGTGAGTTGAAAAGGTTACTAAGACGATGACCTTCAATGAGCACATCGTTAGGTCGGTACATATCACTCTATTCAAATTGGTTGTCAGTTATGACAGCTTCGTAAACGGAATGCGGGCCGGAACCCTACCTTCTTCCATGGGTTACGTGTGGAGTAGATCGTCCGAATAAGGCCTGGATCAGAGATGCTCACGCAATTAGGCCCAATTGCCACTGCTGTTCCATATTTGCGGTGGAGTTCAAGATGTTTCAAATCAACACGGCCACGATGCGTGTGAATTGCCCGCCAAGCATCGGTGATTTTGGCCAGAATTGGACCAGGAATGGTCTTCAAGGGTGAGAAGAAAACATCCCAGACGAGCTTCGTCAAAAGCAAAAGGCCAAGGCCGGCAAATGATTGGGTCCACACGCTGGAGGCAAGCGAAGACATGACTGCCATTGTTGCAAGCTGACCCATGCAACGTAGGCACGGAACAACGAGTGAAGAAAAAAGCAAGTTGCTGTTGAGAAATTGCAACTCGCAAAGTCTGCCAGAGGGGTCGGGATTGTCAAAACAGATGGTCAATAATGGCAGCTGATTTTGAAGTGCTGGGCCATCGAGCACCACCTTAGCGTTCAGGGGACGGCAGAGAACGACCGATCTAGCCAGTAATGACACACTCCGGGGATTCAAAATAGCAGTTCTTTGCAGACGACCATAGGGCGGCATTGTACTCCGTAGTTATTGTGTTTGCCGGTGTTTGAGACACGCCACTAGTGAATAACGCGACTATAGCTTAGTCTGTTGACGGCACGGTGGAGGGCGGGTTGTGGAGTCCGAGATTGCATTTACGGCCGCATTGACTGGCCAACTCGAGGAGAACTGCCCTAGCAAGCTCTAGGGGCATTTATTTTGACAGCAGCGCGGTCCTAGTGTCTGTCGGTGTCCCCTACGACAAATCCTTCGTAAATCCTTCGTAAATCCTTCAGAGCGGGGCTTCGGGAAACGGCCGACAAAGGTCTTCCGCGGGGCGAGATTGAACGATCTAGGAAAATGGAGAACCTAAAGAGAGTGGCTTGTTAGTCAAGAACTCCAGAGTGCGGGAAGGCGCTTCGAACCAAAATTCAGTCTGGTCCAATCAACGAGGAAAGACCCACAGGCAGACTTGAAGGATTGAAGGATGTCAGCCACTAAAACATTATTGTGTGTATAGCTCGAGAGCGGCTTGATGCCCAGTATTGTGGCGTTCTAGGAGTTGGAAATCCTGACGAAAGTTCAAACCTATCTAGGCAAGCATGCATTGAGAGATACCCGTTGATATTGCGCCAGCTAGCTTGGTGGACGACTCAAAATAACACCAGAAAATGTGTAGATGAGAAGAAAAGCTGCAGAACCACGAGCTGGTCTTGGTCCCTGGTCTCTCAATTCAGAGCTGCGCGGGTCAGCCCCTGCTCCATACTGTAAGAAAAGAAATCCCCATAGAACAGACGGAATGACCCCCGTCTAAACAGGGTTCACCCCTGTCATATTTCATTCTCAAAGCCGTTAGGTCGAGCAGGCCTTTACCGGCCCTGCGGTATCTGGTGATCTTAAATGCCTTCTGGCTCCCGCGGTCAGTGGAGCTGCTGCAACTTCTCAGGCGTCTTGGTTTTCGCAGGTCCATTCTGAGATTGTGACAGTCAAATTCAGGGTCCGTCCAAGATGGAGTCAGAAGCATATTTGCAGGCGAGCAGGGCTCCGCTTTTGCAGGGTGTGATGTGGGACAATGGCTATAGTGCCTCTCGTGTTTGTGCTGATGCGATTGTATGTCCGGGTTTACATGAAACGGATCTTTGGATGGGATGATTTGATTATCATTGTTGCGACAGTAAGTATTTTCCGCTAATTTTCGCTGAAGTGCTTCAGAGACTCATGTTATTCTTCTGATAGGCCTGCTTGGTTGCTTATGCTGCCGTGTGTCATGTTGCCTCTACGATAGGTCTTGGGAGGCATGTTACCGTCGTCGCGGAGAACCCGAATAATCTCATCGATGTAGCGATGCTATGTGACATTGGTGAAGCCTTGGCCATCATGGCCTGTACCTTGGGCAAAACTTCGTTTGCCGTGACTCTTCTTCGCATTGTGGTTCGTAGGTGGATGATCATCGTGCTCTGGTTTGTGATTGTGACCATGAACTTGGTCAACGTTCTGGCAGCCTTGTTCATTTTTGTTCAATGCAAGGATCCAAGACACCTTTGGAACAGTGCTATTCCGTCAAAATGCTGGCCCCCGGATGTCTTTACTAATTTCTGTCTCTTTGTGGGCGGTATGTTGCACCGATCTCAAATTCTTTATGCGACCGCTGACATTGGCTTATGTCCTACGTTTTAGCCTACTCGGGCGCTCAAGATTTTGTGCTAGCCCTGCTGCCTTGGACAATCGTTTGGAATCTGCAAATGAAAAAGAAGGAGATTGGTATTGCCTTTGCTATGAGTCTAGGCGTGTTGTAAGTCTACGATTTGGGATCTGGCCTTCGGTGTTTTCCAGTCCAACTGACTTCGCACCTTTTAAGTGCCGGCGCGGCCTCAATCGTCAAGACAACATTCTTGGTGGCATTATCGAAGAAAGCAGACTTTACTTGTAAGTTTTCCACCAGATCATCTCGGGACCACAACTCATCAACTTTTCCCATCAGGGGAACTGGTTCCGTTGCTTTACTGGGCAGCTGTCGAAGATGGACTGGCTATCACCGCGGCCGCTCTTTCCACACTGAAGCCGCTGCTTGCCAGAGTCTTCCCCGGTTCAACCATCAACAATAACTACAACATGATCTCTTATCCTTCGGCACCGAAGCGCAAAGTCTTCGATAATTCGCAAGGCGAAACGCGTACCGAAATCGGGCATGGAAGTGTTCACGAGACGGAAAGCCAGACTAAAATTTTGGAGTCGCAGTCTCCAAATAGGGACGAGACTATTAACATGACTACAGAAGTGTTGGTAACTTACAATCGAACTTCATGAAGCATAGTTTATGCTTGTACCTACATATTAAACCGTCTTGGCCGGGAATTTAGAGTGCTTGATGTACCTTGGAACGAAAACATATGGTTTATCACCATTTCCTAATCCTTCTATGGTAAAGAAATGACCCGAATCTCACTTATCTATGCCCATTTACACTCTAATACTCAACAGCATTTTCCTCGTCCTCTATCTTCATCTCGGTGAGATACAAAGCCCAAGCAGTATCTGAAAAACTCATTATTAACATTCTTCAAGCCTGGTATAATTTGTCGGAGATGCTCTTTTCTCCAATTCGATCCCTCAGAAGTGTGGGGTCTGAGTCTTGACTCTAGACGAAAGCTATCTACTACAGAAAAGATTATAAGACCAACTTCTAAGGATGGTCAGCAATCAACAAGGACACGCCAGGCAAAATGGTGTCGGCCCGAAGACCCAGGCCACGAAACTTCCCGAAATTAATCGAGCCTCACTTGACGGTATCCAAAGACTGGAAAAGTGCAAGAGGACCAACATCTGGTCGTGGAAAAGAAGTGTACAAGGCGCCCTTATCCCACTCAAGCTAGAGGATGCTATTGATAACAAAGTCCCCCGCCCATCTGAAAACGACCCCAACTACGAACGCTGGAGATCCTGGTCGACAGTCGTCCGGTGCTGGTTGTTAAACCAACTGAGTCCTTCGATAATTGAGAATCTTGAATTATTCTCCAAGCATCTCGAAGTGGAGCTTGACTTGGAAGACCGACTTCCGCGCTACGCAGACGATCTCCGCCCTCTTATTGCCAATGCATTTATGGCTGGCGAGGAACGTGAAAAATCTAATGCCGCCGTCGCTATTCGTACAATTCGCCGGGAGAGATTCGAACCTGCAGACGAATTCATCCAGGAATGGAGAAAATGGATACTTAAAATATGGACTCTTCGAATGGATATCGACACACACATTGCAACCAAATTGATGCTCCTCGATCTACGATACGAAATGCCAATGACTGTCAACTCGCTGGAAGATCAAATTGGCTCTTACGGCTCGGTTCCTGATGACCGTTTCCTCGGAATTTGCGACGAGATAATTGCGAAGTCTAAGAAGACGCCGAACGAGAGTACACTAATTTGAATTGCGACTGCCAAGATCGCGGCGTTGGAAGAAGTGACATTGCTGATCAGCGGGGGTTGCTGACGGGTACCAGAATTGTGTCCTAGCTCTAAGAAAAGTTGAGATAGCTGACTGCTCTTTTTCGCTTTGCCCATACGTGTTCTAGCCCTCTGCTTCTGGGACTTATTGATTATGACCTTTCTATGTGAATTAGCATGCTCATGGTACATCTCTATCTATTTCTTCTTGATCCTGGAAGTAGAAACAGAGAGATGGCATGACAAATGAGGCCCCATCCAGATCCACGGAGTGATGGATCGATTTGGAAGCTCCACCGGCTTACCATAGTTTCGTTGATTGGCTGAAAGTTTACACAACACGCACACTCCTCGAACCTCGGAACTTGCAGCGTAAGCATACGCTCTCCATCGCGGCTGAGATCGTGGCTATGCTGAGAGCGTTGAAACTGGAGGCAAGTTAATTCTGACGGCTATGGATAGAAGGACTTATAGCCCACGTGTACTCAGGGTGGAAGCTAGAAAGTTGGCAAGGTAAATTAAGATAGTCCCTGAGTCCCTGGAGATGTCATTAGCCGTGCACACAACCCCGCTCCATAACCTAGTTTTCGCAGGTACCTGACCAACTCAAAAACCTGCTCAATAAGGGACCTTAACTCTGCAATGATTTTAACAACGAAGACAAACCGGATACTCAAAAAAGAGATATCACCCCCGCGGCCAGTGACGTGGGTGATGCGTGATGTCGCCGGTCGATCGCGATTGGGCTGGAGTTGGCGTTGAGGGAGTAAGTACAGGAGAGTTGGTACCAAATGGGGTACTGGGTACATGTGCTTTGCCCCAACAGCCCAAAGGGATTTGCTTCGTTCTCGTACCCGCAACCCGCAACCCGCAAACCAACTTTTCTCCTGTTGCTGCTCACAGGGCCGCATCGCCACTATTTGTTTCTCACGTCCCCATTCCCGTCAAGGCACTGATCAAGGTTGAAGAGGGGGCTCCATGTCGCGCCGATAGCGCCTGTAAATAAATATTCCCCTCGTTCCGAGTTCCTAAGGCTCCGTCGGTGTAACGAGGAGCGTCGTCAACATGAAGAACCCCCAATCGTCACACGCAAAGACGGTCGCGGTCGTGGGCACGGGCATGGCTGGTCTAGCCACTGCCCATCTGCTGCACCAGGACTCTCAGAAGCGGTACCAGGTTACTCTGATCGAGAAGGTTGGTGCTTTTCGACTTCATGTCACCCAAATCCAGCGACCCATGCCGTGTCGGGGAAACGTCCACAATGCTAACCGGCTAAACAGAGAGACCAAATATCGCTGAGCGCAGAGTCAGTTCAAATTCCCTCGCGCGATTCCAACGGTCCAGCAGTATGGGCTGATGTGCCGATGCGCGCCTTTGCCGGTGGCTTCTATCGGAATCTGATCCGAATGTATGATTACTTGGGAGTCAAGTACCGCGAGCAGCCATTTCTTTTCAGCTTCACGAGGTTGCCGAAACGACAGCAATCTGTATCGACTACTTCTTGCATTCCCGGGCCGCAGATGGTCTATGCTTCAAATTTTCACCAAATTCCCCCTATCCCACGCACAACAAACCTAATTCATTGGTGTGTGGAAGCTGTCTATGCAGTCCTGTGCTACCTATGGTTCACTTTCTGCTGCTTCTTCATCTCCCCCTATGCCGAGAATCTACAGACTGGGCAGCTGAGCGAGTCGCTGGACCACTACCTACGGCGTATGTGGATACCGCAGTACTACGTGGCCAACTATCTACTTCCTCTGATTTCGAGCGTCTGTACCTGTTCACACCATGAACTGTTGAATTTTCCTGCATCCGACGTTATAGAATATAAGCGCAGAACGCATCTCCAGCAGCACTTTGTGGTGACTGCGGGTGTCCAGTGTGTCCAGCCGAAGCTTCTGGAAGGCGTTGAATTGCGTCTTGGCGTGAATCTGACGCATGTGATCCCGCAAGACAACGGAGTGCAGATCAAGTACTCGACTGAGGATGGGAAACACACCTCGGAGCACTTTGATCTGGTTGTTCTGGCCGTCTCACCCGATATCGCTGCGTCCTTGTTTCCCGCAGTGAATTCGCAACTGTCCGCTATCCCAACCACCACCGTGGAGACGGTCGCACACACCGACAAGTCGACCATTCGACCGATGTTGCATGCCACTGCGAGTCCAAACTCGATCAAATGTGCCAAGGAATCGCGAGGGTCTTACAATCTCTTAACACAGCGTATTCACTTACTTTCCAACGGTACTATTACCGAAGCCGTTCATGAGCAAACGAATTCCATTCTTGTCACGACAAACCCCCTTTTCCCCTTGGATAAATCAAAGATTATTCGCTCGGCGAGCTTTGTGCGCGTGCTGCGAAGCCCACTTAGCCGTCTTGTCGTCAATTCAATTTTCCAAGGCCGTGTCGAACGGACGAACTTGCCAAAGTCGACACCTGTGGTGAGTTCCTGGCGCAACGGAGACAACGGAGTCTACTTGGCGGGCGGCTGGTGCTGGGACGGAATGGTCCTCCTTGAAGGCTGCGTTGTTTCTGCCATGAGAGTCGCTACAGATCTCGGCGTGGTGGTACCTTGGGATGACACATCGTCATGATTGATTTCAGATCTAGGCGTAATTCTTCGCGCATATCCTCAGAGAAGTGGTCTCGGTAATTCTGTCTGGTTGATCATTGCTCCCTCAAACTTTGCCCGAGGGAAGGGACTGTATATGCATAATATAGCGCTACATAATATATGCCTTTTACGACTTAACCCCGAAGTCTCACTCAATTAAAACTGCGCATCGCATAGAAAAGTCATACAAAGAAGTATTTACTCCCATTTGGAGACCAGCTACCAGCTACTAGGCACTTAAGCTACTAAATCTTTCTGCTAATTGGCTTCACACCCTTTGTGGCTCCATTTTGGCCCCTTGCCCCACGGCAGTTTAATCCGACGTCAAGCTTAGATACCTATACATACCGATAACGAACTGACTTTGGCACAAGTTGACGGACACTGGATAAACAGAATCAGTTATTGAAAGTTTCAGAACATGAATACGTTACGGGGCAATATAGAAGAACGTAAAGATCACTTACGCAAACTTTGGACCCGCCTGTGTTAGACGCAGCTACACAAAGGTGGGCGGCGTCGCAGCAGCCAGGACTAAGACCGCCATTAACGCAGGTGTTACCCTTCGGACACTGCTCAAGTTGTCACTATCAGCTCATAAATAATCTAGGATGTGGGTGACTTACGCATGCTTGAGTTGCGAGACAAAATGGGCTAGTAGCATCACAGGCGACACAGTTTCCGCCCACGCATGCTCCACCTCCAGCTCCACGAGTACACTAGAGACGTTGCGTTAACGATTTTCTGATTGAGAGAGCAGAAGTAATCCAGAGATTCAAATAGGCGAGGAATACTGGATGGAACTTTGAGACACCAATGTCCCGAGAAGGAAGAAATGACATTAATGACGGCAAGTAGAGGCGAAGTCGCTGAAGCAATGAAGGATACTGAACCTACAATGTTGTCGCATCCTCCACAGTGCTGGAGACAAGTCAAGAGATCGACGCACGTACTACTGCAACATGTTGACGTAGGCTGCTGGCACTAAACGAGAATTTCAGTACTGAAGCTTGACAACCGGACCAGGAGACGGTGAAATATCTTACGGCATGTGTACATCGCCCACAATTCTTCGGGTCAGTCCCCAAATTGGCGCATGTCCCGCCGCAACAAGCTTCATCGACTCCTGTACACGCGGAACCTGGACAACCTCCGCAGTGGAGTAGATTGGAAGTAGGGTCGATACAAATGCCGAGACAACAAGTGGTGGTGGGTGCTACGCACTATATCAACATTAGTATAGTTGAAGACCGGTGAGTGGAGTGAAGGAGATGGCACTTACGGCTTTGCCACAGCCTCCACAATTAGCATTACTGAGACTCAAGTCAGCACAGGTCCCAGAACAGCATGCCGGGCTGATTCCTTGACAAGGAAAAGTGAGACAGCCTCCGCAGTGATTCTTATCGTTGGAGAGATCTGTGCAACTCCCCAAGCAACAGGCTGGCTGGATTCCAGTGCACTAAAGAGAAAAAAATAATTAGCTACATTATCCCCTATTTCCTTTTCGATGACGAAACGAGGGAAAATACTCGCCTTGTTACTGCAACTTCCACAGTGGTTGTCGTCTAGAGCAATATCTGTGCATACTCCTGAGCAGCATGTGGGGGCTATACCCATGCAAATTGAGCTAGTGAGGTTACCGCTGCGAAGGCTGCAGGAGCCGCAGTTCAAAATATCCTTGGTTGTATCGGTGCATCTACCGCCGCAACAAGTCGGAGCCGTGGTATTACACTGATAGCGATCAGACATGAATCAATGAAAGATAAGATCACAAGAACAAGGTACGGCCTACGGCTGCTTTGCATGATCCACAATTGCTCTCGTCGGTGGCCAAGTCGGCGCAAGTTCCTGAGCAGCAGCTAGGGAATGTTCCAGTGCACTGGATCACGAGATATAAGGAGAGATCATCGATTGTAGAAGGAGGTAGATTTGACTTACAACATGAGAACAAGCTCCACAATTCTGTGTGCTTGACGTTAAGTCTGTACAAAACGAATTGCAGCATGTTTGGTTCGTGGGGCACTAGACGTCAAGTAGGGGTTAAACTAATAGCCTTGAGAGAAGCAGTGGTTGCTGAGAATTAAGTTCGTTTATGGCTAGCTTACCGACCATGGCAAAGTAGGCCCACAAATGAGAGACGAATCTCCGGTAGCAACAACGGGAGTCTTAGGTGTTGTTGCCGTCACATTCACTCTTATATGTGCTGTTCCAGCGGGTTTGGCCTCCACGTGGTTAGATAACGAGACCAAGAGTGCTATTGGCAAGTCAGAATTCTTAGATTCAAGTCCGCTGTAAGAACGAGAGCTTATCAAAGGCCCGCGGGTTATTTTACTTTCACTTACCAAGAAAATGAAAGTAGAATGCTGTTATCCTGACCATTGTGCGGTCGAGGGAGGAAATGATGCTATAAAGCTTCCAGATGAGCAATGCTCCTCAATAGGGACTAATTGGTACAGCTTTGGGGGTGAAACTCAAAATTTGCTGCTATTCATGACAGTTCCTCGTCTTAAGAGTGGTAATTTAGACGGCATGATTCCGTTTCACATGATAATTCAAGGAAAGAAGGGTGGATGATGCTCCTAACCCGTCGTCTCCTTGTGGGGCGCGTCTGCAAGCGTCCGATTTCTCATTGAATCAGAGTCATAAATCAAAGATTAAAGCTGCCACAGTTACACCTCCAGGAGCTTAGTTACTGGATTAAGGTTACTCGAGCAGTCCATCTAACGAGCCAAACACATAGTAAAGAGCTTTAACGCTGTGGAAACCCATCCCTTTGATCTGTTACACAATTGCTTCATTCCAACCCTGCCTTGTACAGAAATCGTCAGAATGCTTGGTTCTTTGCGGTACGAGTAATGTCTGGAAATCATCGCCTAGTCGCGGAAGAAGTCGAATTAGGGATTCGTAGACAAAGCTGATTGTGAGGCCGGTTATATCACCTGGCACCCCATCTTGTTCTTGATGTCACAGTAGCAAATGCTAGCTCGGGCTGTCTTACCTCGAAATTTATCAGAGTTTATTAAACTGACGGTCCATGTACCATCTATGCAAGGCTATTCTCAACACTACGTAAGGCATTCAGCGGTCATTTTATTGCAAAGACCTGTGCAGGCTCAATCAACTAGAGTATCTGTTAGATGGACGACAGGGTTCTTGAAAACTCAGTAAGAAATATGCAACCTGCATTTTTAGACCAGTAACTGGAGACCGTTGATACATTCATTGGAAATTGCCTGCCTACGGGCAGTTGGGATAGTCACTCGTACTTCCTTCCTGAAAACCCATGGCTTGGTTGAGAACGAGCTTGGGGCGAGATAACATGTGCATAGGGGTTCATCCGAGGTCAAGATCGGGCGTGTGTGGCCCAGTCGGTGAATATGTGCACCAATATCTTTGTAATACGCCGTTAATCCTTTGGAGTGGACCAAACCCCTTGCGTGTGACTTGAAATGTTGACCAAAGGCTAAGTGATGATTTGTGCAGAGCTAAAGTCCAGGTTTATTGTTGGCTATGATAGCTCGCCAAAGCTTGCTGGCCTTTCATGTCAGTCTAATCCAATTGGAATCATGGGAAATTCTTTCAAAAAGGATGGCTATTGAGGATATAGACATTTGTTATGTTTGCTGCGGTGTATGTTAGCAACACGGCTGCCTTCTTCAGGCCTAAAACATATAGTTGTAGTCGCTGTACCCAGCAGCCACGCCATGACCGGGAAATTTTCAAAATATGTCAGTTCATGTATGTAATATAGGGCAGTTTGGATACCTTTATGCCTTAGTAAGTTCATGAGAATCAAAAATCATGTTGTGAACTTGGAAACGACCGATGGTGAAATTGAGGTAGTTCTGAAGAAGGCTTGGCATTTGCGGATCGGGTCGCGCCAATCCGTAGCTCTCGCGTACCTACTTGTTCCCGAAGCTCTTCACAGCAACCTCCAAGCTGTCTCATCTCACAGCCTCGGCTCCGGTCGGCCTTTGAAATTCTTCTCTCTTTGAAGCGAACCAGTGTTTTAGTTGCAGACATGCTAGGCTTTCTCAAAAAGGCTTTGGAGAGCAAGGTGTATGGGTTGGACCACGCAGTGCTCAACGTCCAGCTTCCGCCTCAGTCTATGTGGATGAACATGGGCTACTGGAAGGTAAGTGCTGCCTTTCAATACATCATTGACCTTTTATTGATGTCATCAGGATACCCAAAGCTTTCCAGAGGCCTGTAAAGCTTTACTTGACCAGGTTTTGCAGGCTGGTCTCGCTGCGGAGAGGGCCCAGTCAGTGCGAGTTTTGGATGTCGGATGTGGGTGTGGTGACCAATCGGTCCATATTGCATCCCTTAGAAAAGACGCTTTTTTTACTACTACGACCGCAGCCTCTCAATATGGGTTCAGTACTTCTGTTGAAGCTTCTGAGGCTACCTTACGACGACAGAGCAATGGGGATGATTCGTCCAAACCTCTTTTCGATACCTACGTAGGCATTACCCTACTACCTTCGCAGGCGCAGGTTGCCCAACAGCGAATGTGCTTGCACCAAGAGCAGAATAACGATGGAGATCGTGTTTCCGCGGAAATTTTCTGCGCCGATGGAGCCGACCCCTCGAGTTGGACTGGCGAACTGCATAATTCCATTTCTAGTCTGGTTGATACCTCGCTTGACCCGAACACATCAACATGGCTACTGGCTCTCGATACGATGTATCACTTCAAACCTTCTCGTCTTCCAATCCTTCACTATGCACACAATACCCTCCATGCATCCTTCATGGCCTTTGATCTCCTCCTCGCTGATAATGCATCCTGGTGGCAACGTCTCAAAATGAAACTGATCTGCTGGGTTACTGGGTCGCCTTTCACGAACTTCCTCACTCGGGAGGAGTATGTCCGTCTCTTGGTGGCAGCTGGGTATGATCCTTCGCGTATTGAGATTAAGGACATCTCTCGACATGTCTTTCCTGGTATAACGGACTTTTTGGATCGAAGGCTACAAGAGGGACAGCTATACGGAATAAAGTTGGGCAAGTTCCGTGGAGCTAAATCCGTGTTTGGGTGGTGGGCCAAAAGTGGTATTGTCAGAGGTGTGGTGGTTGTTGCGAGGAGGTGATTATGATGATTGGGGACCATTTACATCGCGAGCTCATCATGAATCATATACATTAGATTGTATTATATGCGAGTGAATAGTTACACCATCAGGGCTCTAGACAGAGAGATTCTCCGCCTTTGATACGAGGAGCCTCCCGTTAGCTTGCAGGAGACGGAGTCTGCGGGTTGCGGAACACATTTTGAGGATCAATCTTCTTCTTGATTTGCTGTAGTCGTGGAAGGTTAGACCCCCAGTATGCCTCTGGACCGTCTGGCAAGAGGGGATCAACATATCCCGAATAGGCAGCATAAGGAGCTTTGTCATTGGTGACAAGCGTGTTGAGGTCGTCCAGGAAATCGAACTGGGCCTGCCTAACAGCACCCACCAAACTGACGCTGTACGATTGCATCCAAATCAGAACGTCGCGGTGGGCATACGCTGTCGCGTCGGTCGGGATATCGTTTGTGTAACCACCTTGGAAATCGAACAGAACGAACCAAGCCAATGACCCCTTGTCTGCGCTGTCGATATACGCAAACATCTTGTCGATCGTGTCGGAGTCCATCAGATCGCTAGGCGTCCAAGCCGTGGACTTGGCGTAAAAGTGCGAGGGGATGCCTCCTACAAGTTTCAAAGCAACGTCTTCGGCCCAATTACCGACAAGACCAAGCCAGTCTTGGAAGACGATAGCTTTTCCGTTCACACCGGGCCATTGACTTCCTATGTTCAGAGCGTTGTATTCTTCCTCCGTACCGAAGAAAGTGCCCGTGATGACCATACTGTCGTCGAGTAGAGTGAGTGTGGAAGCTAACTTTCGTGTCAAGTCGGGGTTGGAGACGTATGCTTGCCATTGTTTGAAAAGAGTGGCTCGCTCTTCAGTGCTTCCGACCTTGAGGGTATACTCAAACTTGACAGCCGTGTCGGGCGCAGGCTCTGTCCGAACCTTGAACTCAGTGACAATTCCAAAACCAGACGCAGCGCCCTTGATAGCGAAGAAAACATCCTGGTTTTGGGTATCCGAAGCTGTCACGATACTCCCGTCAGCCAGCACAACTTCGGCTTCGACAATGTGATCCAGCGCGGCACCAAACTGTCGCGACGTAGGTCCAAGGCCACCAATGGTGAAATGCCCACCAGAGCCAACCTGCGGACAAGTTCCGTGCGACATGGCTCGTCCTCCAGCATTGTGAAGACGCTGTGTCACGTCTCCCAGCAAGGTTCCAGACCCAATTGTTGCAACCCAGGTTGTGGTATCCATGGAGAACTGCTGGAGGTTCTTGAGATCAACTACAACAGCTCCATCGACTCCACCCAGACCTGTGATGATTGTGGATATATTAGCTTCATTCATATTCATTGAATACAATGATTTGATCGAGCTGATCCGGCGGAAAACATACCATAATTGCCATAGCTATGCCCTCCACTCTTCGCCTGGACGGGATAACCATTATCTGCGGCACATTTGACGACCGCAGCGACCTCCTGCGACGAACTCGGAAACGTGATGGCAGCTGGAGTGACGTGAATGTTGAGGTTATAGCGCTTCGCGTCTACAAGCTGGTAGAAGATATCGCCTGAGAAAGCGACGCTGTCCCCCTCTTTCAAAGCAGATTTAAGACATGACTTCAAGTTATCACTGGTCATAGCTGCTGACGCGACGCTCGCAGTGAGAAGGAGGTTCCTGATGGCGGCTATACGCATTTCTGAGGCGAAAACTCACAATACCTCCAGAAAAGCTTCACGTCCGTTGCAAAGGGTCAGAGCTCCATATAAACATCATGGTGGAGTGGCATGGCCAGCTGAGTTTGCATAAGGCAACTACGACTAACTACTTTTGACTCGTTGAGTCAACAGAGATGGAATTGGACGAACAACAGCGCTCGGATGCTGCGCGATGTGGGGAAATACGATGCCAAAACTCTCGAAACAGGGTTGGAGGTGCCGATCAGCAAAAACCGCGCAGATTTCAGTTCAGGGGGAAGATGCTGCGTGCAGTTGTGAATAATAATCGTCATCCATGGATGGGCATGTCAGCTTCCTACAAAAGTCAATGCTGGAGGGCTGAATCGGCAGATTACTTGAGTGTCAACGGCTCAAGTCGGTGGATTTGATATACGGAAGCATGTGTCGGGATGGCATGACAGGTTGGGCCGTTCGAAGCAAACAACTTGGCCAGCTCTCTGGTCAGAGCCTCAAAAGCCCTACCTTTCTTCAGAATCTCATTGAGCAAAAGTACAGCGACAAAAGTAGACAATATGATTTTCAAAATTAATGCTGGTGGTCGAAGCCAGATGACCCAATTTGCTTTTTTGTGTTCTTGGTGGCTTATCGGTAAGCACATGCTATACCCGCAGATTGAGGTTCAGAGGTGTGGTAGATACAAAAATGAGACAGAATGTCAAGAAAAAGAATAATAATACCAAGTTCAGCTTACTCCAGGAATGCACCTTCTGCTTTTGAGAATGCCGTTCAAATCAGCAAAGGCACTTGAATATCTTGGAACCTTATACTCCCTCAACTGGCATAGGCGCTTCTTTTCAACTCAACATAAGCCGATTTGTCTTGCAGAAGGGCGGAAACCCGTTTCTTTCTCGACTAGCAACAGGAGCAGTATAGTATAAATACTATGTACTATCTATAACGAATCGGAACCTTATCACTACTTTCACGATGTGGGCTGCTTGGTGCTATATAACAGATATCTAGGTGACATGCTCTACGCTAATTGGACTGACATGTAAAAAGGGAGCTGTAACAGTTAGTTAGTCAGCTAGGTCACTATGGCTAAGTAGCGAAATACAAACCCAGCAAAGTACTAAATCTTTGTTCAATGGGAATCTAACAATTTAAGCTTATCAGCATGTCGATTGCGTTTAACCTGCCTGGGAATTGAGAAGTGGGCCTGATCTCATTCTTCTAGAGTCAGCATTGCCTGGAGGGAGGGACAGTTGCGTTTGATGTGAGACGGTGGATGCAGGCTGATGGGTCCAGTGTAAGGAGTGCTGATAGGATTGTGTGTAGATGTGCAGGCGTTTCTAAACGCAGCTAGGGGGTATGACAGTGGTGAGAGAAAAGACAAAGGAGACATGGTGCCTGTACGCATCACGAGTATATAAAGACTTTGTCTGTTGGGGTGTTAATCTCCACCTTGAAATGCTACGATCCGACCTACTCTACTCTACCCGTAGCAGCGATCATCCAAGGAATAAAAGTAAAGAGTAAAGTGTGTCTATTCAAACCAACTGCACTGTAAAAATCATCACTCATAGTCTTCTGCCACCCTCATCTGTGCGGATGCAGTAAGATAGCATCCCACATTCAAGTAAAAAACCGAATCCGAAGTCGCTCATAAAATATTGACAAGAAACAAAAAAGACGATGGGCAGGGGAGATACACCTCCACCAGGATATCCCATCGTCGAAAGTAGCAGGGGACAGAGGAACAGTGCATGAATAAGACTGCGGGGAATAGCTTGGGGGTTTTTTTTCCTTTTCACGGTTTTGTTTTTTCTTTTTTTTTCTTTACTGCCTAGGCAGTGGTGCCCACGCCGTGCTTGGACTCGGAAAGACTTGACTCGGTCTTGCGCGAGGCCATGAAGTTCTTGAACATGTCCGAGATGGCCTTCTCAGAGGCCTCGTTACGCTCCTCCGTGCCGTTCTTCTCCATGATCAGACCACGGAGCCAGTGGTTCTCCAGCTCCAGCTGGGAAACGCGAGCCTCGAGGGCATCGTTCTTGTCGTTGGTCTCCTTGAGGCTGCGCTCCAGAGCCTGCTCACGCATCTTCTTCTTCACACGGAAACGAGCGCTAGCAGCAGTGTTGCGGCGACGCTTGTCCTCCTCGGCCATATTTTGGGCAGCCTCCTCGGCGCTCGTGGTAGTGGCCTTGGCATTAGTGCTCTTCCGCTTAGCGGGAGCGGCAGATGTGGCTGGCGAAACGGCAGTCTGGGCCGGCGTGGGCGCCACGCTCGGGGGAGCGGCGATGGGCAGATTTTGAGCGGGAACCGAGTTAGCCGCCACGGGTGCGTGAGGCACGGACGAAACCGCCGAGTAATGCGCGGTTTGCACGGGCAGGGACGCGTTCAGGCCGTTCAGATCCTGCTGGTACTCGGGCATGTTGCCCAAGCCATCTATTGCGAATCAACGTTAGCATCCACTATTCAGTCAACGCATCCACTTGGTCGCGTTCTCGGTGAACCCCGAATTGGTTGGACAATCTCCTTAGTATGGCTTGGTCCCTTGTGCCGATCACGTGGAATGGCGTAATAGCGGAGAATATTCACGTCTGCATGAGCCCAATTGCTTGGCCCCGATCGCAGGAACGAACAAAATCTGCACACGCCACACGACATGGATGTCCTGCAGCCCTAGGGGAAACACCACTGACTCGAGGTCAGGGTCCAAAAGGAGGGCCAGGGTTGGGCGTGGGGTTGAAATGGGCACATCCGGCATGCAGAAGACGACATCCAGCCAAGACATGAGTTGTGTGAGCAAAACCAACATCGAGTGGGCGAGTCATGCAGCCATTTCAGTAGTCACCAGCAATCATGCATGGTTTCATGAGAACGACAGCCATAAGGACCGGACCAATCGAGACGAGTGTGACCCAGGGGGAGAGTTGTGCCCTTCTCAAAGGAAAATGTCCAACCATCCAAACGCGACCAAGAGTATCCCAGGGTATCTCCCTCCAAAGACTTACCATGCAGGAATTCCAAGAACTTCATATCGGCATTTTGTGTAGACTGGTCCGCGAGGGACTCGACGGGCGAAGACTTTTGATCGACGGCATCGAAGGCAGGCAGACCGAGGTCGGTGAACTTGTCGAAATCGAAGAACTCGGTGTTGGTGAAGAGGGCGAGTTCCTCATCGAGGTTGAAAGTGTTCTCCTGCTGGCGCTGCTGCACAGCCTGGTCGTAGGGCGACGGGATGGCATTCAGGTCATCGAGGTATTGAGAGAAGTTGGGGACGCGGCGCCCGTTGAAGTTGGCCATTTTGATGTTCCGTCGCCGTGGGTCGCGGGTAATCGTAGTCCGATGTAATTGTCCGTCGTCGAACGAGAGACTCTTGCGCGGTCGCCGTCGCTGGCGGATGACTCGGGCGTACCGGGTGCGGCTCTAGGGCCGTTGTAGATGAGGGTCAGCCCAGGTGGGAAGGCGAGGGTTTTGACTGTCGTAAGCCTGGACGGGATGAGATTCCAAAGGCGCGTCGCGATGGAATCAAAGGCGGATGGATGTTTGGTGGAGAGAGAGGGAGAGAGGAGGAAACGAAGGAGGGCAAAGAGGGTCGAGTCAATGTGGGTTCTTTGGGGGGGGGGAGGGCCAAAGTGGGTTTTTTCGGGATGAGAATTTGGGAATCGGAGGTTCCAAATGGAGGGGTGGATGAGTAATCCACCATCCACCATCCACCCGTTTTCGCCGCAGCCGCCTCGTGTTGGATTTCCCGACTTCCGCTGGCAAAGTCTATTCTGTATCATACAGCCGAATATACTACTCTCGATCAAGTCTCTAAAGTCTATAAGAGGGCATAGTGCTTTGCTAGATGCCCTATCTTGCCTTCCTACCCTGCTCTTCGAGAAAACCGAACTCGTTGCACTGTCCGACTCGCACCGCGGAACTGGCCGAGGATCGGAGGCTACAGTGGACTAAGTCTTTCGGGACCACACTTGGAATCCCAAGAATCGGAAAAAGTTCCCCAACTGGGGAGATCATTATTAATCACACAGTGGATGCCCTCGGTTCCATCCAGATCCACACAAATCATAAGAGAATGGATCGTGAATAATTGTGAGATGTAAAGGTGAACCCCTCTTCACTATTACACTTCCCTTCCATAAGGATTGGAGTATACTCCGTATACCTATAAGAGTATAGACAGAAGAGGACATCTCGAATTACAGCGACAAGCGCGGCTGTGGCCTCAACCACGAAGTATGCGGCGCCCTTCGCCTTCGGCTGCACCTCTCATTGGCGGATGTGCAGCCCTGGATTGGTCAGCCCGAGTTCGGAGTTGAAGTCACTCTGCGCTCAGGATGATTCGGTTGTCGCGGTCTTGAAATAATTATTAATCACGGCCGGAGAATAGTTAACTAACTAACTATACACTAGAGAGGGAACAATGGTACAGTAACTGCTCCGTACATCGTACTGTAGCACGGTAGTAATCCACCCAGGGTCACACAATTGGGAGTTGTAAAGATCTGCCTTGGATCATGACCGTAAGGATTTATTGACAGGGAAGATATGCATGACATTCTATACTAGTCCATCAGTAGACACTACTGGTTGAAGCACGGACGGCCTCCACTTCGGCGGGACTAATCACCAGCGACCAGGAATCTAGCTCACGGGCCAGGATCGGGTCAATCCTGGCATTATTATTGCTGGCGAGGATGGTGTCTAATCGCAAGAAACTCGGAGAATCGCCCTCAGGGAAAGGTAATTCCAGTGAGACTGCACCAACATCTTGCGCTGAGTTCTTATTCCTCAACATACTCGGGCTTAATGTTGTCAAGTATGTATAGATCGGAGTTGAGATACGCTCGTCCTTCTAGAGGCATCATCCACGGCTTGGGATCAGATTTAATCTACCCAATCGCGAGATTGAGAAGAATATAATCAATGGAGGACTTGCGAGAAGCTAACTTTCAAAGAGAGTCAAGCAGTACATTTTGATTCATGGCTCCAGTATACTTATCTAAATTTGAATACACGTGATACACTACGCTTGACGTATCCCCACGTGACATTCATTGTTGATACCCCGGCCTCATCGCGTGAATCTCAACCAGAGGAAAAACAAGATCAAAACTCGACATTCAGTCCAATACCATGCAATTCAACTGATACCCTGGGCATGATTGCATCTTTTATTACTATATCCAGCAATCACCAACCCCCTTATCAACGATGGCGCGCTCCAAAACACTCCGCGCTCCATCAACAGCCAGCCTCCCAAACAACCTTCGCATCCCCTCGACAACCCCCTCGCTCACCAAATCCCTCGGCAAACACTCCCGCCAAGCCCTCCTAGATCTAGCCCTGACCTGGCTGGACGACCGCAACATCACCTCCTTCCCTCCATACCTGCAATCCAACGCCCGAAATGACACCAACGACGAAGAAACCCTCCCATATCCAGCCGCAGAAACAGTCGAAGACGTCCGCCAGGCCTACACAGATCTCCAAGATCGCAAAGGTGGAAAGCGCGAGGTCCTGGAAAGAATACTAGAGGGCGACTGGCGTCATGGGATCACGCTGCGCCAACTCGCAATGGCAGACCTACGCTACATGGACGATCACCCTTCCAGCTTGCGATGGACAGCCCTGGAACTCAGTCGCATCGATGCTAGACAGAAGAAGCCAGTCGATGGCCACCTACCGGATTGGTCGGCCTGTATCCCACGCACACAAGCGGCGACTTTCGTTAGAGCCCTCCAACAAGAAATCTCCCCGCTAGTCAAAGCACACTTCCATCTCTCCCGCTCAACAACCCTCCCCCTAACATTCCTCCGCATCTTCATCCTCGACAGCCCCTACCAAGCACCCAGACAGTCTCCGCAGATCTTCGCCGACTCCTCGCGCGTCATTTACGTCGCCTTCCCGGACAGTTGTCCCTTCATATACACCTCCTTGTCCACATCAACGGGCTCCAAGCCCGCGCCATCCACGAGCTCGGTGGCCACCGACCCCCGGAGTTTACAGCGGTTGGTCCGCGACGCGGTTCCAAAGGCTCTTTCCCGTCCGCATGAGCGGTACACGCTTAAAGCCACCGCGCTAGCGGCGAAGAATTTGCCCACGTTACTTGCGCTGCGTGGTCCGGGGAGGACGACTGCGGCGAATGGCGCTTTTAGTATCTTTGCTGATGCGGCGATTGAGGGGAGTCCGTTGGATCCGCGGCCGTCGAATACGGTCTCGGCGGAGGAGTATATGTCTGGGGGTGTGAATGGTTTGTCGATGGAGGATAAAGAGAATCTGGATCAGCCCAACGGTGTGAGTAATACGTTGAAACGGCACACTGCCAGTGGTGACGGCGCCGGGGACGGTCAGGACGGCCCCCTTCTTTCTCCGACATCCAAAAAACGACGACTCGTGACACACTCGCGATTCGGTACAGCCGGCGGCTCGCAGGCCCCTGCACCCCTCGACCGCCTCGATATCAGACTTTTAGATGTACCGTCTACCACCAACACGGCGGATCCTACGACCACTGCAACTGCATCCGCTACGCAACCTACAATATCGCTGACATTCACGGGCTCCGACGTTATTGGGGGAATCCGCACACTCGCCGAGCTAGGCGTTATCGATCCCGAGCGAATGCCGTCCTGGATGACGGGCGAAGAAGGCGTTAGCATGGCGGTTGTACGTGGCGGGAAGCGATTGAAAAGCTCTGTCTGAAATCTTTTATTTTGGATTTGTTTTGTGTTTGGGTTTGGGTTTCTGGGGATTGTGTTGCATGGGTCGGGCGTATGTGGGTTTATGGATGGGATGGGTTCTTTTTGTTATGATGATACCCTTATTTAGCATGGTGCATGGTGCCTGGTGCATGGTGAGTTGGAATTACCTTGGGTTTAATATGATACACTGCTTCGAGTCGCATTCTCTTGCGGTTCTGTCTTTGCTTTGAAATGGCCGGTTGGTTTCCTTTCAAGCTAGTGTTCTTGGTAGCCGTAGTTTGAAGATATCCTAACGGTCTAGATTAGCTTTCGACCACGTAGTAGTTCTGTATGAACAGGTTATCTTGGCGTAATACATCCAAGCCCTAGGCAATGTACTAACCACGAAATCAACTCAAGGGTGTACTGAACCAAATTCATACCAAAGAAAGACATGACTTGGGATCAAACCGTGGGATAATTTGGTCAAGGCGTTTAAATCCAAGACTGAGAGCCTTCTTGCATATACTGCAACTTCCTCGTCCACGAATATTTGGAGGGAGGAATGATCTTGTGTGGTTCATGTAGATGAATAGGACAGAGAGGCTCACGGGGTAACCATAAAACACATAATTCAAATTGGGTATCTTCTACAAAATAACAAAACAACCGTTACTCATACACTGCTTGTTGGAAACGCCAGCCCTTTCAACGCCATCACGAAGCACAATCTATGTAGTACCAGACTAGGCATGTTGCGAAACACCGACGGCGACCTTACTCCGATGGAGACTTTACATCATCCTCGAGCTGCCCAGATGAGCGCGATTGTCGGGCAGTTGAAGAGGAGGAGTACATTGAAGAGTCTATGCAAGATGGTAAAAGACACATTAGCAAATCTGATTCAACTCAAATCCTTCTTCCCATCAGAATGATTGAGGTGGAAGTACAGAGAAAAGTTCGTACCGCGTTTCGTCGACAGGCCAAACTGGTCGGCGACGTTGACATAGCCTTCTCGTCCGATGGTGCCGTTCTTTCGCAGATTCTCGACTTTGGGGTTGGAGCCGGGGGATGGCCAATTGGTGCGGCTGTGAGGAGATTGAATTAGTCGGTGGACATGACAGCGAAAAACATGCAGGGAGGTTCAAGAGGCAAAACTCACCAGTAAACGCAGCGGATAGAACCCTGAGAAGCGAGCGACGTGCGAGCCCACTGTTTGAAGCAGACCTCGTGAACATTGTTCCCACAGCCAGTCTGGCACCAAACGGTCTTGTCCTTGGGTTCGAAATCCATGAAGCAGATGGGGCAGGCGCCCTCTATAGGCTTGCGTTTGCCATCACGGTCGTGGTCCGCGGTACCGGTCTCCGCAAACATGCTCATCAGGGAGCCTTCGTACATCTCTCGCAGCTCCTTCACAGAGAGACATATCAGAAGGGTTGAATGACCACTGTATGTGCGGAGGGGTTCTACTTACCGATGGCACAAAAGAGATCTGATATCGAAGTTCGGGGCGAGCGTTGAGAGCTTTGAGGAGGACTGAAATAGGGAGTCAGTAAGAATAATCGTAAGAATAAGATGCGATGAGGATGTCTAGGGCGAAGAATAGGTAGAGTTGAGAATTGAAGACGTACCATAAATGACATGTTTACACTCTCCACGACCGCGGAACTTGGCATCAGGGCAGTCGCAAGACGGCAGCTTCCCGATCTTGACCCTGTAGAGATTGCCGGTGGATCCGACAACATCAAAATAAAACTCAGGGACTTCGCCATTCTCACGAACTTGCCGGCCCACAATGAACATGCTAAGCCCCCAGAGACGGTCAGTTAGCACTGAAAGAGCCCAGTTCTTGCTTGCAACAACATACCGAGTCTTGCCGATTCGATCTACCTTATCTAGGTACGAATCCGGCGGAGAGTCACGCCATGGATAGGGGCGAAGCTCGTCACCATGATACTTCACGATGACCTTCGCTGGGCGAGCTCGCTTTGTTGGAGAAGAACCGGATCCGCGACCTTCGCCTGCTTTTCTCTTTGGGCTCCCTTTGGCAGGAGTCGCAGGGTTTGATAGAACTGGCTTGCTTGCTGGGCTGGTTTGGGCAGGAGCAGCCTTCTTCATGGGAGTAGCTCGGTTTGAAGAGCGGGGGTCTTTCTTGGGCCTTCCACCTGCCATTTTCTTCCCACGGCGGGGAGCTGGGGTTGGCGGGATCACCGTAGATGGGCTTCCGGGGTTGCTCACGGCGTCCTGTTGGATGGTGTCCATGGGGGTGGGTACTCTGAGGAGACAGATTGAGGAAGGTGTATTTTTAAGAAAGGACGAAGAATAGCAGATGGGGGCGGAGAAATAGAGAAATATAGGGAAAGCCTGAGTTGGAGGCAGAGTGAAAGAAGGCAGATGCTTTCATATGTTAGGTATAGATCCCAGCACTGCAGCCTCCTCCTCAGAGCTGTCGCAGGGCGGAACCAGGTGTCCCAGAGCAAACAACTGGTTTCTGATGGAGATGGCCACTTTTGAAGGGAATCAAGACAAGTGATGAATCTCTGAATCTGAGGATTGTCTCTTGAAAAGAGCAGAGAGCGCGAAGATGAAGCCGAAAAGGGCAGGAGCCCATGCGAAGGGTAGTGTTTGCAGTGTTTGGTTTGCCACCCCGCCATGTACAGGGGAAGGCCCATCATTTGAATCATTCAGCATGCAAGTATACCATCATCGCCTTTCATTAAATTTGCTAGACAGTGCACACTCTGTTGTATTCTACACCCGTCTTTCTCTATTTGAATAATTCGACCTCGTCGCATGTGGCCGTCCCCTCCACAGATGGAAGCCACTCTCTCCGACTCTTGCAAAAGACCTCGACCTGAGGCGCCCATTCAGTCTTTGATGGGCCCAAATCCATCGTGCCCGAAGTGACTGTCAACATCCCTTTGTGTATCGAGTTGGTGATAAAGAGCGGTGAACTGCAGTTCGAACAGAATGCCCTAGATAGAACAGTTCCCTTGGAGTTGTTGCTATCTTTGTAGATCTTTAACACGTCTTCTCCCGAGATGATACTGAGTTGCTTAGAATGAGTCAGTGTAAGGTCCGTAGAATGGAGATGAGACAGGATGGTACTTATGTCTTCCTGGTAGACGGCATTCGCCATGAAGCTGGATCCTGTGACTTTGCGACAATTCTCACAATGACAGAGAAGCTTCACTTGAGGGTCTCCGGTGAGTTCATAGCGGATCTGCTGGCAGAAACAGCTGCCAGAAATAGTCGGCTGGTCTGACATATTCAGAGTATACGGGGGTGTCGAAAAATCAAAGTGTAGACAGAATATTTGAGCTTATGAAAAGGAAGATGCTGACTCTCGGTCTATTTATCTTCTTGGATGAATCAGAGAGAGAACTGAATGGAAGCTCTGGGAATGGAGATTCTGGAAGTGACCCCTGTCTCTGCGCATATATTCTGCACAATAAAGTCTGGGCTCGGGCACCTCTTGGCACTCCTCTTCTTTTCTAGTGTTTACCCTCTCGCGGCTCTTGTTGACTGAGTAGAATCAGGCATTGGACACCTTGAAGTTACCTAAGCCAGCCATCGGGCAACACCCTAATTTATTCACCAAGGTTAACCTTACTAGACCTTCCACGATTGCGTACTACTATATATCTACCTAGGACATATTATGTTTAAAAGTTACAGTCATGAGTTTCAACGAAGGTCTTTAATTTATGTATGGCCCTGAAGTATATCGATGTTAGATCCTCGTACCTGGCGCAGGCAGTAGCTGTTAGCTCCTTACCACTGAGAGCGTATTTTATTGTACATTATTTCGGTTTCCGTGTTTTGGTTGAACAACCCGAGGTTGATTTCTCGGTGGTTGGGACTGATCATCTCGTCTGGTTAGTCAATCATATATGCTGAAATTGAGATATGCTCTGATATGTCGATTGTGAATCTTGGAATGAGTTCTTTCAACCCCCTACGGCCTTAAAGTTGGTTGTAGTGCTCTTACACAAATCTTTCCAACTGAGACAGTTTGTTCTCTAATCCTTTCAGATTGTTGGTGATCATATATCATTATCCCGATGTGATGGATGTGTTCAGCTTTAATGCTACTTCTTGGAATTATAGAGACGGGCATTTCCCATCAACCTAGAACACTTAACCTTGCAGTAGCGAGCCATTGGGATGCAATAAGAGGGATTTTCTTCCGTATCTGACTTAAGAACTATATTTAAGCCTAGCCACTCAGATGAACCATTACTTGTAAGCTTACTAAATCCTTACTAAATCGAATAGTTATACATCTCCGATCCACTAGTTTAGATATCACTATATTTAAGTTGTTCCTTAATATGCATATACGTTAGCTAATTAGCTGTTATAGATAAAATTCTTGGTTTTTTGTTTATTTCCTTCCCTATGGGTGGATTTAATGGTCTATAGGGTTATAGGTGTACTTAATGGGAAATAGATGTCAAAAGCCTTAACAATTTCATAGTCTTCAGTTCTATCAATGTCACCAAGGCCCTTTCAGGGTTGGTAAGTTTGGTCCCTCTCATCTCCTGTCCTAGGCGTATCTTAGCGGCAAGTCTCTTAATTTCTAGCTTACTTCTCCTCACAGGATGGCCAATTTGTAAAGTTATAGACATACATGTTATTTTAGATATTTCCCATTTGTTTAGCAGGGAAAGGCTGACGAGGGCGAATCCTCCAGTTATACCAGCGTTGTTTTTGGTTTTTCTTGCTATATGTTATTTTCATTTGAAATTATGGCAAACCTCTTATCTTCCTAAATGTCACCTAGACATCAATCTCGACTGGCAAGACAGTGATCACCCCGGACCAGTTTCGAACAAGCTACTGCTCTTGAGCCTATTCAAGGAGAACAAGGGCACAATGTTGGCTTTGCTACAAAGGATGGGTGTACTCTACGTATGCATATTCATTATCACCTTATTCCTGGCCGTCGAGATCATGCTCATCATTTATAGATGACCGCGGTTTCTACGTATATGGTGGCTAGATAGCTACTTTGCTTATCCGGGTAAGCCGGGATTATTTTTACACTTGCCACAATAAGCTCATCTAGCTAGGTCTAATTTAGATAAACCTACACTATCTACAGCTCATCCGCCCCCTAGCCGGGGTGCATTCCATATCTAGCCCCGAGACATCAAACTAGATCAGTAGTATTCAACTATTTAAGCGAAAATAAACCAGACTCTAACAGTGAAACACTACAGCCTGGATATTATCACTATCAGTAATCTCAATATCACGTCTAGCATTAATATAAACTTACCTCAAATTCCGATTCTAGACAGATTGCGTGATTACGCGGGCTAGAAAAACACGTTACATTATAAGTTGATTCTAGCTACTACGAAGCTTCAATATGATAGCCCTTAAGCTAGGGAGACCCTTCTATAGAGTCCTGTTGGAGGCCGAAACTGCCGGGATTACTAGAGTAAGTTGGATCCTAGCGATAATTTTCGCTTAGAGGATCTTGGCCTTCTGGTAGTTCTAGTACGTGGTCGAAACCCTCCTCAAGCTACTCTTAACACTCTTAAATTATATACCCCGATACCCCTCTCCACATCAAATATCTAAAGAATGAATAGGACTCTGTTCTCGATTATAACTATATCACCATAAGTATAGACTTTGACTTCGGTACTGACCCTGCTGGCAGGATCGAATGGATTCTGAATCACACAACGATGTATAAGCTAGACGGCAATCTGTTCGACATGTATATCCAGATAGTAGACCATGACGGGAATCTAGCAGTGACAGTGCAGCAGTCTAACTTTGTGTTAAAACGTGGACAGGGAAAGTCCGACAAACCAAATCCTCGCGCGCATTTGGATGGAGCTACTTCAACGTTTACCACATTTCGGCTCATATCTCATACTCTGGAGAAGCATTTTAGATTCACGTAGCTCCGAGTTCAAAAGAGGGACCTCTTTTATTGAATTATCCATCATGAGTTGATGTAACGTTAACCTTTATCTTGGCTTGCTTTTATTCTTAAAGCCAGAGGCAATACTGATGATGATAACATGTTTGCACCGTTTGTCTGAGCTCCATCGCTATCGATGGATCGTTATCGGCCCGCTCGTGCGACAACTGCCTAGCTCCCAGTTCATCAGAATGACTCGCTGAGAAGAACGCAATGCCCATTAGGACAGCAGTACATGATCTTGAGTTGCTACCAGAAACACTCCATCCATCGCAGAGCTCATGGCGCGCCCACGAGCTGCGTCGGGCGCTGATGCCCCCAAGGAACCCCATGCCGTTTCCCTGAAAGGTAAGCAGTCCCAGAGAGTATGGAGTTGGAAGACCAAAGATGCTGACAATCACAATGTGAACAGTTCTTCGGTATCAACCATGTTCTCGTCTCTATCTGGCTGGTCATAACCACTGACACCTGTTAGTCTCTCCCGACCGTCCCTCTCTTATCAATCCCCGCTCCCCGCCGCGAACACAAAGATCTCCCCCAAGGCTTCCTTGAGCTATCCATCCGTCGACTCTGATGACCAATTCATTCTTACACCTATCGTGAGCCTACTTCAATCTCTCTGCTTGTCTGGTTAGCTTTTCGCTGACCCAATATAGCTCACCCTTCCCCCCGCATTCGGATCCGTCTATGTCGGCGAAACCTTTGCCTGCACACTCAGCGCAAACAATGAGATCTCTACGAACGAAGTAGGTCGAGTCGTGACCTCCGTGCGCATCGTTGCCGAAATCCAAACCCCCTCCTCAGTCGCAACCCTCGAACTCGATCCCGCCAGCGACACCGCTCAATCAGAGGGTCTCCAAATCGGCGAGTCCCTACAAAAGATTGTGCGCTATGACCTAAAGGAGGAAGGGAATCATATTCTCGCCGTTAGCGTGAGCTATACTGAGACCAGGATTGGTGAGAATGCTCATGCGGCGAGCGGTCGTGTTCGCACGTTCCGGAAGCTATATCAATTTGTCGCGCAGCCGTGTCTGAGTGTGCGCACCAAGGCCTCTGAATTGCCGCCTTTGGAAGTGGAAAACAAGTCACTGGGTCCGTATGGAAAGACTCGGTTGCTTCGGTTTGCCTTGGAAGCGCAATTGGAGAATGTGGGGGACGGTGCGGTGGTTGTAAAGGTAAGCAAGCTTCTCGCAGGTAGACAAAAAGGCCAAAGGACACAGAAGACGCCGATATTTGGAAACAAGAAATTGAACCATCCGTTAACACTCCCAAGCAAACCCGACTCAACCCCAAACCACCCTTCAAATGCCAATCCCTCAACTGGGACGCAACATCCTCCGATCCCTCCACAGCAAAACCACCAACCCTCAACCCACGCGACGTCCTCCAAGTCGCCTTCCTAATAGAACAAGAAGAATCCCGCACAGAAGGCATCGAGGCCCTACAAAACGATCTCCGCCGCGACGGCCGCGCCACCCTGGGCCAATTATCTATTGAGTGGCGCGGCGCCATGGGCGACAAGGGCTTCCTCACGACTGGCAATCTGATGAGCCGGAAACGTACCTGAAACAGAAACACGATGTGAGGGCGGCTGGGTTGCTGGTCCCGTCGTACCACGACATGTCCATCCGAGTCTCCCGATGCATATAGCCGCGTTTAGTGCAGGGCACGAGTGTGCTGGGTGCAAGGGGTTTTCTCGGCTGCCGTGTTGCCTGAGGGGGCGTATCTATATGACGAATTCAAGTCAAGTACATAATCTGTGATTTTCTTCTTGTTTATCTTTTGTCTGGATATATGTAATGGCGAATGGGCGTTGCAATGCAATTCGTATACTCTGAATCTCCGGGAGTCTGAGAGCTAGTCCAGGCCCGACATATGTAAACCTCCCTATCCCTACGGTACCCCCCTGGCAGATCCGCAATATATCCTGCAATGCCGAACCGCCAAACCTGCCGGGACTTCGGTTTCTGGATCCTCGCGCTAGCTCTAGGCGGATTGTGGCTCCACTGGCATGGGGCTCGGCTGGCGGCTTTTGCATGCAGCTGCGGGCTTCACTGTTGCTGGGAGGAGCGTGACACTGCTGGCGGTTGTGGATGTGGGTTAGAAATCCCAGGGCTGGGATGCGCCGATTCCTCGATTGTTTATTGAATTGAAAAGGGGAGGCTTTTAGGGTAGATCCCAATCCCAGGTGGTTATGTAGAGAAAGACCTATGTTGTGGTTGAGGTGGGTACAGTAGAAACCGCACTCTCAAGGCGTGATGGCGGTGGAGATGATCTTGCGTCGCAATATATATTCAGGTTTGGGGAATAGTCTAGATCTTAAAATCCTGCGGTAAATGCATAAGGTTGTTATTCTGCGCATCAATCATTTCCTTGATTGACGATGACCTTAGGGTAAATAATGGATGGCTCCGGTATAGAGTATCCATGGATATTTACATTGTGTATGTAGGTACATACTGTAGTACACACGACATCAGCCCAATCTCATTCATTGATCAATGGCGGAGGAAAGTCTAGGTATTCATGGACCAGTCTAGACCGCCGTCGCTAATAGCCGGGTTCATTGCCTTAACCTGTTCACAGTTTGCTTGGGTTCCAGACCGCTGGTCTATTTACACGATGGACTTCACACTTACAGTAGAAATATGTGCTGATATACCAGCCTGACAATTCAAATCTGCCCAATTGCTCTGGCAAGATGAAGTTTCAATAGGATGACGTGTTATCCATCAGGACACATCCAAGTGTTTTACAAACTCCTACAAGCCTCGCTGAAAATAAGCAACAAAAATCCCCTCCTGCCCACCGCTTATTTCGTGTCCCACCCGCCATACGTAAATCTTCGTGCCGTGCAGGCTGGGCTTGTCGTAGCCTGTTCTCGACTGCGGCCGTGCGAAAAGGGCTACTGGTGCAGACGACTAGTAGAGAGTCCAGACGCTGCAGACTCTGCAGTGCAGAGAGGCTTACACGTAAGGCCCCGCTGCGGCAGCAGGCCAAGTTGGAGTTACACGGTGGCGGGCTAAGGGCGATTGGGGCCAATTGTAGGATGGAGCGGGGATGTCCTGCATCGAGGCAGTTGGGCGAGACTGCAAGTAAGGGGTTTTTGGAACGGGTATAAAACGTGTGTATTATAGTTGGAAAGTACTGTAGGCGTTATGAATAGCGTGGTTTTGTCCGATTTGGTTGGAGGATATTGGATCGTTGTTCAGGTTGTACTGTATCTATTTTGTAAATTGCCAGTCACATGGATGCATAGTATCACGATGTTATGTTAGTATAAATATTTCGCATCTTCTTTTCTATAAATCTACCTCCTGTCCTCCTAACAGTGGAGTGCGTACATAGAAATCAGCGTGCGCAACCATGATTATGATTGAACAATTCATTCCCCTCGGTGCTCCACTGTCAACTGCGTTGGGCAGGGATCGGCCGGCCCCAGAGGCACAGGCCCTCCACTTTCGCTCCTGACTCAAGCTCCGACAGGGTATGCCTCCTCCTAAGCACGACGAGTTACGATTCACGTGTCAGGATGACTGAAAAGAGTAGGAGTATGACACTGTGACTATCGGGCTTGTTGGGGGATAGTGGCATGTGCCGAGTCATGATCTTGTACAAAGTCGGCACGGGGTTTGGTCAGTCTGACGATGACAAGTATACACCCTACGAAATTGAGGCGGCTTGGGTTTCGGTTCGGCAGAGGCCGACCTTTTCGCTTGTGCAGATAAAAACCTGGAAATTTGGGTTGCATCGAAGTGGAGATCGCTGGTTCGGAAATCAGTTGCTAATAGCGCGGAGTTTTAGGGGTCCGGGGAGTATACTCAATGGCGGCGGACGGAGCATAGTCAAACTGTACTTTGTAGCTTACAGTGAGAATGTAGTCTGTAGTTTGTCATCCTTGTCTTGGTTTGCAGTGCTCTCTCCCTCGGTATCTGTTTCTAATATTATGTACCCCGTACTAACTATCTATTAATACCCCGGCTCCCATCCACTCCCCATAACCATGTTACCATAGCACCAGATCGGCAACTCGAGCAAACGCCATGTCTCAGGCCGAGACTGTCCACAAAAGTATAGAACAGTTTGGTCATCTCAGAGCAATTGCGCCCCCACGAGACTAGGAAGAGGACTGCAATGCCCCAGTCCTGATAACTAAACTTGGCCGTTGGAAGGATCAATGGTTGGTTAACTGGGCGCGAGTATACACTTCACGAAGAGACACACTTCTGCGGGTCATCGATGTGGAGGATATCGCCCCGTTAACCATGGAACGTGGGCTGGTCGGATCCTCCGAGTTCCCTCCATGAACGATGGCTGGATAAAGTGGTTGGATGGATTCTATCGACAAGGCAGTCCAGGACTCAAGATGCGCTCCACCGAGCCGACCATCGGGTGGTTCGAATCGTTGGTTGTTTTATGGTGGAGACTAGAGTATCGCGGAGGTTTACTCAGCTAGGATGGGATGGGATGGGATGGGATGGTCGTGATGCCAACTCTATACAGAGTACTGTATGCAGTCCTCTACGGTCGGAGTTGGCTAGCAAGCTCTACGCAATTAGGTTATGGTGGCTAGAATGGCCAGATTCAATCTGGAATCTGTCTTACAGGGCCTGGATTTTGTTTCAAGTTCCCGAAACTAGCGAGTGAGCCGTGGATTTGGGCTGCAGGTCAGGTCTCCGTGTTAGACTCTTGCGCATCAATGGGGCTTTTTGGGGGGGCGGGCACTGAGTGGCGCTCGTTCTTGACTGGTCAGTGCTCCAAGGGGTTCGAGAGATTGTTCCTGAGTCTACCATTTGATGGGGATTTGGGGCTGGGATTGTAGTTTGTTCGAACGCCACCGGGTGGATTGGCTGTCTTCAGGGTCATATAGGAAAGTCTCGCTGTGACTAGATTGGGTAGGAAGATAACGAATATGATGGGTGTTTCATAAGAAGTTAAGATGTTAGTTGTAGACTTGTACAGTAGGAGTAGGAGTAGTCAATTCATTCGACATTCTGTGCATTCTACTGGAACACTTTCCGTCCCTGTGAAGGTCTGCGAAGGTCCTGGAGGGAACTAGTAACCGCATTACGAGTGGCCTACGCAACCATCCGCTCGCCTGTCCAACGCTACAAAGCACTTCCAAAAGAAAAGAAAACCAAAACAAAAAGGCACTACTATAGTCCCACAAATAAAATATAATTTTAAAATGGCTTCTGGCTTTATTAGAAAACAAAATAGAACTTTAGAACACAGTAGCTAATATGGTAAAAGACATTTTCGTTGCAAACCTCCTTTTTTTTCAATACTTCAAAAATACTGGCCAAATACCAAAAACCACCCAAAATTGATCTTCACTCCTAAACCCCTCGCCCCTCTCCGAATTTCCCCTACTCCTCCTCCTCCTCCTCTGCTCTCTTCCCTCCGCCGCTGACTTCCCCTCCTCAATTCTCTTCTGCTCTTCATCTTCGTCTAAACCTACCTATTCTTAACTCTCCCTGGACATCCAAACTCCCCCCGGGCTCGCCAAATTCTCGTATGCTCCCGCGGTCTTGCCCTGTTCCCCCGCCCCCCGCCTCGACTCCCGACATCGCCGACACACAACCCACCCCCTGATCGAAGATTGAATGCGACTGGAGATCCGGCAATCCATGCGGTGAACAAAGGAAGCAGGGTGGACAACAGTTTTTGAAACCAAGTCAACGTTGAAATTGGTTTATGCGACGGTCGCCACACAATTACCATGCCTTCAACCAGCTCCAATGAGGGCGCTCCTCTGGCTGATTACTTTTGGATTGCCGGCGTGGACGGCTCCGAGATTCTAGACACCTTCAAGCGACTGGGTGAGGACTATCGTATCAATGGAGCCGCCTCTCCAGGCCCCGCGCTCGCCGATGCGATCCAGGAAGACGCCGATGCGGAGGAAGAATACGGGCCGGATGCAACCTCCCGCCCCAACTCGACGCTCTACGCTGGGAATAGCATCCGGCGCAGCTCCAACCAGCGCCTGTCGACCCTTTCGCGCGCCGATTCGGACCAGCCCAATGGCGCCGGGAGCAACCGCAGCAGTGTGACGGTGAAGGGTGCCTCCTCCCCGTTACGGGCGTCGGCCATGTTCTCCGAAGACTTTGATTTTGACCAAGCGTTGCTGAAATTCTCTTCCGAGAGAGATACCTTTTTGACGGATCTGAGCTTGAGTGCGGGCGCGATTACCCCGAACACGCGCCCGCGATCTCGCGTCCGCACACAAAAGATCGTCTCGGAGGATTCGCCGTCTCAGGGTGCTAATCTGCTACGATCGGGTATTGGAAGTGTGCGCCGGCATATGTCGTTCCGGGATATGAACAGTATGAAGAGGCAGCCGTCGACCATTGCGCGACAAGGTGAGTGTTATACCTGAAACTGACCTTTAGGTTTTATGTCTTGCCTTGAGAACCACCACTAACGGTAGATATTGCTTGATACAGCTTCTGTACGCACGTCTCGACGACTCAGTAACTATAATTCGGTGATTCCAGTACCGCAACCCCTCGAGATCTCGCCTACAATGCACCCGTTGAAGCGCCGCTTTGAACCCGTTCTGCTCGACCGATACCCCACGCGAGGCATGCCCGACGAGTTGAAGCAGCGAGGCAACTTTCCCGACTACATACCCATGTTTGCCTTTCCGAATGATATCAATATCGTCGCTTCAGATCAACGGCCGCGGTCGACTTGGCACGGATTTGCCATGACAACGGACAATGGCTCGAAATTGCACGCAATCTGCGTGATTATCTGGATCCCGCTCAACCCCAAAGCTGCGGATGAGTTGGAGAAGCGATGTGAGGAGTGGCGGAAGGATAACATGACGGACGAGGAGCGGGAGCTGGCAGCGAGTCTGGGGGAGCGGCTTGCGTTGGAGCGTGCAAAGCTGTCCAGACTGCTGGCACAGTTGCCGAATGTGCCCTCTGGGTCCGACTCTCGTGAAAGACTAGAGGATGAGATTAGTGCGGTCGAGGAGAAGATCGGGCTGATGACGGATTTGCTGCGCCCGGTGCGACACGCTGCGTCATCCAAGATCGAGGGTCTCACCGATGGCGACACGGGATTCTGGATTCCTCGCGCATACGGTATCCTAGGCCGCGAAGCGAATATGACTACTTTCTGGAAGGAATGGCTGAAAGCGATTGTTGTGCCCATGACCGAGGGTGGCGTCCAGCGTGTTCCGCCCAGCTCGCCACGAATGGGGGTCTGGCAGCCGCTGGAGCGCTATGTCATGAATCTCTGTACGGAAGCATTCTGCCCGGTCTCGTCCAAGACGCAAGTCGAGCTGGCAGTTCGCGAGTTGCGGTTATTCGCCCGCCAGGAAGCTTCCAACGAACTCCCCGGTTCTCGCAATACGGACCTGTATGCCTTGTTCCGGACGTTGTCCGTCCCAAACATTATCATCCTTTTCGAGTATGCTTTGACAGAGTCTCGCATTATTTTCTTGTCATCCCACACTTCTATGCTCTACCTCGCGACCAGGGCCCTGGTTGACCTGCTCTTCCCGATTCAGTGGACTGGTGTTTTGATTCCCGTTCTCCCCGCTCGTCTGGTTCAGGCCATTGAAGCGCCTTGTCCGTACATTGTGGGTATCGAGCGCCGATATGAAAAGGTGGAATTACCAACCGACGACTTTGTTCTGGTGGACCTGGATAACGATATGATTGAGAGTACCCTGCCCCCAACTCCTCTACCCCGTCATCAACGCCGAAAGCTTCTATCGCTCTTGCAGATGGCTGCACCTCATCACAGCCGTTGCGGCGTGCCCACCGGTCCCCCAGCATACGCGATTGAAACCTATCCCTGGGACACGTTCTTGTCCGAAAGTGCAGCTACATACGCCTCGAAAGCCCCGCCAACCAACCTTGCCAAATACGTTGGCCTCAATTCCAGCGCCTTCGGCTCGACTGCCGTGACTCCGGGAACATACCAACCTCCGATCTTCAATGCATTCCTCCATGCCCGTAATGAGCAGGCCTCCTCGCGTGGGTACTCGTCCAAGAGCTATGATCGGCCAGGAACCAGCTCCACAGCCAGGGCCAGTGCGTCGCCGCCATCACCCAGAGAAAGCTCCCCTACTTCGGGTCACTTCCCTCCGCCTCCGCCGACGCCGTCATCTCGGAATGACTCTGGTATGGCACTGCAGGCATCGCTGCGTGAGAAACGGTCTGGCCATTTCGATGCTTCATCTCGGAGGAGTTCGTCCTTTGGCATGACGCGCCGCCCAAGTGCACCTTTCCTTGGACATGCCTCCAATCTGTCCGTCACCACGCTCAACACGGACTACGGGCCGGGATCGACCTATGCTCCGTCGGTGTATGCCCAGTCCACCATTGCCGCATCGACAATTGTCCCGCAGGCTGCTGTGCAGCCCGTTGACAACGCCGCGGGTACTGCCTGGGTTGAGGGTCACTATTTCCAGACCCAGCCGTGGGACGAGAAGCTAGTCTGTGCCATCTGCGATGACCGTGCGGAAGAAGGCATGTTCAAGTGCTCGCAGTGCAAGCTGGCCGTTCACAACCGCTGTGCCTCCCAGGTCTGTCTGGTCTGTGACGCTGCCTTCCATCCGGATCAGATCCGTGCTGCCTTTGTCAGGTGCTTCGCAAGCTTGTTTTATACGTATAAGAAGTACCTTGTTCCGGCTAGCGGCGAGAAGAAAAAGGCTGGAATGTACTACTCGTTCAATATGGAAGGTTTTGCGAAGAGCCTTCCACATGAGCATGCCGAGTACATTGCTGTCCTGCAGCAGACGCAAGGTAAGAATCTGTTCTATGTCTTGATAGGATGGATCATGATGTCTAACTGTCCCATTTTCTTTCTAGGATTTAATGAGTTCATCAGTGAGCGCGAAAGAACCAACCCCAAGTCCAAGGACTCACGGATGGCCCTCTTCGACGAGATTGTGCTTTCCAAGCGCAACCGAGGCCGCAGCTCCATCTTCTCCGGTCGATTGACGACCGATTTCTTGTCCGACACCTCCAACCACCTGTGGCGAACCGCCAGTGCAACCTTCTTCGCGCCAAGCAGCCGTAGCCAACCAAACCTGTCCAGTGATTACAGCAGAGTCGTTCAACGAGGTGAGTTATTTTTCCCACTCTGCACATTCGATTAGTGTTTCTTGTCTAACCCGCCACAGCCCCGGCCAAGCTTGACACGAGTCTCATGAAAGAACCCCGCATGATCCATGGAGCTCCGCGGGTCTCCAAGACGGCAAATACTGCCCGTCGAAAGCCGTTGCCTAAGCTCATGAATGGTCTGGCGATCTCCCCCCCGAGTTAATTGGTGTGATTTCTCTGGAGATCGTCCGACTTTGTCATTCCGCCTGTCTCTGTCTCTACTGGCGCGCCCGCGTGCGCCTTGCCTTGCCCTGCCCGCGCCTGCAGATGCAGCTGCATCTACATCCGCTTTCGACATGATCCTCTGTCCGCTTTCTGAAACGCATCGTCTAGACCCTGCTTCGGCCTTGGCTTTCTCCATGACTGACTGTGCTCGTCTGTGCTCGTCCGTGCTTGACAATACATGGATGATGATGGCGCCGGTCGTTGTCTTCAGCAGGGACTGAGTTTATGATCCCGTGAGAGCTACGCTGTTGGCTGGGTCGGCCGTCATTCTGTTTCTGTCTCTCAGCGTCATAGACCATCTTCATCTTATCCTCCCGCTCTTTCTCTCCTCCTTCCTTCGCTGCCGCCTGTGGCTCGCCTCTGCATGTCGATCTGCAAGGAGCAGGTCTACTGCAAGAATCTCAATGGCGAGCGTATCGCTCGGACGCCCCGTGTCACAGATCTCCACCATTGCCTTGGGAGCAGAACTCTTGGGCGTCTGGTGTCTCGTGTCTGGCTCGCGTCTTATCTAACTCTCCTGGTGGCGAACCTCGGGATTGGGATTACCATTCCCCTTCCCAATCCCTTGTGACGACACGACAACGCACAGTATCGGCGGAGACCCCTTTTTCTTCCCTTTTTTTTTTTTTTCTCGTACATAGTAATCCCCCAGGCTTGATGCCTGGGTGGAGTGCACAAAGCAACCTGCAACCCCCAAAAGCGCAAGACTGGTCTGATCTGTCGACATCTACCCTGATACACCGTTTGATTTTTTTTTTTGTGGATCTCTTGAGTGAGATTGGCTATTTTGTTGGCGACTGTTTTAGTTATTTCTTGCTTGTACTGTGTGTTTCTTTTTTAATACCCCCTTGATTTGGTTGGTATGTTTCTCTCGCTTCTTCTTCTTTTTTATAGTTCTGGTCTATGAGATGAGTGTTTGGGATGATGGTTCTTTCTTCGATGATGCCAAGTCTCTTCTGACCATGTTGTATAGGTTATGGTTGCTATGTAGACCCGGATTTACGTGTCGTATTCATGTCGATCTAGTAAGCTTGCTTAGCTTGCGAGGGGATATCTTTCTTCTTTTATAATTATTTGGATTGGTGGTTGTATAAAAGAATAAGAAAAGAGCCATCGATGGATACTTTTGACAGTGTACGTTTGATCTTGTGACCTTGAGCGAGTCTATCTTCCTCCTACGAGCATGGAACTATACCACGCCCGGCCCCGATGAATAATGTTTACCTGTGAATAGTTTCACCTCTGCCCATTTTTTCCTTGCCAGGTTCCTAGGTTCCAACGGTAGTCACTTGTCCCGTCACTCCGCCGCTTCGGTGACCAACTACGGAGTACACTCGATCCGACTCCCGCCCGCCTGAGGTCCCTCCTAATAATAATCATACTCATTGGCCACACGTCCTTTTCCGAGCCGTATCAATTCTTCCTTCTCGCCTTCTATGGGAGCGGGCCCTGGTCGTCGACGGCATAACTTTTCGTTTGTTCGTCTGGCTGTAGTGGATAACCGGGGGCGGACGTCATTGGTTCTACCTTCTTGGGTTAGCCGTGTCTGCTTGGTTAGCCCGGAGATTTTCCCCGTATCAAATCGTGGAGAAATTTGGGAGGACTGGCCCAGTGCCCAGTGCCCAGTGCCCAGGTTGTTGAGTGTGACCCTGTGGGGGCTTTTGGGGGGGTGGTGCGGCTGTGTGGGAGAGTTCTGGGGTTGGATGGTAGATGGTACGGTGTTATGATAGACGGGGAATCACTCCTGGCATTGGTCGGTGGCTATAGTGGTTATACTGGCTATTCCTGGTAGTATGGGGTTGCCAAGATGTTAGACCCAGAGTCTATACTCCGTGGATCTAGTATGGAGAGAATAGGTAGGATACCTCGATGGAGGATCCTCGACGGTATCGGGGACTCATTCTATGCTTCTCGTGTATCTCTCTGTCTTTCATCCATGTCTCTCATTACTTTGTACCTAGTTCTCCCAGGCTGTATCTCCTGTCGTGGGTTTCTCCCGTATAATAGCCGGATAAAAATCCCCCGATCTTCTCCAACATCCGATCCATTCGGCTCTGGTCCACGCTGATTGGCGGAAGATCCCAACCCCGTCTCCTCCTTCCCCCGCGCCCCCCGGAAATGGAGTTCGCATTCGAAATTTCGCGGTTTCGGTCTTTGTGAATGGTTGCACCACCCCCGTTCACCTCGTCGCGGTCGGGTTTCCTCCCTGACCCTGGCCCTGGCCTTTTCTTCCTCTCGAATTCATCCCCCGTTACGACTCGTACGGTCTTACTCTGCACTATAGCCGCCAATTTCTTTCTTTTTTTTCCCTTTCGCTCCCCCCTGTTCCCCCACGTATTAAACTCTATCCGACCCCTGCCATTCCACCCCATCCTGCTCTGTGACTACTACACTACGACGCCTACTCTTCCGTCTACTTATCCCAGTCGCACTTTATCCGGTTAATCCCGTCTGGAAAAAAGTGCCACGGAGACAGAGTAGTACTGTATCCCACCTCCCCCACGAAACAGTAATTAGGGTCTCGTTCAGTCTGTTCTTTGCTCACCTTCGCCTCTTCGGTCAATCGCCGGTCTATGCCGTTGCGGATACTCCTGTCGACTTGCCGTGGGCGAGCCGGACCCTGATAGTCCTATTTTTCCATCACACCCTTCTCGTTGTTTATCTCTTGCGCTTACTTCTTCTCTTTTCTCCCTTCCCTCCCTTTTTTGTTTTCTTCTTGGTCTTGGTTGATTCCTTCCTCTTGATTTTATCCGACGGGACTTGAGCTCGTGTCTAGTCTGCTTTGCGTGGCCGCGGCTCTTGAACGTGACAGTTGATCGTTGACGTCGTGACGTTGTGACGGGGAAACGGTGTGACCGAGATTCCGCGATCTTCAAGGATTGGGGGAAATATCTGGGAGGAAACACCTTGGCCCAGTCCAATTCGAGCATTTACCTTACTGTCCCTTTACCCCCCCCCCATCCTTTGTCTCGAACCAAGTATGAAAACGTCCGGGTCTGCGTTGCGACGATGATGCCAACTACCCTTTCGCCCATGGCAACGCCGCTCCTCGACGAGACTCCCGCCGTCGAGACGGCTCTAAAGGACCCCGGTCCTCACTCCGCTTCCACTAACAATTCCTCGACCGGTCCGTCCACCTCTACGTCGGCCTCTTCCGGTACTTCAGCTTTAAACATTGCCGCCATTGTCTCGAATAATGCCCCCGCCGTTGCCTCCCCGAACCATGTCGCCCCCTCCGTGATCCCCCCGCCGGAAACCCCGTCCGGGACGATAGTCATTGTGTTTGGCGCCGGCATGGAAAGCATCGTACACATGGTCGCGGAGGTGCTCGGAAAGCCTTGGACAACCGAGACCTCGCTTGCGACGCTGGCCAGAGCCACGGACGTGGTCGTCGCAGGCGTGCTGGCGCATGATCTCGACCGCAGTCTGGAAGGTTGCGACAGGTCGTCGATTGTCCTGATTAACACGCATTGCGTGGAAGACGGGACCGCGCCCGAAGATGCCCTGACCGAGACCTGCGACTACGAGTTCTTGTACTCGCGCACCCCGTTTCTGCGCCGTGATCTGACGCGCTTTTTGTCGTTGACCCTGGGCCAGACGAGGCCGCATGAGGACTTGCGCACGAAGACGCGCACGAATTTTATCTCGACGACTTTTCCGGATGTGCATGCGGCGCTGTCGAATCTGGATATCTTGTCGGTGGGCTCGGATGCAGTTGAGATTCGCGTGGACTTGCTGGTCGAGCCTACGGTGGATGGAGCTGCGGCGGGCTCGGTGCCGAGCTTAAAGTACGTCGGACAGCAATTGATGCTGTTGCGGCAACATACCGAATTGCCGATTATTTTCACCGCGAGGTGTACCAAGGAGAATGGGAAATTCCCCATGGACGACCCCATGTTGTTCTACAAGTACTTGCGCCGTGCGATCAAGTGGGGGGTCGAGTATGTCGACGTGGAGCTGTGGCTGCCCGAGGAGATTCGCCGGCGGTTATCTGAAGTCAAGGGCCATAGCATCATCATGTCTGCGTTCCATGACTTTTCCGGGACGTGGAAGTGGACGGCGCCCGAGGCTCAGCGCGTCTTTGCTGAGAGCGCCAAGTACGGTGATATCGTCAAGATGATCGCCATGGTGTCGACCATCGAGCAGAACTATGAACTGGAATACTTCCGTTCGACCATCAAAGCCCGTGGCCCGGGCCCGTTGCTCTCCGCCGTCAACATGGGCCAAATGGGTCAACTGTCGCGTGCCTTGAACACCGTCTTCTCCCCCATCACCCACCCTCTGCTCCCGATGATCGCAGCTCCCGGCCAGCTGACCGCAGCCGAGATCAACGAAGCCCTCCACATCATGGGCCAACTGCCCAAGCGCGATCTCTACGTGATCGGCTCGTTCCGCGCCACCCCGCACTCCATGTTCATGGAGAAATGCCTCAACGAGCTCGGCCTCCCGCATACCTTTACCTCCATCGACCGCGGGCCCAAGGGCTCCATGGAATCCATCCTCACACAGCCCCAATTCGGCGGTGCCTGCCTCAACCCCCCATCCCCAGCTCCACCACCTACATCCCCGCCATCAGCGACGCCGCCCGCGCCATCGGGCTTGTCGACACCATCGCCCTCGCCGCCCCCGGTGAAACCGGCAGCGCGCGGTTCATCGGCGAAAACGCCGCGTGGAAGGGTATCCGCGCGACGCTGACGCGCGAGTACGTCCCCTCCGCGTACCGCGGCCGCGCGGCAATCATCCTTGCCGGCTCCGAGATCGACGCCTCGGCTGCGATCTTCGCCCTGCGCAGTCTAGGCGTTGGATCTATCTACACGGTCGGATTTAAGGCCAGTGGGCCGTTGGCCGCAGGCTTGGAACCGTTTACGTCGATTCAGTCGGTGAAACTAGTCGAGCAGCCGTTTGTCATTGTCTCTGCGCTGCCGCCGGAAAAGTCGCTGCTGGTGCAGCCGTTGCTGCGCCATTATCGGACCAATGGCCGCTCGTCGCCGCCGTCCACGCGCGGCAAGGTGTATCTGGATTTGACCAGTGGGCCCAGGAAGGGTGATCCGTTGGGTGTGGCGAGTAGTGCTGGGTGGACGGCGTATGGGAGTGAGGATGTGAGTGCTTGGACGACGGTGGAGACGTTGCGGTTGTTGGTGGGGCAGAATGTGCCGTTTGACTTTGTACGGATGGCGTCTGGGAGGCCGTTGTTTTGAGAGAGACATAGCCAGGGCTGGAGTGGGTTTGACTTTTATGTTCGACTTTGTGATTAAGGGTGGATGGATTGTATGTCTGTACCTTAAGGTATATGCTTGTGTTTGTGCGTGGCCTGGACGATATATAGATCTGAAGATTGCCGTCGAGGGTCTGGGATTGGAGTTGTTGGAGCTGGTCTGGAATTGGGATTATCATTATCATTTATGATTTCACTGATTAACTATCATCTTGTCCGACTTTTCTTTTCTTTCTTTTTTGGCGATCTGGTTCCATTGTTGTTCAATCGCAGTGCATTTAGATGTGCATGACGATGACGGGAATAGTGTATACTTGCATACTTGTATACTTGCCAAGTTCACGATTCGCCAGTATATTTACCTCGGTTCCTATTTGCTTTTGAAGATTATCTATCTTTGTAAATTCAATATTCAACAATGCTTATATGTTATTGTATAATGCAGTCTTAGCATTTGTCGCATAGTCCATGACTCCGACGCGAAGAGTCATTCAATCCAAGTTCATCGGTTATCCGATCAAATGGATCCATCTCATCGGCAAATCCGGGGTCCCCTCCAACCCCTCCTTTCCGAATCCTTTCCGAATTCGAATTCACTTTGGTACCTGGCCCGTTCCCTTTTCCTTTCTTGAACGTCCTATCACCATACAACCATACATCAGACTACACTTCCTACCTCCATCAATTACATTGTACTTACCAAGTACTCCGTACACGGAGTACAGCACTATTCATACATCCCCATCCACCGCCCTCACTCTCAATGCACCTCCGCCCCGACCACGCAGTCCACGATCTCCCCCACTTTACACGCTTTTATCCGCGCCCATCCCCTAGGCGTCCTCACCACCTCGTTGCCCTCGGCGAATTTTGCTACGTTGCAATGTAGTCATATCCCCTGGGTGTTGGATGATGCAGTAGATGCGGAATTGGAAACAGGAACAGAAACGGGGGCCCAATCAGAATCAACGTCCTCTCGGACACTGAACGGTAGCACCACCACCGCCACCACCACCACCACTTCTACTTCTAGCACGCACAACCGCTCCTCCCTGGGCGTCCTGCGTGGTCACATCGCCCGCGCAAATCCACAAACTGCCGCTATGATCGAAGCCGTCACGGACGGCTGTCCCGCTAGCGCCGGCGTCAGCGCCAGCGCCAGCAGCAGTAGTATTACCCCCCAAGAACCCAATTCAGCCGGATCTGGATCTACAGATCAAGTCCACGCCCAAGCCCAGGCCCAGGCCAAAGCCCAAGCACAGGATCACGGCGCGAGCGCAGGCGCAGGCGCAGGCGCAAGCACGGGCTCCTATCTCCCTGGCGAAGTCTTAATCATCTTCACCAGCCCTGTCGATCACTATATCACGCCGCATTTTTACACGGCGGCCAACGCTGCTGCTAACGGTGCTGCTAAAGGAGCGGACAAGGACAGGGACAAGGCGCGGATTGCGCCGACGTGGAATTATGCTGCTGTACAGGTTTATGGGCGGATGAGGGTTTTTCATGATAAGGCTCTGGAAGAGACGGGTTTGTTTTTGGAGGGGCAGTTGTCGGATCTTGCAAGGTTGGGGGAGGAGGGTGTTATGGGGTTTTTGGATGGGGATGGTCATGGTGATGGGCCAAGGCCGTGGACACTTGACGACGCACCTGCAAAGTATATCGCCCTTTTAAAGAAGAATATCGTGGGTATGCAGGTCGAGATCACCCGGGTCGAGGGGCGGTTCAAGGTTAGTCAGGAGAGGCCGGTGGGGGATCGGGAGGGGGTTGTGGATGGGCTGGGGATGCTTGGGGGACGAGGGTCTAGTGCTGCGAGGAGAATGGCGGAGTTTGTGAGGGAGGGGCGTGTTGTATAATGTATTGGAAGGTAACTTGCCATAGGGGTGAGGTTGATGGGTGATGGAGTTTGGGAGATCGGATCGTTTACTATATCACGGTGCATTGTAATTGTATCGGGATCGGGGCGGTTATCCCCGGATCAAGTAGACGGGGTGTATTATTATAGACCTACCTGCATATGTATAAGTATATCCATACATACATGCATACATTCATGCATGCAGGGATGCAGGGATGCAGGATATGCCTTACGGAGGATTTTGCGGAGTGGCCGTACAGTACCAGACTGTCAGTGGGGTTGGCTACTTAGGCTAACCCTGCAGCCTACAGCCCAAGGGTCCGTTCTGCAGGACTACTCCGTACACGCCCTCGGTTGGATAAATGCTTGAAATCGGGGGGATTATCCCCGGTCGGGTGCGTATGTCCTGCATTTTGCATTCTTCATTCTGCATTCTGCACGGAAAAGAGCCGAGTTTTTGCGGGGGTGAGTCTGGGGGAGGCATGGAATAGTCGATGGTAGTATAATGGGACAATAGTCTCGGGGTGTTTTATTCTGTTTTCTTTATTTCTATACGGAGTACTTCGTAGTATATTACTCTGCGCTGTGGACACTAGCTGGTTCTGCGAATGTACAGCAGTGCCGATCTTGTATATCCGTACATACCTCCATACTTGTACTATTAATGCACTATCACCGGCTCTCTCTCGTTCCCTCTTCTTTTTCCCCGTCTCCAAAGGAGTATCCCTATCGTCGATCTCGATCCAGGGACAGGGGCAGGGACAGGGCAGGGTGCATGATTTAGTAAAAGAGGAGAACGGAGGATAAGGCGGGGGGGGAAAGAGAATCGGATCGGACCAGACCAGACCGGACCAGACCAGGATGGCGAATACGAGGGGAATACGTGGGAATAAGGACCACGGACTTGGGACTTGGGACTGGGGAGTAGAGGATGCTGGCCCCGGCCGGCGCTTAGGTGTTCCTTTCATCTCTGGGAGTGGATTGTTTCGGTTTCGGGATCTAGGATCCGGATCGCTCGATCTGGGTGTTTAGTGTTTACTGTTTAGTAGTAACTTGTTAGTCGAGTAGTGGTGAGAAGTGCTGATGTGGGGGTGTTTAAGGACGGCCCTAGGGATTGGGTTGGGTTAGGTACGTAGTAAGTTGCGTCCGTTCCAGAAGATGCTGGGTAAACCTCGGGGAATGTGGGATGTGGAGGGTAGGGTTGATTACAAGGAAGAGGTACCATCGTTGCGGTTGTAATTCTTCAGGAGGGTTTGGGTTCTCGGAGGGGACTAGTGATCTATTTAGTGGGGAGGTTGATGTGAGACATGTGATGGTAACTACTGAGAATACGGTATAGTTGTAGAAATAACCAAGTTCACTAATATATGGGAGCTGCACGGAGTCATCATCCTGGGCAATTGGGAAGGAGGAAGGACCGGAGGTCGCCCGTTAGACCAGGGTCCACGCGGTATTGGACCCCGTGATGAACGTGAAGAGAGACAAGGGGAGGCATATGATTATTGATTATCTTCGAGTACATCAGTGGGAAGGGTAATAAATAGTAAAGAAAATCATCCCTGCAAGGGATTGTTTGTATGGAGGATCGCCAGGGAAGTGTAGACAAGCCCTAACGGCGGAGCAGACTCGAGAAAACGGTAAATGCTCCGATGGGCTCTGGCGTGCGTCCGGAGTAGATTAAATCGTGGTGGGCGGTTAGTAGAAGAGTGGGGTCTGTCCATCAGGGAGATTTGAGGAGGATGAGATGAGGGATTGATTATGACGACGATGATATACTTGGATCATTTAGGTATTTGATGATGAGATTCAGAGCAGTGTTCGATCAGAATGGTAGTGTCTACAAATCGAACTAGTCATAGTAGTTGTCGTCGTAGTAATATAGCAGTATCGAGAAAGCATCGGGAAAATAGAAGAGCCAGTTTTAGCCAAATGTCCTGATTGTGCCATCATGCCCTAGGATCTATCCGGTCTAGCGAGTACAGTCTTAGGCCGAGGGACTACACTAAGCCATCGTCTAGATAGTCACATAGGAGTAGTCGTCGAGTATTCAGTGCTCCATCTCGCAATTAAGCAACGGACTGCCAGACTCGAACTGGAACCGAGCCACTCCATCGGCAGCCCACAAAGACACCAAGAAAGGCTAAGAGTTGCGGTGGCCAGTGACTACGCAGGCGAAGGCGTCAAGCTAGAGGGAATAGAGACAAGTCTACTCCCAGGCTAACTCGAAATAAAATCAGACCAAAATGGCTCAAACCACGCTAGCACCAAAGCAGCTCCCTAGCCAAAAGCCAAAAGGTAAAAAACACTCAAAAGCGCGATGAAAATGCAATCCTTCAACAAACTAAGAAAACTCCGGCGGCACTTTGCGTTCTTCTCCGCATTTCGCTCTCCACAAATCGCCTGCCCCCGTTTTCCCCTCTTTCTTTCTCGACTGAGCAGTCGGAGCCTACTGCTAAGCTAAGCCTACTGGAGACTCGTTTTCTGGGTCTTTTTAGTCTCTTCAGTCTTTTCGGTCTTTTCAGTGAATTTTACTCTTTTTGTTTCGCTCTCTTTCTGGTCTTGGCAACTATTCTCTGCTCGGTCGCTCGGGTCATCCATCGCTTCATCCGTATTCCTGCCCGTTTTCTGCTTTTCCACTTCCACTTCCTCCCCCCCCCCCAACACCTCCTTCCCTCTCTCTTTCTCTCTTTCTTTCTCTTGTTCTTCCTCCAAATCTCTTCCTCCTCCCTCCTCCCTCCTCCCTCTATGCCTCTCTCCCGTACTCAATGAGCGATGTCGCGCCCGCAGGTCAGCATCGACCGCCTGACGCCGCGCCGCGCGACGATTGAACCGCGCGAGGCCATGAACTGCAAGTCCTGTCGCAAACGAAAGGTACCACCACTCCCAACTCCCAAGACCGGTCTCAATCCACCCGGAATTACTCATCGCTTTTTTTCCAGATCAAATGCAACCGTCTCCGTCCCAGCTGCGAGGCCTGCAAGGTCTTCCAAAGCCCGTGCATTTATGGTGAGAGAGCACCGCTCGGATATCCCGCCAACTGGGCCGATTCCCGCATTCCCATCGCCTGACCCGCCAAACTAACCTCCATCTTCGCCCGCTGGTACAGATGCGATTCCTAAAAAGCGCGGCCCGAAAACAGACGTCCTCGAGGCTCTCCTCAAACGCGTCGATGGCCTGGAAAAGAGACTCCAGGATGAGAAAAATCCCATCTCTCCCACATCCCCGGACAAGCAGCAAGCCGACGATCTCCCGCTCGGACAGGCGCAGGGCACCCGTCGCAACACCGTCGATGCCTCCGCATTTGACTCGTATCCGGCGAGTGACTCGCGACCGACCCTGTCATCGAGCCTGTCGCAAAATTCCGACTCGTTTCCGAGGTTGACTGGCCATGAACCCTCGCCGGGCAACCCGCAATCGGCTCCGCAGAATGGCGCTCTCTCCGATGTCTTGCTGGACGCGTATTTCGCACGATTGCATGGGAAACCTTTCTACGTGTTGGATGAAGCGGGCACTCGACAGCGCCATCAGTTGAATCAGTTACCGGTACATTTGGCGATGGCGATCTCGGCCATGACATTGAGGTAGGTGGTTCGATCTGGGCAGGTAGATGCGATATCAGGATCAAGTCTAATGTCTTGTAGGTATACTCATGTTGGACAACCGGAGCAGTCTCTGCGTGTTGGGTTGGATGCGGCTCTTCACGCGCGGCGGATGATTGACGTGGACAATCCCACGATGGAGGGATTACAGTCCTTGCTACTACTCTCACAAGCCTTTTTTGCCTATGGATTGGGCAAGAAGGCTTATATGACATTCTGTATGGCCCCGTACCAGCACAGGACCTGAAATATTGACTAATCGCGGACTAGCAAACTGCGCGGCCATGGCGGTGGCTCTGGATCTACTGCGTGAAATGCCTTCCAAAGCCAATCTCTCTGCACCCGAGCGCGAAACCCGCCGCCGATTATTCTGGTCCGTCTACCTGATGGACCGCTTTATTACATGCGGATCCCGGCGGCCATGTCTGATTGCAGACCACTCCATCGTCTTGCGGCTCCCTTCTTGGTCTCCCCACGCAGCTGGTCTCAATATGGAGGGCGAACTGTTCCACGTCGGTCCGAACATTCAATACTCGGCTGACTCGCGCCGGAAAACACCCAGTGCGGCGTCATTGTTGATCGACATTACCCGCATCCTCGGCGTCACCAACCGCTATTTGGCTGCCGGTGGTGTCAAGGGAGATTCGCACTTCCCATGGCATGCACTCTCCAATCTGTCCAAAATCCGACAAGAACTGGATATCTGGGCGGCAGGGACACAGGATGTCTTTGCTTCGATAGAGACATTATTCGGTCATCCCGAGAGTACAACGCTACTTTTGAGTAAACTGATTTACCATCTGGTGCACTGTCTCATATACCGCCCTTTCCTCCCCATCGATCTCGTGGAGCTAAGAGGCACGGGCCAGCATCAGTCCTGGCAGATCGAGGCAACCAATCTATGCTTCTCCCATTCCAACGCGATCGCAGAACTCGTCGAGCTGGGCCGAAATTCCCCGCTGGTGGAGTGGCCCGCCTTTGTGGGGTATTGTGTATGCACGGCGGGTACTGTGCATGTCCATGGGGTGCACTACAAAGGTCGTGAGGGCGAGGTCTTCTCGTCGAGTGCGGAGTTTCTCACCCGCGAGATGCACCAGCTGGCCTGGTTGCGGAATTCCTGGGCCGGGGTCCAACATCAGCGGGAGCTGCTGCAAACGATATACACCTGTCATGCGGAGCTGGTGCGGAATCTGGCGAGTAGTTCGATGCGCTTCTCGCCTGTGTTCCATCTGGAGGATTTCTTGGACCGGTATCCCGGTCTGACTGTAGATGGTGCCCATGCGCGGTTGGTTGATACCGGGGATGAACTGGTCGCGAGGTAGGAACAGAACACTCGCTTCAATTATTATACAATGGCTAACTTTGCATATCTCAGTCCTGCTGGCTATGTCGACCAACAAACCCAGTTCTACCGTCCAATGGCACCACCCTCATACCAACCCCCAAACCCCCTTCTACGGCAATCTTCGACCAACACCCTCACCCCTTCCATCCTCTCAAACCCCAGATTCCGACCGCCGAAACTCCCACTCCCATTCTCAACACCCAAATAACAAACAACATCAATCGACTGGAAACCCCCTCTCCCCAGCCCTCCACTTCCACCAACAACAACCTCAACCCTCCCCCTCCCTCTCCTCCATCTTCCCCATCCAATCCGCCTCCGACCACCTCTCCCAATCCACCTCCCAACCCTCCCAAGAAACATCCCACCTCTCCCTCCCCAGCGCCTTCTCCCCCAGCGCCTTCGGCCTCTCCCCACCCGCCTTCCTAACAGACCCCTCCCTGGCAATCGCCCCAACGCCCCCTTCAAACCCTCAATACGCAACCTTCCCCTTCGACACGACAGCCACAACCCAATCCGGTGCCGCACTGACTCCCGGCGCGCAGTCGCAAACGAGCGGCTCGCATACGGCGAGCAGTGAGACCGGCACGGGTAGTCTGGAGAAAGATCCGTTCTTGAGTCTTTTGGAGCAGTTGGCGGAGAATGAGCATTCGCAAGGTGGACCTAGTGAATTGGATTTCTTTTTGACGGGGGCTGTGGATGGGGAGGCCGATGTTAATGTTAATGTGAAGGTTGGCGCGGAGGAAGGGAGGACCCGAGCCGAGATGTAAATGGTTTAAAACGGGTGATTGGTTGATTGATTGGGTTGGCGTGGTTTGATTGTATTACGGGGTGGGATATTGTATATACTGTTTTGTCAAAAGGACTGGACTGGACTGGAGTAGGTTCAATGGCATGGCTATGCCAATGGCGCTGTATCTGGTTGTGGGTGTAGTTTATCTAAGACTATACATAACTGCACAGGTTTCTACCTAAATCGGCGCGATAGCCTGAAAGTCCCAGCTATTCACGAAAAGTGACTTGAGTACTCCCTTGAGACTTAATACCCAGAATCATTCATATCCTACCGTACAGTACTTCCTTTTCTATACTGTCCACCAACACGTCATCTTTCTTGAGTCTGTACTCTGATCATGTATTGTGAATAGATATCTGCCACACATCCACTCGGTAGTCCGCCTCGAATACGAATATATCCTCTCGCCAAGTCTAAATCTGCCTCATACATGCTCCTATACGAGCCAAGCAGGCGGAACAACCTAGGACAGGGCAACTACATACACTTATCACGCCCGAGTCCGTCCCTCGCTACGAGATCAGGTAGATACCTGTAGATATGAAAATAGCGTGCAGATAGATCCTTAGAAGAAGTAATGCCTGGGATGGATCATTCTACCCGGATTAGGAAACGTAAAGCGAGATCTTGAGGCGGAATACTAAATCTGTCTGGAAGTAGTTTACGAAGTACATAGCCTATCATCGATAAACTAGCGCCTAGTGGGTATGACGCCTTGCCTGGGGTTTGCCCGGTGCCTGGTATTATTTTCCCCGGGCGCATCGCTTATCTATTTACCTATTCCTTTGATTGGGATTAGGCATTAGGCTTCTTCGATCCCTGATGGAACATGGATTGCGCTAGGAGTTGCCCGAAGATCCATTGGAGTGGGGTGGGGAGACAGGGCTGTGCCTGGTGTGGTGCCCTACGGCTCAGCCACTGCCAATGTTAATGAACTACTGACGTAGTTATGGAGGAAGGTGGACACGTGGAGTTGGATAGTATAGTGAGTCAGTTGATAGTGATGCTATGGAGGTAGCTTTCAGTGTTTCGTGGTAGGTTATTGGTAGGTAATCCCTCAGTCCGTAGGTAGTGAGTCGTTCGTTGTTTGCAAGTATAGAATGTCCCTAGCTGTGCCTAGGTGGGTCTATACGAGACGCCGAGGTAAGGCTCACTTTGGTCTTGTCTTGGTAGGTCGTGACCTCTTCCGAATTCAAGGATGGATGGAATCCATTATGGACATGGCTATTTGTATATAGTCAGAAACCAGTATATAATGACCTTCCCAGTGCCTGTTCCCTTCATATCAATATCTACTCAATTCATCATCTACTCAACTGATCTTGTCTACTCGTCTACAACCAACCTACCATCTCTGCTCTTCCCTGAGCAGAATATTTTATCCAAACACATACATCAAACCTCCATCCAATCTACATCCTCCCCTGTCCCAGCTGCTACAATACAATGTGGGAATTCCTCAAATCCCCCTCCCGCCGCCGCCGCGAAGCCCAAGAACGCCTCGCAGAACAAGTCCGCAGAGACAAAGAAGCTCTCAAAGAGCAGGAGCGCCTTTGCGAAGCTGCCGCTAAAACTGCCGCTGCTGCGCCCGTCACTCCGGCGTATAAACCATACTATCCGCCATCAACTACCAAGACATCGCGGGTGTCACGGGGATCGGGGTACTCGGGTGGGGGCTCGTCTGGGGGTGGATATGTAGGTGATTCGGGGGGTTCTTATGGAGGGGTGGTGGATATGGAGATGGTGGGGGTTCGAGTTCTGGGGGCTGTTCGGGGGGTTCGTCTGGTGGGGATGGTGGCGGTGGTGGAGGTGGAGGGGGTGGGGATGGAGGCGGTTGCTGAGTATTTGTTTCCATATATACTGGACTATCATGTCTCTGGGAAAGTTCGTTGGAAGAGTGGGTTCGTTTTGATGCTTTAGATGAGCAAGTATTTGAAATTCATGATGGAACTTGAACAGCGATGACCCTATCTAGATCTGAGACGGGCGTAGTCTTCCTAGGGCATTGGAGTCACCAGTCCACGTGCTATATGTAGTGTTAGAATTCGTGACAAGGGACAGATAGATCCAAGGATCGTAGGATTGTTGATGAAGTTAATATCTAACGAGAGGCTAGAGAATCTAAATAGATGGGCAGGACCTTGTGGCTAATAGCCTGCATGATAAACATGTAGGGCTCTTTCTGATATTGGATATGTCTATGCTATTGAGATCAGAGAAGAAAGAAGTTTTGATATGATCTCCGAGTGGAGATTCTACCGCTCCATACTTGAGGGGTTACTTACTCAGGGCTGTTGACCCTCCAAACCCATTTTTATGGATGAGGAAGATTTGACGTATTGAGTAGCATTGAAAGAAGCCATAATTTAACTACAATTATAATCCAAGGTCCTTAGACGACATCCCCTTTTGCCCTGCTTTCAACAATCGCAACATGCTCCACCTGGTAAGGATCGACCTTTGTATGCTTGAATTGGCGAGCAGGAATCTTCTTCTCAAAAAGAATATCAAGCTCACTATAGCTTCTCCCTTTCGGCTCCGGCAACCTGAAAAACGTCCAAACAAAGCACAAAAAGCACGTTCCAAGCCAGAAGAAGCCCGCCTTTGCACCCCAGTCCCACGCAGTAGGTGTCAGCTGATAGTTAATGAGGACGTTTGTTACCAGCCCGGCGATGTTGTAGAAGTTTCGGGCAATCACGATCGTCTTGGCTCGTAATCTTGTAGATGACATCTCGGCGACGAGAGAGTAACATACGGGACCGACTGTAGAGTCGTAGACGAAGGCGAATACCAGAATCATGGAGCCGACAGCCCATGACACGGATTTGTTGGTTTTTGGGGCAATTCCGAGCATGCCGACTATGAACAGAATCACACACATGGTCGCTGTTCCGACTAGATAGATTTTTCGTCGACCAACGAAGGTCATGACCCACCATGACAACAGTGTTCCAACGGCTGCGATAGCATAAAGTCCCATAGACATGTCGAATGCGTCCACGGTAGGAAGTCCAGCTTGTTCGTAAAACGTTGTTGAGTAACCGATAAATGTTGACCCGCAGATACTTTGGGCCACCCAAGCAGCGGTACAGATCTCAGTTCGACGAAGATCCACTCCCTTGAAACAGTCCAGGTAGCTGGTACCGGACGACATCTCTTGTTCGAGTTGATTGGTATGTTCCATCATCGCAATTGTTTTATCTGCATCAAAGTCCGGATCATTTTTGGTTGTAAGCCTCAATAATGACCGTTTCGCTTCTTCGAGACGCCCCTTGCGGACTAACCACCAAGGTGACTCTGGTGCAAAGTAAACACCGACGATGAGGAGTGGTGGCCACATCCACTGAATTCCAAAGGGGATACGATAGGCTTCGGCTGTGGTATTGTTGACTATTCCGCGTAGTACTCCAGAGGCGATGAAATGGCCAATAACCCAGCACAAGTTGTTGTAAGTCGTCAGGTATGCCCTAAGACTAACTGGACACACCTCGGAAGCATACGCAGTCGAGATAGTTTGGAACACACCCCACGGCAAACCACAAAGGATCTCACCAACCAAAAGCATCTTGATGTCCACGGCGAAAAAAGTGATAAAAATGAACCCTGTGATCATGACTAAAGCACCGAGAATCGTCTTACGATAACCAATACGTTCCGAAATAAGGCCCGTCAAGAAAAGTCCAAGAATTTCACCAACAGCAGCACCATCCGATAAACCAGAGCGCCACGGAGCTGAAATGGTATATTTCCCAGTTGCCGGGTTTAGAATGCCGTATTTCTTGCTGAACGTCGGAAGCGCATAAAAGTTCGCCAATAGAAGAGTGTCGTAGCCTTCCATCACTAGGGCGGTTGATAGGACAATAGACCAGAACGCAGCTTTGGGGTATAGTTTCAGGGCTCGGCTGAGGGTCATCTGCTTTTCCAGTTCGGCACCCTCCTTCGCCTCATGGATGAAGCTGGTCAACTCGGTCTTTTGGACGGTGGAGTGGTGAATAATGGGCTCTTCATGGGCAAGGCCCGAAGACTCGTGTCGGTGTGGATTCTCATTGTGTTCGACAGTTTCCGACATGGCGCCAGGCGATGATTGAGAAATACTCAATGACACGCGGTGTGGGCCGCGGCTTCACTCAACAGGGACGCGATAAAAGCATCTTCAAGGTCAAAGTCGCGAGAGCCCAAGCTTTATATCATGAATTACAGCCCTAACACTCCTAGTCAGAATAACCAATTTAGATAAAATGTTCAAGGCCAAAGGGCAGCTACCTCGTGCTCATACACTGGAATGGCGACATCATCTCGTTTTCTCCACAATCATGGAATTCTGGATAATTTCTCTGGAGCCTTCCAATCGCCGTGTTGACGCGACTTAACCTAGACTCAAACTTTCCCAGATATCACTGCGATTTGGAACTTGCTTGGGTCAGGACTTGATGGTTTGTGCCTAGCGCAATGTCTGAGCCCCACCAAAGCTTGAATTTCTTACCTTGCGCCATGGCTGTGGCTGATGGCGAATCGCCCTTCCGCTCTTATGTTCTTCTGTCTGGGATTCGGCGAAGCTTAGCCTAGTGTTTAGTCTCGGCGAAAGTTCCTTACACGGCGGTAGTCTAAGTATGTAGCAGCGCTCTGTTTGGTCACTTGGGAAGCTGATACCACATACTAGCTAGCGGCGCTTGGAAGGTTCAGCCGTGTGAATATACCATGCAATGCTTGGCAACTTTGGCCATACTTTTTCAATGACCGAAAATTACTCCGCGGTGAAATTCACGGTGACTGATTTGATTTGAGTCTCATCAAGGCCTAAGCACACCATTTATGGGGCAGATGTCATGTCTGGTGACGGGTTTATCGGGGGTCGACGGTGTCCCCAGTCAAAGTCTGGTGGAGGAGAAAATCATCTTAATAAAGAGACAAGAAATTTTTCCTCGGGTGCTAGAAATAAAATTGCAGATCGCCTAGCATCTGCGCTCGGATGCTCACCCGAGGCCCATTGCCCCGGATTTCGCTGGCTTCCGTGGCTAGCGTGTTGATTTCGATCATGGTGGGGAGATTATTGAGCTTAAATTATTGCTCTTTCATTTATGATACCCTACTAGCGTCGTTTAGTGTTGTAGCCTTGCACGCTGCTACTTTTTCCCAGGCTGGAGTCTCCCATATCTCTGGTTTCTAGTCAAATATGCAATTGGCAGGACCCCGAGCACAGGCTCAATCAACCCCTTGAAAATCTCGGCAGGACCTACGAATGACTTTCATTAAATGTAATCAGGAACGAAAGAACCTTGGGGATGACGCGGTAGTTTCCTTTCTGGCCGGTCTCTGACAACCCGCATCTAACATCCTCACCCAAACACACGACGCCCAAGTTTCGGTTTAGGTAGTTTCGGTTTAGGTGGTTCCGAACAAGACGGTTTAGCCTTTTGGGATAATTATTTCACATGGTATACTGCCACTTCCGTATCACTAAAGCGAGCCGCGGACTGGACTGGGGCTCGGGCGTGCGGTTTGTGAATAGGAGTTGGTTAAGATGAATTTGCCTGTTATGGATATAATTGAGTGTGTTTGAATTGCGCGCTCCTTGTTACATGGATATTCTGTGGATTTGAGTGTTTTCAGGACTGTTCTTTTTGTGTGAGTGCAATTCATGGACAGGTTGGAAGGTCGGACGGAGGTAACCGTAATCTTCCGTCCGATTCTCCGAGAATCTTTTATGTTCGCGGCCTTCATATTTTGGATAGCTTAATTGAATCTTCGTCGACGTGCTACTGGCTATGATAGCTCTGATTTCAGTCTATCCTTTCAAGATTTCGGGCTATAACATGCACAGGTTCCCTCTGCGTCCTTTGGTTTAGTAATAGAAGACTTTCTAGTCGAATATACATTATACAACCCAGTATATAACGTAGTTCGCTGCCGTCCCGAACACCCCAAACACCATGGTAAATACGATAATTTAGATTATGATATTTCAACCCACAAGGGTTTATATAAGTTCATGAGATATTCAAGTATCAAATATGTCACATTAAGTATATTTATCAGGTCAAACCCTATTTTGAGGTAATATAATATTGATATATAAATATGCATCACCTTGTCGGCGTTTATTTTTAGTAATATATGTAAATAACTATGTAATCTATTTATTGATAGATCTATACTAGTTGATACATTACCAGGAACTATCCTACCAAAAATCAAGAAATATTATACTCTTGTTGTTGATATATAGCCACATGAAATATCGTGTTTACTATGGTGTTTGGGGGTGTTCGGGACGGCAGGGAATTACGTTAGAGACTGGGCTCTCAAACTGACATTAGTCATGACTGTTTTCAAAATACATCACTTCTATCATCCAGCATTTGAAATAACAGTTATCCCATCACGGCATACACGAGACAACACGATCCGAAGGAAATTCATCATCAAAAAAATCAAATTTTGTAATCAACCCCACCACCGCCTGCGTGCAGGGGTTATTAATACTCCATACGCCTCAGAAAAATATGTATCATAAGAATAAAAGCCATGGACCGGCAAAACCGGACAAAAAAACAAAAAAACAGTAGGGGATCACGTTAGGGGGCATAGAGTAATAAGGGATAAAATCGGACGAGGTAACACGCTGAGAGAAAGGAAATGGATATCAGGTATCATCTAGGGGAGGAGGGGGTAGGAATGGTTTCAAATTTGCAAATCTTCCACACTGTTGGAGCGCTTGGCTGATCCGAGGGCCGCGTCGCCGAGGGAGAGGACGGAGATGGTGCGGCTGTTCTTGGGGCGAGTGATGTCCTCGGTCTTGGTGCAGATCCAGGTTGAGGCGTACATGTTGACGCTGGAAGATGTCAGGAGAGTATTCTTGATTAGGGAAACGGGTGTGGACTAACCGGTCAATACACGTTCCTGGGAAACGGGCGCCAACACGGCGGGGTGAGAAGCCGTTCTCCTCAAAGTGCTTGATGTACCAGGGGTCGATGCTGGCAGAGCGGAGCAGGATACGACCACCCTTCTTCAGAGCAGCGTTGAAACGACGGGCTTGTGCGGGTGCGGCATCTCCCTCGGGGTCGAACCAGTCCATGGAGTCCATGACCTAGATATCGATGTGAGCTACAATGTTGATGAATGTATCGGGACTGGATGACTTACCACGGCGATGGTCAATGTGCCAGGGGTAATGCGGTTGATCACCTCGTTGATCTCATCGGTGTGAATGCGGAGACCGTCAAAGGCACCGGGTGTAGATAACTTGACGTGTGCTTGCGGTGACAGGTACGTAGGTTGGCAGCTGTGATCGTGTTAGCAAAGTGATTCCATTAAGAATGCCAGGGTCAACTTACCGGCGATCGAACTTGCCCTGCATGCACAGGTAGTAGAAGTAGTTATCGTTGCTGATCAGAGTATCGTTGACCACAGGATCCAGAGTGTTCACCACGTATTCCCAGATAGACTGGCCACTGATATCCTTGCCGTGCTTCATATCCGTCGTCAACCCGTTGCGGCGGAAGTAGTCATCAACAATCATGTTGCGCTGGTTACGCGGGACACCAGCTGCCTTCCAGGCAAACCACTCAGTGCTGACAATAGCCCAGTTCAACGGCTTGCTGAGCAGAACCCGACGAATGCGAGGCCAGATCTCCCGCTGCTCAGCAAGAGTCTGTGCCGAGCACATCTTCTCCACCTCACCCTGAAGTCCGAAAATATTGAACAGGTAGCGAATCATGCGGATAGCATGGCGCGAGCCACCAGTCTCGTACAGACCACGACCAGACTTGGAGGTGAAGACGTGAGTGTGCTCGGCCCAGTACTGGAAGGCCTGGCTGGACAAGTGAGGGCTGAGCTTGGAGATGAGGAGCTCGCGGAACTCAGGGTGCTTGCCCTCGCCGAAGATCTTCCACATGTCACGGTGGCCCAGCGCAATGTAGCTGGCCACCTTGAGCTCTAGCAGATGGTTCTGGTTGGGGTTCAGGTCGACGGCGTGAACGCGACGGGGGTTCTTTTGCAGGTAATCCAGGATGTTGTCACCGGCGCTGGTAATGGCCAGAATCACATCATCGGGGCCAATGTTGAGCAGGCGGTGGTCGACACGGGGATCCTCCCAGGTGAAGGCATAGATGTACTCATTCTGGAACTGGGTGTGCTTGGGAAGCATATCATTATAGTGGATGCGGTAGTGGTGGTTTTGATAGAAAGAAGAAGGAAGGGGCAGGTTGGCGCTCAAGTTGATCACAGCCGACTCATATGCCTTAGAACGGATCTCGGTCGTTGCATTCTCCACAGCTCTGTCCATCTCCTTCTGGTGGTTGGCGGGGAGCAGGTAAGGAGACTCGGTGAAGGAAGCATCCAGCTTCTCAATGGCGGCCTGGCTCGAGGGCGTAGAGGCAATCTCCTTAGGGCAACCCACGAAGATGTAGTAAGGGATACCGCCGAGAGCATAGTTGCGCTCACTGGCCGAGATCACGGTACCGAACTTGTACTCCAGGTAATCACGACGAGCGGCTTCCAAGCTCACACGGTCAAAGTCAAACCACGCGCGCCAGAAGACACGTCCGAGCCAGTTGACATGGCGGTTGAAGGCGCCACCGGTGTAGTTACGGCAGGAGACGTCGACAATGCTTTGAACTGTACATGGTGTCAGCATCAATTGAGATTCACCTCCCGCGTTTTCGAGCATTACCGTAGAAATCGCAAACACCGAGCAGGCCAGTTGCCGTGAGGCGGGAGGTCAACGAATCAACAACGCTGTAGTAGTCTGACAAGAAACGTCAGTCAGAATCATAGTCCTCAGAGTATCCCGCATCTCTGGTTGTGCCTGCTTACCGGGAATCATAGACAAGCTGTAGCTCATGGTGATCAAATCTGCACAATCAGTGGTCACACCATCAGCCGCCTTGGGGTCAACCTGCCTCTCGGGGAGACGGAACGAGCGAGCATCCTGGCACAAGACGGTAACATTTTTCCAGCCGAGGCGTTGGAAGCGCTGGCGGGCAACGTCGCAGAGGGAAGGGGAGAGATCGACGAGGTAAACGTGATCGAAGAACTTGTCCACAGGAAGGAAAGCCGACATGGCCTCGA